CGGCCGCGGCGGCGAGGGCCCGCGGCGTCGCCGGGTCGGCCCGCGGCTCGGACCGCGCGTCCTGGAGGGCCGGGAGCTCGATGGGCGGCGGCGAGGCCGCGCGCGGCGAGGCCGCGCGCGAAACGGCCTCGACGGAGAGCTCGACGGGGAGCTCGACGGGCGCCGCGGCGCTCGGCGGCGCCGGCGAGCGCGCGTCGGCGCCGACGACCCGCGGCGCGGGCGCCGGCCGCGCCGGCGTGGCGCGCGGCGAGGCCGCCGTCGAGGCGTCGAAGGAGCGCCGCGGCTGGCGCCGCGACGTCGCGGACGCGGACGCGGGCCGCCGCGGCCAGAACGTCCCGGAACCGGCGGACCGGAGGCGGCCGCTGAGGCTCGCGCGCGGGCGCCGGAGGGCGCTCGCGATGCGCGCCGCGACGCGGGGGCGCGCCGGCGGCGACGGCGCCAGGGACGCCGCCGCGTCCGCGCGCGCGTCGTCGTCGCCGCCGCCGCCGCGGGGGGCGGCGTCGTCGGGCGCCTGCCCGAGGCTCCAGGACCGGTGGCGCCGCGGCGCCGGCGCGCGGCCCGGCGCGCCGCGCGACGGCGCGACGTCGCTCGCGGCGCGCGGCCGCGCGCGGCCGCCGCCGCTCTGGGGCCGCGGCGACGGCGACGCGCCGTCGAAGTCGAAGTCGTCGCCGTCGCGCGGCGCGTAGGTGTGGCGGCGCGGCGGCGGCGCGCGCGGCGACGCGCGCGGCGACGCGCGCCAGGGGTCGACGGCCAGCGCGTCGGCCGCGCTTTCGCCCGGGCTCGCCGCGCCCTCGACGCGCGGGAGGCGCTCGGTCCAGGGATCCTCGTCGTCGGTCCAGTCGACGGCGCGGCGCATGAGGAACTGGAGGAACTTGCTGTGCTCGGCCGCCATGGACATGACCATGGCCTGCTGGTCGAGCTTACTCATGCTCCAGGAGCCGTCACCCATGGCGAACAGCAACGCAGAACTCCAGTTCAGCTCTCCGAAGCCGACTCGGGTCAAAAAGGGGACGCCAGCTGCCCTGCAGCCCCAAACTTCACTAAAAAAGTTGACTTTTTACGAGTCGTCGAGGCACGCCATGCTGATGGCGATCTCCATCTCGGCCCAGGACGGCTCCGGCGCGTCGTCGGCCTTCTCCCGGCGCCGGGCCATGGACCGCGACCGCCGCGGCGCGGACCCGCCCGCGGCCGCCGCGGCGAGCTTCTCGAGCTCGCGGCGCGCGCGGGCCTCGCGCCGCGCCTCGCGCCGCCGCTCCCGGTCGTCGTCGCGCGGCGGCGCCGGGGGCTCGTCGCGCGGTGGCGCGCGCGACGTCGACCGCGCGCGGAGCGGCGCGAACGAGTTCGACGGCGCCGCGGCCTCGGGCTTCGCGACGGACCGGCGCCGGCTCCGGGCCTCGCGCTCCGCGGCCTTGGCGGCCTTCTTCGTCGGCTTCGGCTTCTCCTCGGCGGGGCGCGCCTTGGCGCTCGCGGACCGGTCCTTGCGGGGCTTCGGCGCGCCGTCCTGCGCGGGCGTCCGCGACCGCCGCCGCGACCGCCTGCGTGGAATTCAAATCTTCAACCCGACTTCAATGTGCGCATATTCGACAGCTTCGACGCAAGCTCTTCGGCCGTGCTTCGAGAACTCGACGAAAGCAATCGATTCGTCCAAAAATCAGCCGAATCGACTTCGATTTGATCGAGCTAGAGAATTCTGAAGTTCGGTCAGGACCACCCAAACCAGTGGTTGAATTCCACACTGGCGACCGCTGCACGCTCCAGTCGCCGTCGCCCCGGCCGCGGTCGCCCGCGGCCGCCAAGGCCGCGGGCGGCGGCGGCGGGCCGCAAAAGCTCACCTCCTTCTCCGGCGCCGGCGACGCGCCCGCGGCCGCGAGGAGCGCGGAGTACGTCGCCGCGGCGGCCGTCGAGACGCCGGGCTCCGGCGCGGGCCGGCCGGGGTCGGCGAGGGGCACGCACCAGGGCGCGAGGCCGCTCGCCGTCGCCGCCTCGACGGCCATGCAGAAGGCCGCGCGCACGGCCGCGGCGGACGCGATCGCCGCGACGTACGCCGCCGACGCCGTCGCGGCCGCGGCCTCCGCCGCGTCGGCCGCCGCGGGCGCCGGGGGCTCCGCCACCGCCCCGGGCGCGGCGCCGCCGGGGACGAAGGCCGCGGCGCCGCCGGGGACGAAGGCCGCGGCGGCCGCGGACGGCACGAAGGCCGCGGCCGCGGACCGGAGCCGCGGCGGCCGCGGCGCCGCGGCCGCCGCCGCCGACGCGGGCGGCGCCGCGCTGCCGCGCATCCAGCCGCGCGGCACGGCGCGGGGCGCCGGCGCCCCGGACAGCGCGGGGAAGTTCGTCGGCGTCATCGTCGGCGCGGACGCCGGGGCCCCGGCGCCGGGCACCCACGTCGCCGGCGCCGCCGCGGCCCGGGCGCCCTCGAGCGTCGGGAACTCGGGCGTCGCCGCGGGGGTCGCGGGCTCGGGGCCGGCCGCGGGCTCGGCGGCCGAGGGCGGCGCCGGCGACGGCGCCGGATCCGCCGGCGCGGCCCACGCGGCCGCGTCCGCCCGGAGGCCTTTCGGAGGCTCGGCCGTCTCCTTCGCGTCCGGCGTCATTTCGGCCGTCGCGTCCTTGGGCAGCGCCTCGCGAAAGGCCGCGAGCCGCCGCTCGGCCTCCTCGACGGCGCCGTCGCCGGTCTCCTCTCCCTGGGGAGCGGGCGCGTCGGCCGCCTCCTCCGGTTCCGGCTCGGGCGCCGCCTTTGCCTCCACCTCCGGCTCCGGCTCGCCGGACGCCAGGCGCCGGAGCGCGTCGAGGGCGCGCCGGTCCTCGATCGCCTTCGCCGCGTCCGCCGCGACCGCCGCCGCCGCCGCCGCCGCCGCGGGATCCGCGAGCTCGACCGCCGCCGGCGCGGCCGCTTCGGGCGCGGCCGCCGGCGCGGCCGCTTCGGGCGCGGCCGCCGGCGCGGCCGCTTCGGGCGCGGCCGCCGGCTCGACCGCCTCGGGCGCGGCCGCGGGCTCGACCGCCGCGAGGTCGTTGAAGACGACGGCGGATGGCACGAGCGCGGCCGGGCCGTAGGGCGCGGCCCACGGCGGCGCCGGGTCGTAGGCGTTCGGGTCGTAGGAGGCGTTCGGGTCGTAGGAGGCGTTCGGGTCGTAGGAGGCGTGCGGGTCGTAGGCGTTCGGGTCGTAGGGCGCGAGCCAGCTCGGCGCCGCCGGGTCGTGGCCGTAGAACGGTGCGCCGTCGTAGACGACGTACTCCGTGAAGTCGACGTCGTCGTAGATGTCGTAGTAGGCGGGCTCCATGACCGCCGGGTTGTAGGCGGCCCAGGCGTTGCCCGGGCGCGCGCCCGGGCCCGCGCGCGCGTCCGGCGCCGGGCGGCTCGGGCCGGGCTCCGGGCCCTCGGCGGCGTCGTCGTCGACGTCGCGGCGCGGCGGCCGCCGCGGCCGCGCGCCCTGGAAGCCGAGCATGGTCGGGTCCGCGGCCCGGCGCTGGCGGCGCTTCTTCTGCTTCTCGCGCTTGGGCCGCGGCGCGTCCGCGGGCGCGTCGTCCGCGGGGAGGCCGTCGTCGTCGCCGTCGTCGACGCGCGTGTCCGCGACGGTCCGCGACAGGAGCACGAGCGCGACGGACGACACGCCCCGCGCGTCCCTGGCGAGCGCGCCGTGGGCCGCCGCCGCCTCGCCGAGCGCCGCGCGCGAGTTGAGCGGCGCGGGCGCGCCGCCGCCCGGTGGCGCCGCGGCGAGGTAGCAGCAGCGGCCCGTCGTCCGCACGGCCTCGAGGAAGCTCAGCGTCGACGGCGGCGGCCGCCGGAGCAGCTCCAGGAGCAGCTCGCCGACGGTCCGCTTCGCGGGGAGCAGGAAGCTGTGCGCCTTGTCGTCGCCGTCGCAGCGCAGGCCCACGGCGACCTCGCCGGGGAACTTCTCCGCGTCGTCGACGGCACCCGCCGCCGCCGCCGCCGCCGCGCCCGGCTCCCGCGCGGGGACGACGTCGAGCGCGCCCGCGAGGCGCCGCCGCCGCCGCTCCGCGGCCCGCCGCAGCGCCGCGGCGCCGCCGCCGGCCGCGGGGGCCGCGGGCGCGTCCGCCGCCGCGGCCGCGTCCGCCGCCGCGGCCGCGGCCGCGGGCGCCGGCGAGGGGCGGAACATGGCGGCGATGTGCTCCGCGCTGCTCAGCGGCGTGAGCCGCTTCCGCGGCGGCGGCCGCGCCGCGGCGACGGTCGCCGCGTCCTCGACGCCGCGGTACACGACGTCGTCGACGCGGGAGGCCGCCGGCGCGAAGGCCGCGCGGCTCGGGTCCAGCGGCCGCGCGGCCGGCGGCTCCGCGACGGCCGGAGGCTCCGCGACGGCCGGCGGCTCCGCGACGGCCGCCGGCTCCGCGACGGCCGCCGGCTCCGCGACGGCCGCCGGCTCCGCGACGGCCGGCGGCTCCGCGGGCTCCTCGGCCGCGGGCTCCTCGGCGGGCGGCGCCGGCTCGGGCTCCGCGTCGGGCCGCGGCCGAGACACGGTCCAGGTGATCTCGTCGCCGTCGGAGTCGTCGTCCGAGGACGGCGCCTCCGCCGCGGCGCGCGTCGGTTCCGGCTCCGTGGGCGCCCCCGCCGCGGCGCGCGGCGGCGGCTCCTCCTCCGGCGGCGCCGGCGCGGCGCGCGACCGCGCGAGGAACTGTTTGAAGCTCCCGACGGGCGCGGCCGGCGCCGCGTCCAGGAGCCGCAGGCTGCACCACCCCGCGCCGCCGCCGTTCCAGCGGATCTCCGCCCGCTCGACGGCGCCCGCCGCCGTCGTGATCGTGGCCACCCGCTTCACGACGACGCGCGTCGCCGCCGCGAGCTCGCAGACCTTGTCGCTCGCCATGTCGCGCTCGCTGCGCACGACGATCCCCTTGCCGCCCGCGACGACCATGTGCGCGTCCATCGGGCTGCCGGCGTCGCCCGAAGCGATCAGCGTCCGTCCGTCGCAGGGCTGCTTCCGCAGAGCTCCTCGTCGTCCATCGAGAGGGCTACTTCCCGGCCGAGCTTGAAGGGCAGCTTCAAAAGTTTTGGGGCACTTTCGAAAGCTTAGCCGACGCGCCCTAGAGGAGGCCCTGCCGCGCGAGGTCCTCGTAGGTCGCGCGGTTGAGGACGTTGCCGTCGGAGTCCTCGTACTCCTCGTCGCGCTCGGGCTTGAAGGCCTCCGCGTCCTGCTTCTCCTGGAGCTGCTCCCAGAGCGCGACGGCGTCGTCCATCTTGACGACGCCGTGGAAGTGCTTCGTGTTGGGGATGCGGAGGCAGCGCATGCCGTGGGAGTGGCGCCACTCGTTGAAGTGCTGGTCGAAGGCGCGTCTTCCCCAGTAGGTCTGGTTGCCGCAGATCTCGCAGACGTAGGACACGTCGAGGCCGTGGAGCTTGTAGAGCCAGTAGGGGATGGGCCGGCCGTCCCAGCCCAGGGGCAGGTTCTTCGGGTTGTAGATGGGCGCGTCGATGGCCTGCTCCTCGTCCTCCTCCTCCTCCTCCTCGACGGCCGCCGTCTCGACGCCGAACTCCTCGTCGCGGAGCTCCTGGCGGATCTCGTCCGTCGTCCGCGTCAGCTTGCGCTCCGCGCGCCGCAGCGTCGCGTCGAGGACCGTCTCCAGGTGCTGCGACAGCAGGCAGCGCACGCGGGCCTCGCCCAGCGCCACGGCGTACTTCTTCGACGTCCGGTCCGGGCCCGCGGCGCCGTCGCCGTCGCGCGCGCGCTTCCGGCCCTGCCGGAGCTTCGGGTCCACGTCCTCCGGCGCGAGGCCCTTGACGGCGAAGAGGCGCGCCGCGCGCGCCTTGGCGTCGCCGCCGACCTTGAGGCCCCGCGCCGCCAGCGCGCGCTTGAGCCGGTCGAGGCCCAGCGCCTCGAGCTCCGCCGCGGCGCCGTAGGGCCCCAAATCGAGCTCGTCGCCCTCGAGCGCGTCGGTCCGGCTCGCGTCCCAGGCGACGTGGAAGGCGTCGAGGGCCGGCTTCAACAGCGGCTCGAGGTCCACGAGGGGCTGCGTCCGCTTCCAGAAGTCCGCGAGGTAATCGTCCATTTCCCGCACGTAGCGGCCGTAGCCGCCGTGCGACCGCCGCTTCGCGGACACCGCCGCGTCGCCGCCCTCGGCGATGGCCAGGTGTTCCCCGAAGGGCACGGACGCGAGCATGCGCAGGTACGCGACATACTCCAGGGCGATGCCGCCGGGCGCGCCGGGCACGTTGCAGAACTGGCGGTGGAGCCGGCCGAGGTCGAGGTACTTGCCCCACATCTCCTCGCCGCTGAACTGCGTCTCGACGGTCTTCGCCGCCTCGACGGCGCTCCGCGCGCCCCCCGCCGCCGCGCCGAAGGCCGCGTTCCGCGCGAACCGCGCGTAGTACTCGCGCGTCTCCTTGAGCGCGCCGTAGAAATTCGTGAACACGCCGACGCCGCGCATGCGGCCCACTTCCTCGCGGTAGGCGCCGTCGCGGTCCGCGTAGAGCAGCGTCAAAGCCTCGGCGGACTTGGCCATGCCGTCGACGACGTTGCTCAGCACGCCGTCGCGCTCCATGGACGCCTTGGCGCCGCTCACCTTGCCGCTCATCGTCTCCACGGCCAGGGACTCGAGGGCCTCAATCTCCTCGAGGGCGCCGCGCGCCTTCTCGAGGAGCGTCGAGCTCATGGTCGACGGCGGCGGCGGTGCGGCGGTCTTGTCGTCGGCGAGCCGGCCTGCCGCAAACCCAAGCACTTGAGCCTGGCCGCCAGCGTCGCCGCCGCCGCCATGCCGCTCGAGAAGGGCCTCGTGGACCGGTGCGCATCGCTGCGTCCTCGCGCCGCGCCGCATCGATGACGGTTATCGCTCGCAGGGAAACCATCGACAGCGTCATGGCCATGCTGAGCCAGTCCTGCCGCCGCGAGGTCGAGACGGCGCTCGACCGAGACGCGGAGCCCTCCATCGAGTGCAAGCAGGACATCCAGAACGCGCTGAGTGGGTTCTCGCAGGCGCGGCGCCGGCGCCGCGGACCGCCGCGCGCGCGCGCGCGGACGCGTCGCTCGCTCGCAGGACCTCGAGCCCGGCGAGGTGCCCGAGCTCGGGCCGGAGCCGTTCCTCGTGCGCCGCGCGTCGCTCGTCGCGGGCGGCGTCGCGTTCGTCGGCGTCGTCGCGCTCCTCTTCCGCATCCTCCGGAGGCGAGCCGAGGTGCCCGGGAAGAAGAAGAAGGCCGGGAAGAAGAAGGACAAGTCGGGCAAGCCGAAGAGCTCCTAAGGCACCTAGGTCGCTAGCGCCCCGGCGGCGGGATGAGCGCCGGCGGCGGCCCGCCGGACGCCGACGCCGCGCCGAGCGCGTCGAGCGCGTAGGCGAAGTCGTCGCGGCTCACGTGGAACGCGTCCCGGAGCGCCTCGAAGATGGCGAACTCGATGGCGAGGAGCAGCGCGGCGAAGAGCGCGCGCGTACTCACGCCCGCGTAGAGGCCCCGGGGCCCGCCCTCGTCGGCGATCAGCGCGAGCGTGCCGAGCACGGACGCGTCCTCGCCGTCGGCCGTCTCGATGCGCGCGAACGTCGTGTCGAGGGGCTGCGACGCGACGGCGCCCACGGCGCCCGCGACGGCCCCCGCGACGAGGGACACGGCGAGGCTCTCCAGCGGCGAGTCCGCGGCGCGCGGCGCCGCCGCGTAGAGCGCGGACCGCAGCTGGTCGAAGACCGCGAACTTGAACGCCGCGAAGACGAGGTCCTTGGCGACGAGCGCGGAGAGCGACCGCCCGAACAGGCCCTCGAAGACGCCGCCGCGCTCGTCGACGAGGTCGCGCCAGACGTCGAGGAGCGACGCGGGCGCCGACCGGTCCTCGGGCACCATCATGCGGACCTTGGCGGCCTCGAACGGCGTCACGGACGTCGTCGCGAGCACCGCGGCGCCGAGCGCGCCGACGACCGTCGCCGCCCAGGGCCCGACGGCGTCGAGGCGCGTGCCGACGCCGCGCTTGAAGAGCTCCGTCAGCCCGAAGCCGAGGAAGCCGTTGACGAGGTAGCCCGCCGCGATGGGCGCCGCGCCCGCGAAGAGGCCGCCGACGCCCTCCTCGTCGACGATGCGCGCCGCGAGCGCCGCGGGCCCCGCGCCGTTTTCGTCGCCGTCGACCTGGATGCGCGTCTTGACGACCTCGAGGGGCGTGAGGACGACGTGCGCCGCGGCCGTGCACACGGCGCCGCACGCGCCGAGCAGCGCGTACTGCGCCGGCGTGACCTCCTCGATGCGCGCGAAGGCCAGGGACCGCGGTCCGAAGACGCTGTCCTCCTCGCCCCCGAAGCGGGAGAAGTTGGCGAGCTCCCGGACGACGTAGCGGCCGCGGCCCGCGTCGAACGCGGGCAGGTACGCGCTCGGCAACAACTTCGTGAGCCGGTCGCTCGACCCGCGGAAGCGGCGCTCGGCGTCGCCGATGGGGATGGCCAGCAGCGCCGGGTCCCGGCCGACCGAGACCGCCGCGGCCGCGGTCCGCGCGCCGTACTTGGGCGGGTAGTACGGCGGGTCGAACCTGGGCAGGAAAAGGGTGATTCAACGTCGCTTCAATGTGAGTGTTCCGCGCGCGCGCGTTCCGGAAATAGCATCCACGCGTCGAGACCGTTCCGAGAGATGATCGCTCGTCCAAAAATCAGCCGAAACGAGTGGAAAACGGCCGAGAGAGGAGCCTTTGAAGTTGGGAATTTCGCTCTCTTGTCCTGCCCTGGGTCGAACGCGACGGCCAGCGACCCGGCCTCCGCGTAGCCGCTGCCGCCGGCGTCGATCCTGAGCGCGTCGACCTCGTAGTCGAAGGCGACCCGGGCGCGGGCGCGGTCGGCGCCCGGCGCCTGCGGGGGCGTGACGACGACGGCCGCGTCGCCGAAGTAGCCCGCGCCGCCGTCCTCGAGGACGATCTCCGCGACGGCGCCCTTGGCGCCGACGACGGCGCGCGCGATAGCGCGCCGCTCGCAGGGGCCGTCGACGAGGACCATGGGCGGGTTGTTGGCGTCGTAGCCGCCGCCGCCGCTCACGACGGCGACGCGGATCACGCGGCCCGTGCGCCGCGTCGTCGCGCGCAGCCGCGCGGCCTGCGCGTCGGCCGCGCGGGGGCCCGCCGCGACGACGCGCGCGCCGACGGACCCCGCCGCGTAGCCGCCGCCGCGGTCCGCCAAAGCCGCGGACAGGACCGTGCCGTTCGCGCCGCGCTCCACAAAGGTTTTCGTCGCCGGCAGCGGCGTCGACGACAGCGCGCCGAGCAGCGCCAGCTGGCGCTTCGCCGCGATGGTCTGGGGCAGGACGCGCTCGTCCAGGTTCGCGAAGAGCGCCTCCGTGCCCGCGGCGTCGAGGTGGTTCCGCGCGAGGCTCAGCTCGACGGACGACACGAACGACGCGTAGTACTCGAAGCGCTTCGCCTCCTGGAGAGAGAGGGTCTTCTCGCCGGCGGCGTTCGCGCGCCGCGCGGCCCACCACGCGGCGCTCGCGCCGTCGTAGTTGAGCAGCAGCCGCGCGAGGTACTCGACGAAGCGCAGGCCGTATTTCGATTCGACGGCGTCGAACGCGAGCGCGGGCTTGCTCGCGACGTCGCCCGCGACGGCGACGTACTTCATCTCGTCGACGGCGACCGCGGCCTGCGCGGCGAGCCCGACGGCGCAGGCCGCGGACGCGGCGCCGAAGTCGCGCCGCGTCTTCCTTGGGGTCGGCGGCGGCGCGGCCTCGGGCGCCGGTGATGGCGGTGTCGCGCTTCTCCGTGGCGTCGCAATCAGCGTCGGCCGCATGGATCGCGCGCACAGTGCGAGCATCAAGAGCATGGGAACCATCCTGTGCGAGCAGGCAGGCCGCCGCATACGTCCTGTCATGCCTCGGTCTGCTCAGCGCTGCAGCGCGGCCTGCTTCACTTGCTTCACGGCCAGCGAGAACGCCTGCGAGAGTCACCTTACTGTAGTACGTGAACGCCTACGTGATGGCCCACATCGACACCAAACCCCGACGCCGGTGCATAATGCTCTAAATCGAGCAATATAATGCTCTAAATCGAGCAATACAATGTTCCGCCGGCGAGCTGAAAATCTTTTGTCCGATAATTAAGTAGCCTAGGCAGCCCGTGATAGTATATAAGAAGCTGAATCAACCTAGCCCAGGTCATCTGGGACTGTAATCTGCGACAAGAGGCTTGGTCTCTTAATCTAGTTGCGTGCGGCTTTTTGGGGTAGGTGGAAAAGCGCGGGTCTGCACAGGTGGTGCGTGTGTGCACTTCTACACCTGTTCATCTGGCAGAGTTTTCACCATCACGGGTTCTGGTTGGTTGGGTACAACACAGGTTGCTTGCGGAGGAGCCCCAGCACCGCCGATGGCAATCATGTTGGATGTAGAACCTCCTTTGTTTTGGTCCTCACAGCACTCACAACAGGGTTTGATGCCACAGCACCCGCAACAGAAAATACTGGATACAACAATCGCAGCCACAATCACGACTAGGATGATGACGATTATAAGGCCAGTTGACATCTTGACTTGAGGTTACTGCCTGAGATTATGCGTAGAGGATGGCCGCGGAATGTTGAGACGCGATCAGTTTGATCGATGATCACTCGGACACGTACAAGTCTCGCTCGATGGTCTCTCACGACTTCGTGAATCATTCTCGGTCGAGTGAATACACGCTCGGAACGTACTCGAGCGAGCGTCGGTCGACGACTCGATGAGATCACGCTCGTCACGTGATCCCGCAAAAACACACGGACACCGCATGGACGCACGAGATGATGTACGGGGGCACGAGATGGGTCGGAGGGATGGCCGTAGGCGAGCACGAAAAGCTATCCTCGAGGAGCGAGTCCTACCTGGTTGCTTTGGTTTTGTCTTGAGCGCCGGGAACGCCGAGCAGTGTCGGCACAATGCTCACTACAATGCTCAGCACGATGTGGCCTGCTTCAATTGCTTCACCTTGCACCTCGCACCCGCCTCGAGTGCGCGCCCGCGGCGCGCAAAGAGAGGTCCGCTCGGACGACCGGAGCCTGGCTTTGGTCTTCGTCGGCGGGGAGTCCGGGGCGCCGAAGAGAGACCACTCGAAAGCGGGCTCCGGCGGCGGCGGCGCGCGCCATGGTCGCCGCGCGCGAGCTCCCAGGACCTCCGAGGCGCGCGCACTCCTTGTGTTTCTCCCGAGGTTACTTCGACTCCGAGTCCGCGCGGCCGCGGCCGCCGCCGACGCGCGCGGCGTCGGCGTCGGCGTCCTCGAGGCGCGCGCGCCAGTCGACGCGGTTGATGGACACCGCGCCGAGCATCTGCTCCGGGAGCTCGTCCTCGGCCTTGCCCTCGATGGTGAAGCCGATGACCGCGTCCATGGCGACGAGCTTGTCCTGGACGAGGTAGATGGCGCCGCGGGCCATGTAGGAGAAGGACAGGCCGACGTCGATGTTGAACTCGAGGTAGTCGCCGCCGCGCGAGAACGCGGAGATGCCCGGCCGGGGCCGGCCCTTGTCGGCCATGAGCACGGGCTTGCCGTTCCACTTCTGCACGAGGCGCGGCACGCCGTCGCCCTCGGCGAAGAAGACGCCCTTGAGCCGGCCCGACGCGGCGAGGTCGCCGGGCGCCTCCGCGAACCACCGTCGCGCGAGCGCGGCGCCCGGCGAGCCCGACGCCGCGGCCGCCGCGTTCAGCCGGCACGCGAAGACGACGACGACGCAGCGGCCGTCGGTCCGGCGCCCGCCCAGGGACGGCGCGTCGAGGGGCGCGTTGACGGCGACGACGAGGAACCGCGGGAAGCCCGGCGGCGCCGCGGCGGGAACCGCGTCCGCCCTCCGGAGCTTCGCGAGGATCTCCGGGTAGGCGTCGGTCGCGGAGCGCACGGCGCCGCGCGCCGTGAAGGCGACGTAGGCGTCCTCGGTGTCGTAGAGCGCCGGCGCCGACGGCACCTTGACGCCGTCCGCGAGGTACGTCGGCCCCCGGAGCGGGAACCGCTCGCACGACGGCCGCGACCAGCTGTCGGCCGCGGGCGCGCCGTCGTCGGACCGCGCGAGCGCGACGAGGGACGCCGGCGCCGCGTCGGGAAACGCGAGCGCCGTCGGCGACGCGGGCGCGGACGAGAGCTTGGACGCGTCCTCGAAGGACCCGGACCGCCGCTTCGGCGTCCGCGGCGCGAGCGACGCCGTCGCGAGGCGGACGGCCGCGCGCCGGCTGAGCTCGCACTGGACGCCCAGCGCGCCGACGGCCGCCGCGAGCGCGCCGTAGCGGCCGAGGAACGGCACGTCCTCGGGCGACAGCGCCGCGACGACGACGACGAGCGCCGCCGCGAAGACGCCCGCCGCGCTCTCGACGACCGCGTCCGCGAGGCCCGCGGGCGCGCGCGCGAGGCCGCCGTCGTCGTCGTCGTCGCTGTCGTCGCTGCTCTCGTCGCCGTCGTCCGCGTGGCGGGGCGACGCGGCGACCTTCGACTTGGACCGCTTGCGCCGGCGGAAGTGCATCCGGCCGCGGAGCTGCTGGAGCCGCGACGCCGCGAGCCGCTCCAGGCGCTTCGCGCCGTCCTCGACCTTGCCGAGCCGCCGCCGCAGGCCACGCTCGACACCCCCGAGGCTCCGCCGCCCGGGGCGCGGCGGCGCGGGCGAGGTCTCGTCGAGGAATTCTTCAGCCTGGTCACGAGGGTGCGGGTGGGGATCCAACGATCGAGACCGTAGGCGACGGAGGGGCTTATCTTTGGGCGTCGCTGTTGTGACGCGGCCGAAGCGGTGTCGCTGGTGGATGCGGGGGGCGATGGCGTCGTTCGCCATAGTTGTCATCCAGGCCTGTCGACGCGGAGGCGCCGGAGCTGTTTTCGCCGATTTTTTGTGGAGAGGCTGTGAGATGGCTGTGGAGCTCGCCGTAGGCCCAAGCAGAAGGGGGCCTCGAGCAGGAGCACGCGCGACCGCCTTGCTTTGTCGCTCAACAAATAGTATCGATAGAGTGATGAAAGATGAGCAGGGTCGTCGCAAGAGAAGGCGTGATGGGGGATCAGCAGGGCCGTCGCAAAAAAAAGTGTCGGATTCGCCGGACAAAAGACGCAAGTTGGCCGATTCTCCACACAGTATTACGGTCAATGCCCCAGTCAAATTCAAGGTCGACGTTCCGCTCAAATCTATCCCTTTCGTGCAGACGCTGACACTGACAGCGGGCGCGTCCGTCGAGTGGTGTTGGCCACCGGGGAGCACGAACCGGGGAACGCTCACGGGAAAGCAGACCGACAAGTCGGTGCACGCGCGCACCGACAAGTCCGGGTCGGACAAGTACCTGCCGAAGAGCCGCTACAGCGACGGAGAGACCGACCTGCTCGCGAACGCGTGGTGGATCCCCCCGGATCGCGACGAGACCGCAAAGGACGAGAAGGACAGCGCCTAACGCCGACGGACGCGCCCGCGGCGAGTCTAAGAATGCACACCTCTTTAGAAGATGACGTCGGTCGAGGCCTCGGCGTCCCCGCAGCAGCCGGCCTCGTGGTACACGGCGTGGACGTCTCGGCACGACCGCGGCGCGGGCGCGCCGAGTTCGAGGGCCAGCTCGGGGAGGCAGCTGAGGACCTTGACGTAGGGATTCACGAGCTTGCGGTCGAGGGTGTCCGGGGTCCAGGCCTTGTTCGGGAAGGGGAGCAGCGAGCCGCCGCGCGTGTCGACGTAGTAGTCGGACTGGCCGTCCGCCGCGAGCTTCCACTCGAGCACTGGCAGCGGCCCTTCGACCGTCGCCGTCGCGTAGCACGCCTCGAGGGCCGCGACCTCTTCCGCGTCCATCTCGGCGACGGCGTCGGCCACGAGGAGCGAGTAGTGCGGGGCGTGCTTCCCGAGAAGTCTGCTCGAGCGGCTCGAGTCGAGGACGGATGAGCTCGTGTTCGGCGAGCTGTGGATGGACGGCCTTGCCGGCTCGATCGACCTTGCTATGGCCGCCTCGTCGTGCGCATGACATTGTTCTAGCTCTTGTTGCGCGACAGCACCACAGCCCGAACCGCCAACGAGTTCCAACGAGTCCTCTCGCAGCGCGACAGCGCGTCTCACGATGGGCCGCGGCGGCGAGCGCGCGCTCAAGACGCCAGACGACGCGTTCATCGACCTCGGCGCCTTCGCGACCCTCGCCGTCGCGCTGCCGGCGACGCTGCTGCTCACCTGGCTGCTCACCGTCTCGTGGGCCGAGTACTGGGGCCGGCGCACCTACGTCGCCGCGCGCTTCGCCTACGCCGACGGCGCGCTCTTCGACGGCACGCCGCTCACGTACGGCACCGACTACGTCCTCGCGGCCTGGTGCGCGTACCTCGGCGTCCGCGCAACAACAAACGTCCCGCCCGGCGCGCCGTCGCGCGCGACGCGCCTGCGCCTGCGGCGGCTCATGTTCAAGTACGCGGTCCAGTGCCTCCTCGGCGGCCTCGCGCACCACGCGCACGACGGTACGGCGGCGTACCTGAACCGGTGGACGTTCCGGCTCCTCTGGACGGCCGTCGTGGGCTGCGTCGCGTCGAGCGGCGCGGACCTCTTCGCCATCGCCGAGGGTTTGAGATTTGTGCCACCCGCGGGCCCGCTCCGGGACTTGGCGCGCGTCGCGCGGCTGTCACCGGCCGCGGCCGACGCCTGGGGCCTCGCGCTCTGGCTCCTCACGGCGCTCGGGGCCTTCTCGTGCACGCGGCCCGCGGGCGACATCTTCGCCGTCGGCGTGACGCAGTCGCCGGCGACGGCCGCGCTCATCCTCGCGATCTTGGCGCGGCCGCGACCGGGCGTCGCCGTCGCTTCCGTGGGCCTCGTGCTCAACGTGCCCCTCGTCTTCGCCTACCCCTTCGCCGTCTGGTCGGGCCTCGGGCTCGGCACGGTCAACGGCCTGCTCCACGCGTGGCTCGCCGTCGCCTGGGGCTCCCAGGGCCTCGGGCTCGCGCGCTTCTGCGACGGCGTCGACGGGAGACGCGAGGGGCCGACGACGCGGTCCGCGGCGCGGCGGACCGCGCGGCGGCCGCCGTCGCTCGCGGCGCGGCTCCTCGCGGCGCTCGGCGTCGCGGCCGCGGCGAAGGCGCCGACGCGAACGGCCGTGCGCGCGCGGGAGCGCGCGCTCGAGCGCGGGCGCGCGGAGGACAACGGCGCCGTCGCGGCCTTCGCGGCGCCGGACGCGGACGCCGTCGGCGCGGCCGTCGTCGTCGACCCGCTCTGCGACTACCTCGGCCTCGCGCTCGCCCGGGAGCTCCTGGACCGGGGTGTCGCCGTCGCCACGGTGCTCAGCGACTACGTCGGCGGGGGCCTCTGCGACGGCGGGCAACCGCCGCCGCCGCTCCGCGCGCCGGCCGCGTCGCGCGAGGCGCCCTGGCTCGAGGCCGCGGACGCGCCGCCGCTCCTCGCGTGCTTCTCGGAATCCGACGCGGGCATCGCGACGGCGGAGCGCCTCGGCCGCGCGCTCGACGCGGCCTTCGCCAACGGCGACGGCGTCGACCGGCGGCACAAGTGGCTCCTCCACGAAAAACTCCGCGACGCGGGGCTGCCGCACTGCGCGCAGGCGCTCTGCGACACCGCCGAGGACGTCGTCGCGTTCCAAAAAACACACAACACCATCGTCGTCAAGCCCTGTCGCGGCGTCGGCAGCGACGGCGTCTTCAAGTGCGAGACCGCGGCGGAGTGCCGGGAGGCGTTCGACGCGCTGCGCGCGACGACGCGCTACGGCGGCGGCTTCAACGACGTCGTCCTCGCCCAGGCGTTCCTCGCGGGCGTCGAGTACGCCGTCGACAGCGTGTCGCGCGACGGCGAGCACAAGGTCACGGCGCTCTGGCGCTACGACAAGCGGCCCGCGAACGGCGGCGCCTTCGTGTACCGCGGCACGTGGCTCGCGGACGCCGCGGGCGCCGGGGCCGTGCTGGAGACGCTCCGCGCCTGCCTCGACGCCCTGGGCCACGCCAACGGCCCCGCGCACTCGGAGCTGATCGTCGGCGACGACGGCGCGGCGACGCTCGTCGAGGTGAACGCGCGGTTCCACAACGCGAACGTGCGGCCCCTCGTCGCCGCCTGCGTCGCCGGCCCCGACGCCATCGCCGCGGCGGCGGCGGCCTGCCTGCCGAGCGCCGACGAGTGGGACGCCATCGCCGCGGACCCGACCCTGGAGCGGGCCGGCGTGCTCGCGCACCTCGTGTCGGCCGTCGAGGGGCCGCTCGCGGCGGTCGACGGCGACGCGCTGGCGCGGCTGCGGAGCCTCCCGACGCTCGTCGACCACGAGCTCTACGTCGACGAGCCCGGCGGCGCCATGGTGAAGACCGTGGACATCAAGACGGACTCGGGCTGGGCGCTCCTCGCGGGGCCGGAGGCCGCCGTCGCCGCGGACTACGCGGCGATCCAGGACCTCCAGTACGAGCTCTTCCGCGTGGACTCGTAATATAATACGCACCCCTAGGCCGAGGCGTACTTGGCGACCTTCTTGCCCGCGACGGCGCCGAATTGCACGTCGTCGGGCGCGTCCGCGATGGACGCGAAGGCGCCGTCCTCGCGCGCGTGCGCGGCGGCGGCCTTGGCGCCCTTGGACACGAAGGGCTGCTTCTTGACCTTGGCCGCCTTCTCCGCGGCCTTGGACTTCTTGCCGAGGCGCATGCCGTTGAGCGCGACGAAGCGGTCCTCGCCGGAGTTGACGCGCGCGAGGAGCTCGTCGAACTGGGCCGCGTGGTGCTCGTGGAGCGCCGGGAGCACGGCCTTGAGGGCGTTGCAGCGCTTGTAGAGCTTGCCGGACCGCAGCGCCTGGAGCGACGCCTTCGTGAAGGCGATGGACGTGCAGGCGAGGGGCCAGTCCTTGTCGTCCGCGACGGACGCGCGGTACGCGCGGTGCGCCAATTTCGGCGACTTCTCGAGGAGGTGGAGGAGCTGGAGCAGCGCGAGGCAGCACATGCTCCGGTTCAGGTCCGTGCGCGGGTCCGCGCCCTGGAAGCCGACGAGCTCCCAGTGGCCGCCGATCGCGACGCACGGCCGCTTGTTCGACGCCGGCATGAACCCCTTGAAGATGGTGGAGATCAGGCGCCAGTGCTCGGCGACGGCCGGGTCGTAGGCCTGCTTGGCCACGAGGAACGCGAAGTCGCGCTCGGTCGCGGCGTTCTCGAAGGTGAGCTTCGGCTTCGACGACACGAGCGACGAGAGCGCGGACCGCTTCGGGAATTCGACGGGCACGATGGACTCGAGGTCCTGCGACATGTCGAGCGCGCGGAAGTAGGCCAGGCACTCGTCGTAGGACATGGGCGCGCGGCTCGCCGGGGGCGCCTCGGAAACGGCGGGCGCCCCGGTCGTCAGCGCGTGGCTCTCGAAGCCGGACCACTCCGCGACGTCCGCCTCCTTCGCCGGCGCGCGCGCGGGCGACGGGGCCGCGTCGTCGACGCCGTCGATGGTCGGCATGTCGTCGTCGTCCTCGTCCTCCTCGTTGAGCGTCTCGATGGCGAGGGCGCCCTTGATGCTCGCGCCGGCCTTCGTGGCGGGCTCGGGCGCGTAGGCCGCCGTCGTCTTGCTCAGCGACGCCTTCATGCCCGCCAGCCCGTAGCTTTCCTCGTCGTCGTCGTCGTCGTCCTTCTGGGGCGACAGGCGCTCGGCGGTCCGGCGCATGTCCTCGAGGGCCTTCGCGTCCGCGAGGTCGCGCTCCCGGAGGAACGCGGCGCGCGCGGCCTCGACCTCCGCGCGCGCGGCCGCGTCGTCGCCGCCGTCCCAGTCGCCGCCGAACTCGTCGTCGTCGTCGTCGCCCGCCGCCGTGAGCACGGGCTGCGCCGCGCCGACGGCGTAGGCCGACGTCTCCAGCGCCTTCTCCAGCTCCTTCTCGCCCTCGAAGTTGGCCGGCTGCGTGTCGCCGAAGACCTCGTAGGGCTTGTACTCGAGGCCGAAGACGTCGTCCTTCTTCGGCGCGCCGCCGCCGAAGGCCCGGAGCTTCCCCGGCCGCTCGTCGTCCTCGTCGTCGCTCGCCGCGCGGCGCTCGACCTTGCGCCACGTCGCGGCCGGCGGCGCCCCGCCGTCGAACTCGACCGCCTCCTCCTCCGAGTCGCTCCCGTCGTCGGAGTCGTCGTCGGAGTCGTCGCCCCCGAGCATGGACCCCTGCACGCGGGCGCCGGGCGCGGCGACCTCGGCGGCGGCGGGCTGCGGCGGCGGCGGCGGGGCGGCGGCCGGCGGCTGCTGCGGCTGCGGCGGCTGCGCCGCCGGTGGCTGGGGCGGCGCGGCCTCGGGCGGCGACGCGGCCGGCGGCGGTTTCGGCGGCGACGACTGCTCGATGCGGATCTGCTCCACCGTCTCCTCGATCGCGGCGTCCATGGCGTCGAGCAGCCCCACCATCGTAATGGTTGGGCAATACGAATAAAAAGGCACCGCCAGCCCAGGTCGACAGAGCCCTCGCGTTGCTCTGCGAACGAAACCGCCTTCGAGGCCGAAGGTCGCATGGAGGCGCGGCGCGCGTCGGTCAAGGCGCCGGCGGCGCCGCGGCGCACGGTGCGGCGGCCGACGATGCTCGAGGGCCGGCGGAAGAGCGTCGCGCGGCGGAAGAGCGCCGTCGACGGGTCGGCGCGGCGCGGGTCGTCGAAGACGCCCCTGTCGATCCAGCAGGCGGCCCCGGGCCGCTTCAAGCGCGCGACGATGATCGACCCGAAGACGGGCCTCATCAGCCGGCCCGCGACGCGGAGCGACCGCCTCGTCTTCGGCTACGTCGGCGAGGCGACGAAGCTCGCGGAGGAGGAGAAGCGCGCGAAGCTCGGCGAGCACATCCACCCCAAGCCCGCGGAGTACGCGCCCGGCGAGCGCCACTACAACCCCCGCGGGTCCATGGTGGGCGCCGCGCCCATGCGCGCGTCCCTCTTCATGGGCAAGCCCGCGGGCGGCGGGCCCATCTGCCCGTGGAACGCGATGCAGGTCATGGACGACGCGGCGGCGCTCTTCGAGGGCACCATCGGCCGCGGGGGCGTGATCCAGACCAAGAAGCAGCTGGGCCTGAGCCGCCTCCAGGTCCTCGCGCTCATGTGGGACTGGTGGACGGCCTTCTACGAGGCGCGCAAGAAGACGAACGAGGAGGTCGAGACGCGGATGCTCCGCGCCGGGCGGGAAAAGAGTGGGAAATTCCCAACTTCAAAGGCTCCTATCTCGGCCGTTTTCCACTCGTTTTGGCTGATTTTTGGACGAGCGATCATCTCTTGGATCGGTCTCGAAGCTTGGATGCTTTTTCCGGAACGCGCGCGCGCGGAACACTCACGTTGAAGCGACGTTGAATCTCTCTTTTCCTGCCCAGGCTCCACGAGCTCCACCGCGACGTCCACGTCCACGCGGACCTGGACCTGGACGCCGTCGACGCCGTCCACGTCGTCTACCGCACAATCTTCGTCGAGTGGGCGCGCTGGGTGCGCGAGGAGGCTTTAGAGCGCGAAAGGCGGGGGCCCAAGGGTTTGGACCGCGCGAGTCGCTACGACCAGTTCTCCTGGTCCGCGTCGCACGACCGCGCGTCCGCGAATGCCAAAGTCATCGACCACGGCATCTTCGAGCGCAAGGCGGCGACGCTCGACCGCGCCGACGACGAGGACCGCTTCGACGGGTCGTCGAACCTGGCCGGCGGCGTCGAGCACACGTACGCGACGGCCGCCGAGGCGAACTACGCGGACTCGGCGCGCGCGGTCCGCGGGGAGCGCGTCAAGATCTGCGGCGACGCGGCCTACACCTGGGTCACGAACGCGTACCTGGCGCGGCTGCACGACCCGCGGCGCGTGAAGCGCGTGGGCGTGCCCCTCGAGGAGAACCCCTACTTCCCGGACGAGTCGGCGCCGCGGCCCGCGACGTCGCCCGCGGGCCTCTTCGAGGGCTCCTACGAGTCGGGCACCTTCGACGGCGGCTCGTCGGAGGGCGGCGGCCTCTTCGCGCCCGGCGGGTCCCTCGTGAGCTCGCTCGCGGGCGACGCGACCTACGCGTCCTACCAGACGGGGCCCCGGCCCTACGCGACGCGGCCGAAGACGACGGAGGGCTTCGGCGCGCGCGTCGGCTCGCGCCCGCCGGGCACGCCGCCGACGCGCCGGTCCACGACGCGGCCGCGCCACGGCCGCACGTCGGAGCCGCCGCCCTTCCCCGTGACCCAGGTCGACGCCCACCGCGCGGCGGCCCGCGACGACCGGCCCGCGGCGGCCGCGCCCGCGGCGGGCTTCGCGCTGCCGCCGAACATGCCGCCGCTCGTGTTGCCGCTCCGGCTCCACAAGACGCTCAGCAAGGTCGACCCGAGCTTCCGGCGCCTCAAGCGCGACGACTCCCACGGCGTCCGCCTGCTCGGCGCGCGCGGCGCCTGCGGGCCCGTCGACGCCGACGACGCCGACGACGGGTACCACCCGCCGGCCCACGTCGCCGTCGCCAACGTCGAGAACCCGCTCCAGATACCCTGGGAGAACTAAGTTTAGGGCGGGCCCGGCGGCGAGTCGCGCGGCGCGGCGAGCGCCGCGCGGACCGCGGGGAGCAGCCGCTCGAAGACGAGGCGGTGGTACGCGACCGTGCAGCCCGCGACGCGGCCGAAGTCGAGGACCGCGTCCCGGCCCGCGACGGTCGCGGCGGCGCGCAGGCGCGCGCCGTCGACCGTCGCCGTCAGGCCCGTCGCGTCCTCGGCGTCGACCGTCGCGCCGAGCGCGCCGAGCGCCGCGGCGGCGGCCGGCAGGAGCGCGCCGACGAGCGCCCGCGGCGCGCGCACGGCCGCCAGGCTGCGCCGCGGCGCGTCCTCGGGCACGTCCAGGCTCCGGTAGACGTCGCCGCGGGCGTCGTCGTCGAGGAACTCGTCGCTCGTCAGCGACACCTCGCGCGCCTCCGAGTCGTCGGACGCGCCGCGGAAGAGCGGCGGCGCGTCGTCGTCGGCCGCGGAGGAGACGCGGCGCGTCGCCGCGGTCACGGCGTCGGCGCGCTTGCGCATCGCGGCCCGGAGCTCGTCCGGCGGCAGGCTCTCCTCGAGGATCCAGGCGTCGCGGAGCGCGGCCGCCGCCGCGGGCCGCTTCCGCGGCGAGACGACGAGCGCGCCGTCGAGGAAGCGCCGCGCGCGCCGCGTCGGCGCGAAGGGCGCGTGGCCGGCCCAGAAGGCGTCGCGGCGGTTGCCCGCGAGCGCCGCGAAGAACGGGTCCCGGCTCGACGCGGCCGTCAGCGGCGGCGCGCCCTTGCAGAGCAGGAACGCGACGACGGCGCAGGACCAGCAGTCCGCGGGCGCGCCGTCGTAGCACGCCGCGGCGCCGCGCTCGCAGGCGCCCAGGATCTCCGGCGCCATGTAGCCCGCCGTGCCGCAGGGGTGCGTCAGGGGCCGCCCGTCGTCGACCGCGCCGAGCCCGAAGTCGACGATCTTCAGCTGGAGGTGCTCCGAGAGCAGGAGGTTCTCGGGCTTGACGTCGCGGTGGAAGACGCCGCGGCCGTGGCAGTGGGCGACGCCCGAGAAGAGCTGGCCCGCGTAGGACGCCGCCGCCGCCTCCTCGAAGCCGCCGCTGTGGAAAAAGTACTCGAAGAGCTCGACGCCGCAGAACTCGAGCGCGAGGCCCCGGTCGAAGCGGCCGACGAGCGCGACGACGTTCGCGTGGCCCGCGACGCGCGCGAGGAGCCGCGCCTCGTGGTCCAGGCGCCGCAGCGCGTCCGGCGCGTCCGCCGCCTTGAGCGCGACGCGCTCGCCGAGGTCGCTCCAGCCGACGAAGACGCTCCCGAAGCCGCCGCTGCCGAGCTGGGCGCCCATGGTGTAGGCGCCCGTGGCGCGCCACGTCGTGGCCTCGGTCGCGGAGATGCCCGCGCGCGGGCGGTCCTCGTCGTAGTGCTGGGCGATGGCGGCCATCTCCTTCCGGCACTCCTGTTGCTCGGGGGCGTTGAACCGCAGTGCTCGGTTCTTGCGTGTGCTTGTGCGAGAGTCTCGGAGCAACGAGACACTCGCGAAATACCAGCGATCCTCGTGCACCGGACGACGCGGGCAAGCTCCAGGAAGATGCCAGTGGGGCGGATTGGCTTCACCACGGCTCGAGTTGATTGCAAGTTGCACTGACCAAAGACGCGCGCGCTCCCTCAGCGCTCCCCCTAAGCGGCCAGGAAGAGCGCGGCCCAGCCGTCGGCGAACGGCGCGGCGAAGCGGCCGAGCGGGCTCGCCGCGCGCGCCTTCGTCGACGTGAGCTTGTGGACGTCGTCCGCGAGGAGCGCGAGGTCCAGCAGCCCGTTGGCCGAGGACTCGTGCCACTTGGCGTGGGGCGCGACGTCGAGCTTGCGGCAGCGGTCGTCCGCGGCGTAGACGCGCTCGCACCGCTGCTGGTCCGCGTCCGCGTGTTTGAAGCCCGTGAGGAGGTTCGCGACCTTGTTCACCATCGGCATGAGCGCCGCGCCGAGGTCGTTCGTCGCGACGCCGTAGATGCCTGTGTGCAAATCAAATCTTCAAACCGACTTCAATGTGAGCGTATTCGAGTGTTTTGACTCGAGCACATCCGCTGTGCCTCGCGAACTCGAGGAGAGCAATCGATTCGTCCAAAAATCAGCCGAATCGACTTCGATTTGGCCGAGCTAGAGAATTTCAAAGTTTGGTCCGGACGTCCCAAACCAGTGGTTGATTTGCACACAGGTAGACGCGGGACCAGGGGAAGAAGTACTCCTGCCAGAGGAATGCGTAGCCCAGCTTGAGCATCGTGCCGACGAACTTGCACGCGAGGCCCGCGCGCTCCAGGGCCGAAAGCGGCGACGGCAGCTCGGCGACGGCGGCGCGCTGCGCCGGCAGGAGCTCGTCCGTCATGAAGGCCACGACGGCGTCCGAGAGGTTGAAGGCCCGCGCGCCGATCTGGACGACCTCGTCGACGAGGTGCGGCGAGTTCGGCGCCACGAGCGTGAGCAGCTCGAGGACGATGCCCGCGAAGGTCGTGAAGTAGTCGGGCACGTCGATCGTCGCGATGTAGTCCTTCCACTCGTCGGCGGGCCGCGTGAGGAAGAGGTCCGTGAGGCCCCGGGCGGCGTCGGCGGCCGACGGCCGGTCGCGCGACGACGAGAGGCTCAGCAGGACGCGGTCCCGCGTCGCGTTGCCGCCTGCGGAGCGCGGCGATTATTTCGTCGTTTCCCCGCCCCGAATCCCTGGAAACTCGCCGCGGGACGCCGGTAAACGCCGCCGACGAGGTGGCGCACCATGACCTGGTAGTCCGCGTACGCGATGACCTGGATCAGCCCGTTGTCCGCGACGTTGCCGAGGCGCGTGTGGCTCCCGTGCCAGAACGAAGAACCGAACGCCATGTGCGCGACGGCGGCGACGACGGCGTCGCGGTCGCCGCGGGACATGTCGCTCGCGGCGCCGCAGAGGTTCGCCGCCGTGCGGTAGTAGGCCGCGTTGGAAACCGTGTTGCACGGCTCGTAGACGAGCACGCAAGGATGGGCAGCCCTCGAAGCATGACATCTCTCGTGGCGTTGGTGCTCCTGGCGACGGCGCGCGCCGCCGACGGCAACGCGACGCGCACGTACCTCGACTCCATTGCGCGCATGGTCGACGGCGGCGTCGAGGGCATGGACGCCGCGCTCTGGGCGTCCATCGAGGCCTGCATGGGGGACGTCGACGGCGGGCGCCTGCTCGCCGCGTCCGACGCGGCGTGGCGCGGCCTCGGCCACTACGACAACCCGGCGGACCCCTGGGGCTCCTGCAACGCGTCGACGGGCTGCAAGGAGTACAAGGAGATGAACGAGACGACGCTCGACGTCCAATGAGAGTTTTGCAATTGTTCTTCATGGAAAAATTGAAGTTATGAATGCAGCGCTGATGTGATGATGGTGAGCTGGCCATGATGCGACCCGCGCTGAGCCGATGCACCTGAGCTGTAGCCCATGCCGTGAGCTGGCCATGATGCAACCCGCGCTGAGCCGATGCGCCTGAGCTGTAGCCCATGCCGTGAGCTGGCCATGATGCAACCCGCGCTGAGCCGATGCGCCTGAGCTGCAGCCCATGCCGCACCGCACCGTCGCGCTGCTGCTGCTCGCGACAGCCGCAGCCCTCGAGACCCTCCACCTGAGCAACAAGCGCTCGTGCCTGTTCCATGCGCCAGAAGAGACCACCACGCCCGTGCCGCTCGTCGTCGTGCTGCACGGCTACAACGTCGAACCCTTGAACACGTTGGACTTCTACTTTAGCGACCTGAAGCGCCTCGCGGAGGAGCGCGGCCTCGCAATCGCCGCGCCGCGCGGCCGCCGGCTCGGCGCGCGGGGCAACGACGGGTCGTTGTGCTGGGCCGCGGGCGCGTGCTGCTGCCGGACCAAGACCAAGGACGACGCGGACGTGTCGTTCATCGACGAGGTCGTCGAGGCGGTGCGGCGACGCGCGGCAATCTCCGCCCTCGTCCTCGTGGGCCACAGCAACGGCGGGAGCCTCGCGCTGCGCGTCGCCTGCGCGCGGCGGGACGTTGACGCATTGGCGATATTCAACGCGCCGCTCACCCACGACTGCGCCGTCCCGGCGACGCGGCTCTACCTGCGCCACGGCGCCGCCGACGCCATGCTCGGCGGCCGTGAGGCGTCGCGCGTCGCCCACCCGCACGTGCCGGGCGTCGGCGTCCGCGAGACCGTCGCGCGGTTCGCGCGCGCCAACGGCTGCGCCGGCGCCGTCGAGTCGAACGCGACGCAGGCGGCGCACGCCTGGGACGCCCTCGCGCCGCGCGCGCTCGTGCGCCGCAGCGAGCACCGGAACTGCGCCGCGCCCGTCGTCTTCGACGTCGTCGACGAGCTCGGGCACTGGCCGTCCTTCGGCCTGCTCCAGACGGACCTCCGCGCGCCGCTCCTCTTCGCCATCTACGGCGAGCCCATCACGGCGGCCAGTGCCAAAAACAACGTACGCCTAGGCCGGCCCACTCGAATTAAATAAATAATAATTATTTATTGTTTCCCGCCGGCGGCGGGCGGGACGTGTACTACACCTCCTGAGAATTTGCCGCGCGCGCGCGCGCACGCGGGTCTAGCGCGGGCTGAAAGTCAACTTTTCGCGAAAAACGATCCTCACGCCCGAGTGTCTCAAAATGTACGAAGGTACCGCACTCACAACGCCAGTCTCGGCGAAATGACCCCACTTTCAAGCGGTTTACGACCCCCTAACTTCAACTTGTATGTTGAGCTTGGCAACTTTTTGTGTTGAACTTCAAGATACAAACCCCCAGGCCTTTCGTTTCAAGGGTTTGTTTTTGGCACTGACGGCGGCCGACGACGACCCCCACGACGAGTGCCGGCGGGCGATCCCCCCGACGTGGAAGCCGGCGTAAAATCTTTTACAAAAAGCGTCGGCTGCAGGACGAACGGCGCGGGCTGCAGTTCGGCCAGCTCACCGTCTTCCCTTTGTTTGACTGCATGTTTGCTTCACTTTTAGCGGGCACGTGTGCCAAGCAATTTGGCCGGGGGTCGAGACGGCCGGGCGAGACAAATCGAGGACTGACATCGTCGAGCTCAAGTCGATCATGGTGACTACGACGCGGTTAGTGCTAGCCGCGACGCTCGCCCTCGTCGGCGCGCTTGCGCCGGAGCCGTCTCGCATCCCCGCCGCGCCGAAAGCCGTGAAGACGTCGTCGCGGCGGTCCGCGCTGCTCGGGGGCGTGCCCGCCGCCGTGCTGCTGGGCGGCGCCGCCGTCGCGAACGCGGCGACGAGCGACGGGGACAACGAGTTCAAGCTCGCGGACGTGAACAAGGACGGCAAGCTCACGAGAAATGAGTCGCGCGCGGCGTCCGCCGTTCGGCGCGCGGCGAGGCACCGCACACACACACCTCCCGCCGCCGCGCCGACCGCCCCTTTTTGCGCCCGCGCAGGTTCACGAAATGGTTCGGGGAGAACACGGTCCTGAACGAGCCGGAGGCCCTGCCCTTCTCCCTGAGCCTGCCCGAGGTCGCCCTCGACCTGACGGGCCTCGCCGGCGTCGTCGTCGCCATCTACGCGGGTTCGTACGCGTACTACCTCTCGGCGCGGATGGCCGAGGCGGAGAACAAGGCGGCCAAGCAAAAGGCCCGGGCGGCGAAGGACAAGGCGGCGAAGGCGAAGCCGCCGGCGAAGCCCGCCGCCGCGGCGCCCACCCTGGCGAGCGCGGAGGAGAAGCCCGCGGACCCCCCGGCGGCCGCGTGAACCGCCCGCCGGTCGTCGCACGCGGAGTAATTCTAAAGTGTCACGAGATTGTGGTTAAGACACGCCGCGGTCGTAGCGGAAGTAGCGGAACGGCGCGAAGTCGCCGAGCGCCGCGGCGACGAACGCGAGGTCGTCGGGCGCGTAATTCTCGAAGCGCCGGGTCGCGTCGCCGTAGAACGCCAGGGCGTCCCGCCGCCCCTTCGTGTCCTGCGCGTGGCCGAAGGCCACGCCCTTCTTGCCGCCCTCGATGACGAAGTCGGCCTCGGCCGCGAGGTCGCCGCCGAGGCAGTCGCAGACGGTCCGCGCGACGCCCGCGGGGTCGAAGAGCAGGTCCTCGGAGCGCAGCATGAGGCGCGGGTAGGGCGCGTCGTAGTACTCGGCGTGCCAGTCGCGCCAGAGCGCCGGTAGGCTGTCGTAGCGCAGCACGCGGTCCGCCTGGAACGCGACGGAGACGGGTTTGGCGAGGTGCGGCGACGGGCAGGTTTTTGATTGTTTTTGGGCCATATGCAGGCGCACGGCGTAGGGGTGGCGGCACGTCGACGGCATCCACGTGAGCGGGTCCTTGACGATGACGAGCGGCAGGACGCTGGCGAGGCGCGGCGCCCACTTGAGCACGGAGGCGTTGGAGAACATCTTCGCCGTGTGTTTTCCGCGCCAGGACGCCGGGTTGTGCTTACCCCAGGGCGTCATGAAGAGGTCGTGGCGGCCGTTTGCCGTGAGCCGGCAGTTGTTGAGCACCGTGCGCCAGAGCGCGTTCGTCGCGCTGTTGAAGAGTCCCGCGGGCGCGAAACGCCGCTGGAGCTTCGGGTTCGCCGCGCGGAACGCGGCGCAGCGCTCCGCGCCGAGCACCAGGGTCTCGTTCGTCGCGTAGGGGTCCGACCGCGCCGCGGCGGCCGCGCGCGGCCGCTCGGCCGGCGGCGGCCGCGGCCGCGCGCGCGGCGCCGCTTCCGGCGCGGCTTTCGGTGCGGCTTTCGGTGCGGCTTTCGGTGCGCTGTCGCTGCGCGCCGGCGGCGGCGGCCGCGCCGGTGGCGCCTTGTGCACGTCGACGGGCCGCTGCGCCTCCATGGAGTGGTGCCGGTAGTGCATCCACCAAGCTATCACGAGCCAATTGAGCAGCAGCGCGAGCGCGCCGCGGATGAGCTTGCCCTTACCGCTTTGGACGCGCTCGGCGAAGGGTTTCGCGACGCGCAGGCCGCCGGGAGGCGCCATCACCGCTGCATCTGCGGCCGCCGCCGCGATTGTTGAACCCAAACTTGCAGGGCTTGCCTTTTTGCCACAGGCATGGGTGCTCTTCCGCAGCCTGTTTGAGCGCGCGCTTTTGAGTATCAGAGCAAACGCTAATCGTCAGCGCACGCACCCTGATCGTCGGCGCACGCACCCTGATCATCGGGCACACGCACCCTGACCGTCGCGCCGAGATCAGTGCAAGACATGCGCCGCTGGACCTTGTTGCTCGTCGCGGCCGCGCGAGCGCTCGCGCCGCCGTCGGCCTGGGTGCGCCGCACCATCGCCGTGAGAGAGTTGCGGATCGAGGTGCGGGAGCGCGCCCAGATGGACCCGGACCACCTCGGCGGGCTCACCTGGACCGGCGGCCGCGCGCTCGCCGAGTACGTCGCCGACCGGCCGGCGCTCGTCGCCGGGAAACGAGTGCTGGAGCTCGGCTGCGGGTCCGCGCTCGTGGCGCTGACCTGCGACGCGCTCGGCGCCGCGGCGACGACGGCGACGGACCTCGACCGCGTGCCGGCGCGCGTCGACCCGAGGGTCTTCGACGTCCTGGGCGCCGCGCCGCTGCCGGCGTGCGACGTGCTGCTCGCGGCCGACGTCATGTTCACGAGCGAGCTGGCGCGCGCGCTCGCGCGCCGCGCGGCGGAGGCGCACCGCGCCGGCGCCCGCGTACTAGTCGCGGACAGCCAGGGCTGGGCGTCGAACGCGTTCCGCGACGAACTCGACGCCGCGCTCGCCGCGCGCTTCCGCTTCGACGCGACGACCGTCGTCGACGACGTCGCCGGGCGCGAGCGGCGGAAGCGGGTGCGGATCCTCGACGTGGAGCCGCCATAATATCCCGGTTTTGCGCTGATGTTGCACGAAAGTTGCCTCCAAAGTGAAGCGACTGAGAGGCACCACGCACATCGTCATCGGCAGCGCTGCGCGCACTGCCTCAGCCGACGATGCGCCTCGCCGCCGCCGTCGCAACGGCCCTGGCGGTCTCCGCCAGCGCGACGACGCAGAACGGGACCCGCGACTTTGCGCCGCTGAAATCGTTCTTGGACGCGGTGATCCTCCAGTACGGCAACATCTCGTTGACCGTGGGCGACGCGCGCGGCGCGCTCTTCGAATACAGCAACTACCTGATGACGCCGGACACGGTGCTCGGCCTCGCGAGCGGGAGCAAGTGGCCGGCCGCGACGGCGCTGATGGCGTGCTTCCACGAGCACGGCGTGTCGCTCGACGACCCCGTGCGCGCGCACCTGCCCTGGTGGGCGTCGGATCCCGCGGACGAGCGGTCCGCCGTGACGCTGCGCCACGTGCTCAGTATGACGACGGGCATGATCGTCGACTCCGACTGCGACCTCGCGTACGACGACTGCGACGCGCGCAAGGCGCTCGGGTCCGCGGCGTTCGCCGCCTTCTCCCGGTGCCGGGGCGACCTCCCGGCCTGCGCGAAGGAGCTCTACGATGCGCTGCCGCCGCGGCCCATGTACGCGCCGGGCGCCAAGTTCATGTACTCGAGCCTGTCGTTCCAGTTCGCCGCGGCCGTGGCCGTCGAGGTCTCGGGCGAGCCCATCGGCGCGATCCTGCACGACTACGTGCTGGGGCCGCTCGGCATGGCGCCGACCTGCGCCTGGGCCGACGCGGCCCGCAACCCGCTCCTCGGCGGCGGCCTCGCCTGCAGCGCGCGGATGATGGACCGCTTCGTCCACGCGATGCTCGCGGACGGCCTCGTCCCCGCGGCCGTGCGCCGCGAGATGGAGACGGTCCAGGTCTCCAAGGTGTCGCAGTACTCGTCGACGACGGCGTTCTGGGGGCCCTACTGCATCGGCAACTGGCAGGAGTGCCTCTACGGGCAGTTCGACGGGCCGATGCCGGAGCAGTGCGCGCGGGCGGACCGCCACGGCCACCCGGGATGTGGTGGGTACTGGAACTTCGTGGACCGCCGGCGGAGCTACTACTACAATTTCCTGCCGTCCTGGACCTGCGACCGCTCCAACGCCTACTGCGAGACGGGCTCGCCCGACGACTTCGGCCAGGGCTGCCCCGCGCTCTACGGCGCCGCGGCGACGCTCAAGCAGCGCGTGTCGACGTTCCTCGACGACATCTTCGGGGCGTAACGGAGCTTTGTGTGTGTTTTCAGTCGCGTCACCTTCAACAAATAGTCAACATGAACTCAACCTGCTGTGGCAAAAAGGAGCTTAAATCGAGGTGGTGCTCCTGCTCCCGGCCGCAACCTTCCGCATGGCGGGCATCATCGGGTTCAGCGGCGCGCTGACGGAGCTGAAGAAGAAGCAGCGCGACCCGCGCGACAAGCACCTGGTGAGCCAGGATGATATCGTGAAGGCGGTCCGCCGCGGGCTGCCGTCGCCGCCTCCCGGTCTCAGCTGGGAGCGCAAGGATAGCGGGGACTGGGTCTTGATCGAACACGAGGAGGCGGAATCGTTTGAAGACGTGGAGCTCGACGTGCCGCCGCCGCCGCCGCCGCCAGCCGCGCGGCGCGAGCACGTCGTGCTGCCCGGCGACACGCTCCAGGGCGTCTGTTTGAAATACAAGACGAAGCCCCGGCTCCTCAAGGCGTGCAACCCGACGCTCGACGTGCGCGACCCGACGCTGCGCGGCGTGACGACGCTGACGATCCCCGGCGACGGCCCCTGCCAGCCGAGCTCTCCCGAGGTCGACGTGGCGAGATTTCGCGCCGCGACGGGTCTCGGGGCCAAGGAGGCGCGCTACTACCTCGCCGACGGCGCGGACCTCGCCGACGCCATCACGCGCGCGAAGGACGACGCGCGATGGGAGCGAGGCGCCGCGTCGCGGACGAAGAAGGAACCGGCGACGAAGCGACATTCGGCGCCGGTCGCGGCCCGCGGATCGCCGCGCGAGAAGCCGACGGCCGTCGTCCTGTCGTCGCCGTGCGACAAGCCCACGGCCGTCGCCGTCGCCGAGGCGCGCCGCGTCGAGCTCACGCCCGTGGCCCGCGCCATCCCGTTCGCGGAGTCGACGGACGCGGACGAGCCCGTGATGGCCGACATCGCGCCGCCGACGGCGAGGGAGACCGCGTGGTCCTTCTTCTTCGACTTTTAATATCGGGCGTGCCTTGGCGGGGCACCTCCGGCCACGGGTGGAGGCGCGGCCGATCATGATGGCATTTCCGAGTCGATTTTTACTATACATCAGGGGGCTGGGAGCGGCGATCCCCAGCTCATGCGGGCGGCACCTTCGCCTTGACCTGGACGGAGTGGATTTCGCCGCTGCCGATCATGTCCTTGAGGCAGGCCATGACCGCGCGATGGCGCGCGATGGGCTTCTGCCCGCGAAAGCTCGTCGCGACGACGCTGACCTGGAGCTGGCAGCCGTGGGCCGCGAGGGCGCGGCCGTCGCGCGCGCCCTGGCGGACGTGGCGAGGGCGCGGCCGTCGTGTCGTGGATGGCGCAGGAGAGCACGCCCTCGACGCGGCTTCGGATGATGCGCTCGACGCGGCACGCCGTCGCGGCCGCGCCCGCGAGCGCCGCGCAGTCGCCGAGGCTCAGCGCCGGCAGGGTCGGCCCGGTGCCGCAGGGAAACGTCGCGCCCGGGAAGCTCTCGACGCCGGAGGGAATGTCGTCGATGCGCGGCTCCTTCGGCAGGTCGATCTCGTCGCTCCAGCGCTCCGCGAGCGAGGTCTCCTGCATGCAGTCGCCGAGGACGCACGTTTCCGTGAGGCAGGCCATGATTGGCAGCTATCTGGGAGTCTGTGAGCGGCGCGAGCGTGCAGCGGCGGCCGAAGCGCACGCAATCTTCGTGGTGATGCGCACAAGCAACGCAACCAGTTGGCTCACGGTGCGAAGCACGAGGCCTCGACACGAGAGGCGCGCGTGGCCGGGCGTTTTTGGCCCGAAACCGCCGAATGCCGTCCTCCCGAGCGCCTCGCGATGGAGGTGACTCAGTACGAGGTCCTGTATTCCGAGAGTTCCGGTTGCGGAGCACGGCTGCTGCGAGTGTGAACCTGCATCTCGTCGTCGTCGTCGACCACGGAGCCGCTGGAGACGGCCGCCCCCGGCCAATCACAAATGTTGGTGCGCAAGATTTCATCGCTTGTGCAATTGCGCTTGTGATGGATGTTCCCATGGTTGGCCTGAATTAGCCGTATAGAGTGAAAGTTAGATTAAGGTCGAGCTAAGCGGCGCAAAATTAAACCGACCATTCCGGCACCGGAAACGCGCGCCCCTCGCTGCCGGCGGACAGCTCGGGCGACGGAGACGACTGACAAAAATCGGCGGGTCCAAATCGGACATCGTTGGACCGCTGCGTCTATGCGCGCGCTCACGGCGCCGGAGCCATAGCTGTGAGATGGGTTAGATTAAGGTCCACGCGAAAACTCTTCGGATTTGAGCTTTCTTCAGGAAGTTGAGTCGAAAATTTTTTAAGAATTTCCGGACGTATGACGCGCGCGCGCGCGGCGGTAGAGGTGTCAGGAGGGGTGCGCCGGCGAAATCGCCCTAACCTTCATCTAACCCCAACCTTAATCTAACTTTTACGCTACAGCTGTTTTCGCAGCGCGATGACGGGTTCGTAGCCGGCGTCACCGCGCGAACCCATACCTCAACGAGCGCTCATTCGTGCGCGCACCGAAAATCCTAAGCACGGCCCCCCCAACATGCCCGACAGCTCCTTCGAGGCCTACCGCCTGCTCTGGTGCTTCCAGGCGCTCGCGTCCGCGGCCATCGGCGGCCGCTACGACGCCACGGGCCTCGCCCACGCGTCCCTCATTGCCGTCGTCGCGGCGACGCCGTCGCGGCCGCTCTGGGCCGCCGCGGCCGCGGTCCGCGTCGGCGCGACGGTATCCAAGGTGCCCGCGGTCTGGGACTCCATGTACTGGCAGCTCATGACGGACGCGGCGTTACTTTGGTGCCTCGCGACGAGCCAGCCCTTCTCGCGCCTCCAGGCCACGGTCCGCGCGCAGATGGCCGTCTTCTACGCGGCGTCCGCGTTCTGGAAGCTGAACACGTCGTTCCTCGACCCGCGGACGTCGTGCGCCTCGGTCTTCGCCGCGCAGCACGCGGCGCTCTACGCCCCGGCGGCGGCGCCCTGGGCCGTCGCGGTCGCGCCCGCGGCGACGCTGGCCGTCGAGGCGCTCGTCGCGCTCGCGCTCGCGGCGGCGCCGCGCGCCGGCGGCGCGCTCGCGCTCGCGTTCCACGGCGCCATCTGCGCGACGCCGCCGCCGAACAACGTCGCGACCTTCGCCCTGTCCGTGGCGCCCCAGCTCGCGCTCTTCGCGCCGCGCGTCGACGCCGCGCTCGTGCGGCCGGCGACGGCCGCGGCCGCGGCCGCGGCCGTCGCGACGCTGCGCGGCGCGACGGGCCCGCTCGCGCCCCAGCGCTGGGCGTCCGTCGCCTACGTCGCCCTGCTCGGCCCGATCCTCCGGGCCCTGCGGCGGCGCGGCGGCGACGCGCCCGCGCGGCCGAACCGGGTCTTCGTCGCCGCCGCGCTCGTCTACGCGTCGACGCCGTGCCTCGGCGTCCTCGAGCTCGGGGCGCCGAACATGTACGCGAACCTGCGGTCCCACGGCGGCGGCGGGAACCACCTGCTGCTGCCGACGGGCCTCCTGCCCGACTTCTTCCGCGACGCCGCGGGCTCCGTCTTCTTCGGCGGCGAGGTCGTCGTCGAGGCGACGACGTCCGCGTCGATGCGCGACGCCTACCCCGGCGACCTCACGTCGACGCTCGAGCCGCCCGGCGTCGTCGACCTGCTGGGCGCCGCGGGCGCGCCGACGCGGTTCTTCAACGCCGCGAAGCGGCGGGTCCTGGGCTTCGACGGCGTCGCGCCCGCGGACCGCGCCTTCGCGCCCTTCGCCGTGCCGGCGCTCGAGCTGCGGCGCGCCATCGCCGACGCGCGCGGCACCGGCGCCTTCGAGCTGACCTACGCGCGCGGCGACCGCCGCGTCGCGGTCTCGTTCGACCGCGGCGGCGCGGTCGCGCGGTGCCGCGTCGCGGAGCGGGGGCGGCGGCGGGACTGCGCGGACGACGAGGTCGCGCTGCTGCCGCCGCCGCCGTACTGGGCGCGGAAGCTCCTCCTGTACCTGCCCTACCCCGTCCTCGACGGCGACGGCGGCGAGGTCACGTGCTTCGGGCCCTAGCGTGTGCTCGCGGAGCGCACTCGCCCGGCGCCCGGCGCTCGTCTGTCCTATATGCGTAATATCCATAGTGTCTAACGTATCCCGCGGCGCCTGCTTCCGCGAACAGCATTCCCCAACATTCGCGCAAAAGATTTATGTATCTTGCAAACCGCTCCAACATTAAAACCGCGGCTCGAGGGACGCTCTCGCGCGCGGCCGGGAGCATGTCGACGCCGAACCCCGCGCCGCCGCGGGCGTCGGCCCCGGCGCCCGAGTCGAGCTCGGGGACGTACCAGCGGCGCAAGTTCGTCTCCAAGGGGAAGCCCGGGGCGAGCCGCCTGAAGCACGTGAAGCTGTCGACGGTGCAGCAGGCCCTCGAGGACGACTCGACGGCCGTGGAGACGCTAAAGCGGGACGTGGCCGACTTCCAGCACCTCGAGCTCGAGACGAGCCGGCGCTACCTCGTGTCCCTCCAGAAGACCTACGACAAGCTGCGGAGCGAGGCGGACGCGCGCGAGGGCCAGCAGAAGGCGTACCAGGAGGAGCTCGTGACGCTCGACCGGCTCTGCACGGAGGCGCGCACGAAGCAGACGCACCCGAACCAGGCCGTGGCCCAGCTCAAGCACGAGATCGAGCGCGAGGAGAAGGACGTCAAGGACGCGCTCGTCCAGAAGGACGTCTTCACGCACATGATCAAGCGCCTCAGCGACGACATGCTCGCCGTGCGCCAGAGCGGCTTCGGCATCAAGGAGCAGCTGGCGACCGTCGAGCGCGAGATCGCCGCCTGCACGCTCCAGCTCCAGTCCGCGAAGCAAGAATCCAAGCACGAGGAGGTCAAGCTCGCGAAGCTCGAGAAGCAGGTCAAGTCGCGGCGCAAGATGCAGGAGGCGCGCCTCGCGGGCATCCAGAAGGTCATCGCCGAGCGCTCGTCCCTCGTGGAGAAGCAGGAGGAGCGCATGCGCATGCGCGAGGCCGTCATGGCGCGGTCGAAGTTCGATTTAGGCGCGCAGGAGGAGCAGCGGCTCAAGCGCATGCACGTCATCCGCAAGGTCTACTCGTCCATGCTCGAGAAGAAGATCACGGCCGAGGAGGAGAGCCTCGGCGCGTTGGAGACGACGTTCCAGAAGATCAAGATCGTCACGGGCCTGAGCGACGTCGACGAGATCGTCCAGAAGTTCAAGGACCGCACGCACAAGACGCACCAGCTCCACCAGCTCGCCGAGGACGTGCGCGAGCGCATCGACACGCTCCGCGAGGAGAACTCAAGGCTCAAGGAGCAGCTCCTCAACATGCGGTCGAACAACGAGGCCATCGCGGGCAACCGCGAGATCTACCAGGAGATGGACACGTTCAACAAGGGCCTGGGCAAGGCCCTGCGCCAGTGCGAGGAGGCCAAGGACCGCAAGGTGCGCTCCAAGGTCACGCTCGAGCAGCTCAAGCTCGCCGTCGCGCGCTTCCGGTCGAAGATCGAGGGCAAGTTCTTCCCGACGCCGTCGAACGAGCAGCTCCCCGAGTACCTCCGCGAGCTCGACTCGAAGCTCACGGTGAAGATGAAGGCCGTCTCGGAAGCCCTCGCCCTCGAGGACACGAACGGCTCCGTGTCGCCGAGCGGCCAGGGGCCCCAGGGCACCTACGGCGCCGCGGCCGTCGGCGGCGAGGCGGGCCTCAAGCCCGGGTCCGAGGTGCTCCTGCCCTTCGGCAAGCTCCAGTCCGAGAAGCTCCAGAAGATGCTCTACCACAAGCTCATGCTCACGAACCCGGACCAGGGCCCGCGCAACGTCCGCGTCCGCGCGCGGCCCTGCCTCCAGGACCTCGAGCGCTACACGCAGCGCAAGCTCATGACGGGCGGCCTCGAGGACCGCTTCGACCTCGAGGACGACGTCTCCGAATTCGCCTACCCGACCCAGGGCGGCGGCGGCGGCGGCGGCGCGCCCGCCGCCGCCGTCGGCGAGGACGAGGGCCTCGAGGGCGTCGCCGCGGCGTCCAAGGAGGACGAGCTCCGGGAGCCCGTCGTCGACCGCGACACGGTCAAGCGCCTCTCCAACCTCATCATCACGCGCGAGAACCCCAAGAAGGGCGGCGGCAAGAAGAAGCGCGACGAGTAGGCGCGCGGGGGCCGCGCGCTAATCGAACCGCCTGCTGTTTACTCCAAGGGCGCTACTGACTCTGTCGTCCGAGGTACCGAGCTTCAGCCTGCGATTAAGCTTTCCAACATCGATGCATAATTTTGACTTCAAGGAGCAGTTCAACCTACCAGTTTGTCGCGATGGCCAGCATGACCACCCGCCGCCGCAAGGGCGGGAGCGAGGCGAAGCGCGACGACGCGGCGAAGCGCGACGACGCGGCGAAGCGCGACGACGCGGCGAAGCGCGACGACGCGGCGAAGCGCGCCGCGGTGGAGGCCAAGGCCGACGAGTACGCGATGACGGACAGCGAGAGCGACGACGACGACGAGCCGTCGGCCGAGTCCCTGACCGCGGCGCGCCTCGCGCTCGGCGGCCTCGAGCACTCGATGACGGACCTCATGGGCGAGCCGCCGGCGTGGCTCGCGGCGTCGCTCGCCTTCCTCGGCCCGAAGGTCGACGCGCTCCTCGGCGCTTTCGAGGTCGCGTACGGAATCGCCGCGCCGTTCGCTGCCGCCGTCGCCGCCGTCGCGGCGCTCTACGTCACGCGGGAGGGCGCGGAGGTCGCCCTCGGCCTGCTCGCGTGCGTCTACGGCGGGTCCTTCACGAAGGTCATCGCCGTCGCGGAGGCGCTGAACGTCACGGGCACGTGGGCGTCCGTCCGCGTCGCCGCGGCGCAGCTCCAAGCGCACGTCGAGGTCGTCGTGCGCGCGGAGCGCGCGGACAGCGGCCGCGAGTCCATGGCGGGCCTGCACGACCGCGGCGAGATGGGGCGCATCGTCGCGCGGAAATTGCGCGTCTCGGCCGCGGCGATCCGCGACCCCAAGGCGCTCTCGGGCACGCTCAGCGCGCTCTGGTCCGCGGCCGCGACCGTCGCGGCGGCCCTGCGCGTGCGCTTCGCGCGCACGCTCGTCCTCGGCGTGAGCCTGGCCGAGGTGCTCCGGCCCCTGGCGCTCCGGGAACTCGCGGCGCCGCTCGCGAGGGCGCTCGACCGCGACCACCGCCAGTGGGCGCCGACGCTCGTCGAGTGGGGCGTCAAGCTGCTGACGGTCACCGTCGCCTACAACCTCGCGCGCTACGTCGCCGCCTGGCACAGCGCGTGCCGCGGCGGCGCCGTCGCCGCCAAGGCCGCGCTGAAATACGCGAAGCGGAAGGGCTACGCGCCGGCGCGGCTCGCGCTCGCGACGGACGAGCGGCCCTACCGCGGCGCCGACGGCACGGGGCCCCTGGCCTTCGGGTTGTACGCCGACGAGCTCCTCGGCTTCGCGCTCGCGGCCTTCGGCGCCAAGGTCCAGTTCACCAAGGGCTTCCGCCTCCCGCCCCTCCTCAAGCTCCTCCTCCTCCCCGCGCGCCTCGTCGAGGGCTTCCTCGCCGTCGCCTTCGTCGGGCTGGCGTAAGGACGCTACGTGTGCAGCTTCGACACTGCCGGCTAAGCTAAAGTTAACCGGTTCAAAGAGCAGCGAAGCCGTGCAGTTTTGACGTCACGGCTTTGCCTCGCTCCGGGCTCGGACGCGCGATGCAGCGGTTCCAGGACTTGGCGCGGCGCTCGGTCTGTGGACCATGTCGCGCCTTGGGCCCGGCTGCGAGTCGCTCGGGAAAGACCATCGGTCGAAGGCGAGCAACTTAGTTCGCGTCGGGGCAGCCCGTGGATGACGAGAACGGCCGTTATCGGTGGGGGGCGACCGACGAGGGGCTCGCATTAGTGCTGAGGTCCCGTATGTGCGAACAACTTCGAAGAAACACCCCCTGGAATGTCGCTCCCGAGGGGGCTGTCCGGGTTTGTTCGCACCAAACGCCTCATGCATTGCGCGGTGAGCACCGTGTCACCCGCGGCGCCGCACGCCTCCCGGAGGCGGTGAGGTGATCTCGATCAAATCCACTCGAGCCGAAGAGCTGCCGCGAGGGCATCTGGTCGCCCCCATGACGAACGATTCCCGACGCTCTGTGACTCGAAGGGGACCGAAAATCGGGTCGGGGGAAGCTGCCGCGCCTCATTCCACCCCCTGGGGCTGCCCGTTTGCGTCGCCTCGCAATCGTCCGGATGTCGCGTCTTTTCATGTGCCTCACCCACATGTTTGCGGACCTCAAAGCCACTGGGATCGTTGCACGTCGCTGCATATTCGAGGAGCGCGGGGCCCTCTAAGGTGGAGATTCCACCATCGGCCGCTGAAATGCTCGCACGAGAGACCGTCTCTTAGCTTACGAATAGCTACGGATTACTGCAGCATTGCTTCATAGATGTGCTTGTTCAACGACGGCTCATTCGCAGCCGTAGCCGGTGGTGAATACGTCAACTCTAAGTCCTTGCACCTAAACTCACGATGGAGCGGCGATCGTGAGCCTTCCAGTCATGCTTTCGCCCGCGTCGTTTTGGATTGGCGGTGAGATCGACGATGAAAAGCAGCAGACGCGCGCGCAGCGGCGGCGCGAGAAGAAGCGGCGGACGCAGGACGCCGCGGAGGACGCTCCTCCAGCGCCGGCCTCGTCCCTCCTGGCCACGCCCGGCGCCTTCGCGTCGCGCGCGAAGAAGACGCCTTACGACGCGGACCTCGGCGCGGCCGTCGTGTCGCGCAAGGCCTTCTTCAAGGCGCGGCGGCGGACGCACGGCTACGCGCGGCCCGCGGCGTTCGAGCGCGCGCTCGCCGCGGCGCTCGGCCGGCTCAATCCGGCCTACGGCGCGAACGTCGCGCCGAAGCGCCCCTACGACTGGGCGTCCCTGCCCGCGGCGCTCGACGTCGGCGACGACGGCGGCGGCGGCCTGCCCGAGGCGCGGCGCGCGCGGAAGCGGCAGCAGCTCGAGAACGTCATGTGGTACGTCGACCGGCTCGCGCGGCCCGGCGACGTCGTCGTCGACTTCTGCAGCGGCTGCGGCCACCAGTCGATCCCGGTCGCGTACCTGCGGCGGGACGTCACCTTCGTGCTCCTGGACAAGAAGCGCTGGAGCCTGCTCGTCGCGGAGCGGCGCTGCGAGGAGCTCGGGCTGACGAACGTGCGCTGCGTCGACGCGCTCGTCGCGGACTTTGGCGAGCCCTTCGACCTGGGCCTGGCGCTCCACGCGTGCGGCGGCGCGACGGAGGACGTGCTCGAGAGCTGCGTGCGCGCGCGCGCGGCCTTTGTGGTGGCGCCGTGCTGCGTCGGGGGCACGGCGAACTGGCGGAACGGCGACTACCCGCGGTCCGACGCGCTCCGCGCCGTGCTGGCGCCGGCGCTCTACGCGGAGCTCGCCAAGGCGGCGGACACGAACGCGTCGACGCGCGACCTCAGGGGCGAGCCGCCGAAGCACCTGCCGCGGCGCCGGCTCTGCAAGTCCGTCGTCGAGGCGGACCGCCTCGCGCGCTGCGTCGAGCGCGGCTACGACGGCATGCTCGTGCTCATGGACCCGCCGGAGTGCACGCCGAAGAACGACGTCATCGTCGGCTGGCCCGCGGGCCGCGACGTCCGCGCCTGCTTCGAGCGGCGGCCCGCGGCGCCCCAGCCGCCGTGGATCCCGCCGTAACGTCGCGATCAGAAGTGTAGGCGCGCGCGCGCGCGCGCGCGGCCGGGCCGGATCGCGCGGAGGCCCGCGGAGGCGCCGGCCGTCGCCCGGGGACCGCCATCACCTCGTCCTCGTCGGCGCCTCGGCCTTGTCCGGCGACCCCGACGGGAAGGCCGCCGGGTTCTCCTTGGCCTGCTGGACGAGCTCCCGGAACTTGGCGCCGTAGGCCTTGAGCTTCTGGTCCACGAGCTCCTTGACGAGCGCGGCCACGAGCACGAAGAAGAAGTGGCAGACGGCCAGGGAGATGATCTGCATCGTGAGGACCTTGACGAACATCCAGAGGCGGCTCCCGAACCATTTGCGGCAGAGCACGCCGCCGACGAGCGCGGCGGCGCGCGCGCGGTTCGACCGGTACTCGAGCATGCCGAGCCCGAGGCAGTAGATCGCGGCCTCGAAGACGAAGGTCCAGCCCAGCGCCGCCAGCAGCCAGGCGACGACGGGCACGACGACGACGCGGAAGCCGATCTTCTCCAGCTTCGCGTCGCCCCGGAGCCGGCCCGCGAGCGCGGACACGCCGCACGCGGCGATCGCCGCGGCCCGGAGCCACCGTCGCCGCAGGGCGCAGCAGATGACCATGGCCACGGCCGTGCGGATCGCCGCGACGCCGACGGCGCGGTTCGCGTGCGTGCCGATCTCCTGCGCCAGGTCGTCCGCGGACGTGTCGTCGCCGAGGTCGAAGCCGAAGCGGTCGTACGCCGCGCGGCTCTTCTCGTCCTTGAGCACCTCGTAGGCCCGGTTCAGCTTCTGGAACGCCTCCTCGCTGCCCCCGCGCTTGTCCGGGTGGACCTTGAGGCTCAGCTTCCGGTAGGACTTGGTGAGCTCCTCCGTCGTCGACTCCTTCGTCACGCTCAGCATGGCGTAGTAGCTGTCCATGGCGGCGCTCGCCGGGTAAGCCCGAGGCACCGGACCACGCCGGGGAGAGGCGGGAGCGGCCCGGCCGCGCCCGGCGGCCGCCCCGCGCCCCGAGGACTTTTTCCGGCCCGCGCGGCCGCGGCGACCGTGCTCTTGGTTGTGGAGCTTTGGGGGCTCATCTTTGCAATCCGCATGTTACATGCACTGTGCCGTTGCAGTCGTCACACGATTCCCAGAGGACAAGAGTCGACGCGAGCCTTACGCCAAGTAGGGCCCGCGCGGAGATGCAAGCAGGGGCGGGTCGCGGTCCGGAATCGCGATCGGAGGAGCCGGGCCGGCGCGCGGTCGGGGTCAATCAACACTTTGCAAAAACTTGGGCGCGCCGCGGCTGCCGCCGCCTGAGGTCAGCCGCTCCAGAGGAGGGCGACGAGGTTCGAGTGGGGCTCGTGGGGCGCCAGCGCCGGCGTCGTCGGCGACGGCGACCGCGAGTCGGGCCAGGTCACGCAGCGCCGCTTCTTGTGCGCCGGCGGCGATATCGACACGGTCCTGAAGGGCTCGCAGGGCTCGGCCTCCGCGGGGAGCGGGGCGGCGCCGGGCGCGGGCGCTGGTCGCGGCACGGTCCGTCGATGCAACTCCGGCGAGAACTTCTCGAAGAGGCTCTGGCCGTTGTACGCGATGCGCGGGCTCGAGAGGTCGCGGCGCGGGCCCGGCGACTCGTCCCACCCAAAGCTGTAGCGGTGGGACGTCGACACGGGCGACGGCCGCGGCCGGTCGATGCTGCCGCTCAGGCGCGGGGACGGGCCGATGGCCGGCGGCGGGGGCAGCTCGTCGCGCTCGATCATGGCGCTCATGGGGCCCAAGGGGCAGCCCCGGGGGCACCGCTGGGGGGGGTTTCGGGCGGGGGCCGGGTCAATGCGACCCGGCCTACCTTGCGACGCCCCCCATGGCGGCCGGAGGCGCCTCACCGGCGCCGCGGCCCGGCGCACGACGGGATCGCTTGACGACGGGCAGCCTCGCGGAGGATGCGCTTTAAAGTCGGGCCGGGCACGCCTGAAGTGTGACGCGTACGGTTAGGTTGCACTTCTATGTGGCGGAGAGAGCCCGAATATCAGAAACGGTAACAACGAAGACCAGGCGGTGTACTTCTGCTCTTCTTGTTCGGCGACACAACACGAGCCCAAGCGGCTCGCTTGGGCGCCGCTTTCTGATGCGCCGCGGACCGCGCGCGCGGTCCGCGGCCCGCGCCTCCCGTCGTCGCCCCCGGATGCTGAAATTGCCACGCGGTTTCTATTCCCCTCGCGCGTGTCCGAGTCACAGGAGCCATTACGGGCAGGGATTGAATTCTCGCGCGGCGGGACCGCGGCGCGATTGCGGTCTGTGGATTGTGTGTGTGTGTGTGTCGAGCGGGCCCGGCGGCCGCGCGGCACGCATCACACGAGCGACTTGCGGGCGCACAAAAGCGCGCCGGCGCCGCGGTCGCGCTAGGGCGACGCCGGCCAGAGGAGCCCGAGGAGGTCCGCGTGCGGATCGCTCGGCGGCGGCCGGAGCGCGCGGAAGGCGCCCGGCGGCGTGCCCACGGGCTCGTCGAGCGAGATGGAGACCTGCCGCCGGCGCCGCTTCGGCTCGGGCTCCGCGCCGTCGTCGCCGGCGCCGCCGCGGCGCGCGTCGTCGCCGCGCGCCGGAGCGCCGTCGCACCGGAAGAGCGAGCGGCCCTGGAAGCGGACGCAGCGCGGCGACGGCGGCCGCGCCGACGCGGCGCGCGCGGGCGAGGCCCAGGGGATGCTCAGGGCCGTCGGCGACACCACGGGCGGGGGCGGGGCTCGCGATGAAGCACCTTTGCTGTCCGAATGCGCCGCCGGCGCCATCGCATGGGATGCAACGGCCATCATCCGCGAGCCAGGCAGCCCTTTTCGCTCGAACTGCTCGGCGACTGCGACGCGAGCGGGGAGACGAGGCGGGTGCGGTGCGTCGGGTCGTCTTCTGTACAGCGTGAGAGGTGGATCTATGAAAAGTGGACTCCTTCACTTTCTGTGAGCAGTGGCAAGTTTGGGGCAATGGTTTGGTTGAACGTTCAACGCGCTTAAACCTGCCGCTGGGAGAGCATCAAACGTTGAACGGCGCTTGAACGGACGCCGATCTACTAACGCGACGATGGGCTCCGGTGCTTCCACACCGCGCCGCAATGCCTTCGCTGGATGCGACGCGGCTTTGCTTGCGAGAGCGCAGGAACTGGCGCCGAAGATGCCCGACGACGAGCGCGTCGAGACGCTGAATTCCATGCTAAAAGAGTTCAACGACGAGGCCGAGGCCTTCGACGTGCCCGAGGCGGCCGACGAGACCTTCGACGTCCTAAAGACGACGAAGGACGGGTCCGCGATCAAGCTCACCATGTTCCCCAACAAGAACAAGGCGAAGAAGCAGTTCAGCAAGGTCAAGCGCAAGGGCCGGAGCGCCGTGCTCGTCAAGGACGGCACCGTCGACCCCAAGTTCATCTGTGGCAACAAGGCCACGGTGACCTTCATGATCGGCGTGTCGTTCGGCATGGCCAAGTGCGACCTCTCCGTCTTAGACGAGGCGGGCAGCCCCTACCAGATCTTCGTCGACGACGGCGTCGACGACGACGACGCGGACGAGGACGACGAGGTCGACGACGTCGACGCGAATTTCGTGCTCTGGAAGCTCACGAAGGACGGCTCGGGCATCAAGGGCCTCGAGTTCAAGAAGAAGAAGAAGGCCGTAAAGAAGTTCAACAAGATGGTCAACAAGAAGCGGCCCTGCATCCTCGTCGAGGACGGCAACCTCATTACGCACTTTACCGTCTTCGACAGCGGCCTCCTGAATCGCATCGTTATTTTCATCATCGGCTGCGCCTTCGGCAAGGGCGTCAGCAAGTCCCTCGGCCCCGTCGAGGATGACGACTCGCCGCTCGGCTGCCTCGAGGACGAGTAGGGCGGCCGCTAAGAGTCCAGCGCGCGCGTCGAAGCCGAGTCGACTGGTCCCCGGGCTGCTCCGGAGAGCGTAGGGAGGCCGCTAAGCCCCGAGGCCGAGCACCCTAGACCCCTTTACTTCATCAGCGGGCTGTCCTCCGGGAGGACGTAGGGCCCGACGATGGTGACGACGAGGAGCAGCGCGAAGAAGGTGAAGGGGTTCGCCCCGAAGGCGCCCGTGAGGCCCGTGATCTGGTCCTTGGCGCCCACGGCCATGCCCGCGAGCGCGCCCGTGTTGCACTCGACGAGCTCGCACTCGAAGCGGAGGTCGCTGTTCGGCGGAATCAAGCCGCCGGCGATGTTCTCCTCGCCGTAGGCGAGGCGCGACGGGATGAGCATGGTGCGCTTGCCGCCGACGCGCATCGTCGACACGCCCTCGTCCCAGCCGGGGATGACGTTGCCCTTGCCGATCTCGAAGGTGAACGGCACGCCGCGGTCCACGGACGAGTCGAACTTGAAGTCGCTCGCCGCGAGCCAGCCCGTGTACTCGACGCGCACGATGGAGCCCTTCTCCGGTTGCTCGCCGTCGCCGACCTTGTCGTCGACGAACTTGAGTCCGGACATGGTCACCTCCCACTCCGGCTCCGTCGACACGGCCTCGGCGCGCGGCGCCGTCGCGCTCAGGCGCGCCGCGGGCGCGACGAAGCCGGAGGAACGCAAGAACACGAGCGATGCGATGGCCGCGCGGAACATGGTCGCGTGCTGTTCTCGACGACGGCGAAGGCGGCGGCCTCGATCCAAGCCTCAACCAATCGGCGGCTAAGGCAATGTCAATTTGGCAATGAGCGACCGCGCCAACCTTGACGGCACCACTCAAAGTATCTCTCTGCTCAACGCTTGCGCGCAGCCTGGGCGCGGTTTTCACGCGTCGAGCTGCGCGGCGGCCCGGCGTGGGCGCGCGGACCGTGGGCGCTCAACGGCGACGTTTCGCAGTTTCAACTAACCGACCATGGCGCCGCATCCGGTGGTCCTCATCTCGCAGGAGGAGCGCGTGGCGCGCTTCGGCGTGCTGTGCACGGGCCCGGCCCGGGGCGGCGACATGCACGGCCAGGACGACGGCATCGTCTTCCGGGGCGGCGAGTGGGAGCCCGGGGGCGAGTACGTGCAGAAGCTCACGGTGAAGAACGTGACGACGAAGATGAAGAAGCTCAAGTACCGGCTCCCGAGCACGCGCTACTTCAGCCTCGCGTTCCCCGAGATCATCGAGCTGTCGCCCGGCATGAGCGTCGACATCGACGTCGTCTTCCGCCCCATCCAGATGGAGACCTACGACGACACGATCTACTTCAAGCTCGAGGAGCTGGCCGTGGGGTCGACGAGCGACGTGCCGCTCCGGGGGTTCCACGTGCCCGTGCGCGCGCTGCTGTCGACGCTCCAGGCGAGCTGCCCCGCGGGGCTCGACATGGGCCTCTGCCCGACGGCGGAGACGAGCGAGCGCACCTTCGTCATCACGAACACGGGCGAGGTGCCCGCGCCGTTCTCGTGGACCGTGCCGCCGCCCTTCCGCCTCGAGCCCATGGAGGGCGTGCTGGGCGTCGCCGAGTCGCAGACCATCACGGCGTCGCTCCTGCCGACGCAGGCCTCCGTCTTCGTGGCGCGGGCGACCTGCGACGTGGGCCGCGGCGTCAACGCGATCAAGCCGCAGCCCGTGCTCGAGATGAAGCTGTCCGCGATCGGCAAGTTCGTCCACATCACGCTGTCCGAGTCGCGCATCGACTTCGGGGACGTGCTCGCGGGCAGCCCCCAGGGCGAGGAGGTGACGCGCGAGATCATCGTGAGCAACAACTCCGTCGTGCCCGCGACGGTGGAGATCCTGCGCGTCGAGAACGACTGCGACCCCGTCTTCGCCGTGTCGCCGCGGACCATCCTCGTGCCGCCCCAGGGCGAGACGCCCGTGCACGTCGTCTTCCACGCGCGGAGCGCGGGCACGTACACGGCGGAGCACCTCGAGTTCGTGACGCCCGGCGGCAACCGGCCGCGGATCCTGCTCACGGGCAGCGCCATCAGCCCCGTCGTCCGCGTCTTCAAGAAGGAGGACCCCTTCGCCCAGGGCTTTGGGGTGCCCAACTCCGTGAACTTCGGGTCCGTCAAGGTCGGCAAGATGCAGAGCCGCGCGCTCTTCATCGAGAACACGTCGGAGATGGCGCTGTCGTTCCAGTTCGTCACGGACGAGGGCGGCACCTTTACGTTATCCAAGTACCAGGGCGTGCTGCCGGCGAAGCTGGAGGTCCCCGTGAAGCTCTGCTTCGCGCCGGACCGGCCCATCAACTACTACCGGCGCCTCTTCCTGCTCGTCGAGAACCGCATGCCCCTCTTCATCGACCTGCTGGGCACGGCCTTCATCCCCGCCCGCGGCGAGGTCAAGGAGCAGCGGCCCGCGCCACTGCGCCACGCGCACCTCCAGGCGTCGCGGAACCGCGTCGCCGCGGGTTTGGGCGCGGCGTCGCCCGACGAGCTCGAGGAGCTCTTCGCGGAGCTCCAGGAGCGGGGGCCCACGGCCGAGGAGCGCCTCCTCTTCGCGCGCGTCGGCGCCCGGGGCCACGACGACGTCCTGCTCAAGACGCGGACGGCCGCGCCGATGACGCGGAGCGGCGAGGCGACGCGCGTCGACGTCGCCGTCGCGCACGACCTCTTCTACGACATGCAGGGCAACGCGCCGGACAAGGAGGTGACCATCTCCGCCGATTCCCTGGACTTTGGGTGCCAGACCGTCGGCGGCAGCGGCGAGCGGAAGCGCACGGTCACGGTGAACAACGGCACGCGCGCGAAGATCTGCGTCGTCTGGAAGAAGCCGCCCGTGCCCAACGGCGACTGCGCCGGCCCGGACTTTTCCATCTCGCCCGAGTCCGTCGACATCGCCGACGGCGCGTCCTTCGACTTCAAGGTCACGTACCACCCGCAGCGCGAGAACGCGTACTCGCTCAACGCGCTCGAGGCCGTCGTCTTCTTCAAGTCCCAGCGCAGCTTCCGCCTCGTCAACGACGCCGTGCTCGCGCCGCCCTGGTACCTCCAGGTGACGGCCATGGGCCACTCCTTCGACGGCGAGCAGTTCGCGCCCCAGCTCATCTTCGAGCCGCACTCGTGCTCGTTCCCGGGCTGCTACGTCGGCGACACGGGCTACCAGATGCTCACGCTGCGCAACCGCAGCAACCTCCCGGCCATGTTCGTCGTCCACGAGGACCTCGTCAAGGCCTTCACGATCAAGCCGGCCCTGGGGCTCATCCCCGCGGGCGGCTTCCAGCTCCTCGTGTGCAAGTTCGAGCCCAAGGAGGTGCGCCACTACCGCCACCTCGTCCGCCTCGAGGTCAACGGCGAGGAGACGACGGGGCCCCTGCTCCTGGGCAGCGGCCACGTCCCCTGCGCCGTGCTCCACGGCATGGACGCGACGACGAACCCCGAGAACGGCGCGGGCCACGTCACGTTCCAGCCGACGTGCGTGGGCCTGCTGAGCCGCCGCACGTTCAAGGTCCACAACACGACGCGCGTGCCCCTCGTCTTCGACGTCGCCCTGCCCGCGCGGTCCGGCGCGTCCTTCTCGCTGCGGCCGCGGACGGGCGTGCTCCGGGGCAACGAGTCCGCGACGATCACGGTGACGTTCGCGCCGTCGTCGCGGGGTTTGGTGAAGACGAAGTGCGTCGTCGCCGTGCGGCCTTTAGCCGGCGCGCCGCCGCCGTCGCGGCCCGACGGCCGCCAGATCGGCAACGCGGCGAACGTCCGCGTGCTCCAAAAAATCGTCGCGCGGCTCGTCGCTCCCGGCACGTGCGGCGTCATCGCCTTCGAGCCGCCCGTGCTCGAGTACCCGACGCTCCTCGTGAACACGACGGAGTCCAAGGAGCTCGTGCTGGCCAACGCGTCGGACTGCGCCGTGCGCTACTCCATCGACTACTGCGCGCGGCTCCGCGCGTTCGCGCAGGGCGAGGAGCCCGTGGAGACGTCGCTGGCGGACCGGACGTTGCTCCCCGCGCCCTCCGAGGGCCGCACGGAGCGCGTGCTCATCGACCAGCCCTGCGGCGTGCTGCCCGCGCGGAGCCGGCAGCGCGTCAAGGTCACGTTCCAGCCCGACGCCGCGGGCGACTTCGAGTTCGCGTGCGTCTGCAAGGTCCACGCCGTCGACGAGCACGGCGACCACGTCGCCATGGACCCGGCGGAGGCGGCCCTGCTGGCGTTGGGCGAGGAGGCGCGGGAGACGGCGCTCGTGCGCGGCGCGGACCCCTTCGCGAAGGACCTCGTCGCGGAGCTGTCCGAGGCGGGCCGCCTGGCCAAGGCCGCCGCCGAGGGCGACGGCGAGGAGGACGAGGCGCCCGCGGGCGCGACGACGCGCAAGCGCCGGAAGAAGAAGAGCGCCGTCCTACCGCTGACCTGCGTCGTGAGAGGGAGGGCGTCGTTCCCGACGGTCGTCATGCGCGACATCCGCGTCGAGGGCATGCGCCTGGGCTGCTCGACGCCGAACATGTGGGCCCATTTTTCCGTCGCGTCGCTGAACGCGGCGCTGCTGACGCCGCTGACGCGCGAGGAGGTGAGCTTCAACCTCGAGAGCTCGCCGGACCTGTCGGCGCTCACGCGGTTCCCGCTCCGCTTCGTGCCCGAGCCCCTGGGCTCGCCGCCCCAGATCGTCCTCGTCGACGTCAAGAACCCGGGCCTGCTGCCGACGACCTTCTCCATCCACCTCCCGAACGAGCGCGACATCGAGCTCGAGCCCTGGGCCGACGAGGGCGAGCCGACGGAGGCGGACGTGCGCGTGAACCGCGTCATCGACGAGCTCAAGTGCTTCGACGTGTCGCCGCGCAAGGCGACCCTCGCGCCGGGCGAGGCCGTGACGCTGCGCTTCGCCTACGTCTTCAACTCGCGCGAGTTCGACGGCGTCCACGAGCTGCCCGTGCTGTTGAGGGTCGCGCAGGGCAAGCAGCTCTGGCTCGACCTCACGGGCCGCACGCTCGCGCCCAACGAGCCGTTGCTCGTCGTGCCCCAGGACCCGACGACGGGCGACCTGGCCATCCACCCCGTGGCCGTGGGCACGAAGCCCGAGCAGGCGCCGCTCCAGCTCGTCGACGTCGTCAACGTCGGCGCGGCGCCGCTCCAGTACGAGGTCGTCTTCGGCCAGCCCCAGCCCGTGCACCTCGACGCGCCGTCGATCCAGTCGGCGCCCTCGGAGGCGACGTCCGTGGGCTGCGACCTCATGCGCGTCGAGAACCCGTCCGGCGCGGTCCCCGCGCACGGCCTCGTGCAGCTCCGGATCCGCTTCCTGCCCATCATGGCCTGCAAGTACACCATCCCCTTCACCGTGCGCTACACGTCCGACGGGCTGCGGGGCGGCGAGACCCACGACTACGCGCTCGACACGACGCTCGTGACGTCGGGCTACAACCCGCGCGACAAACGGCAGGACCCCTACGGCGACCGCGCGGGCGCGGACGACGAGAAGGCCTTCCACCCGCCGAGCTGCCAGATCGTCGAGTCGCCGTCGCAGCCCGCCGTCCTGTCCCAGGAGACGCTCGTCTTCGGGCGCGTGCCCCAGCGGACGCACGTGCACCGCCTCGTGACGCTGCGCGCGCCCGGCGCGACGAAGCTCGCGCCCTTTGGGGCCGACAGCGCCGACGGGCCCGTCTACGACTTCCAGTGGGAGGCGGCCCACGACCTCATCGCCAACGGCATCCTCGACGTGGAGCCGCTCTCGGGGGCCATCTTCCCGGGCCAGGTCGTCGTCTGCCGCGTGATCCTCCGCGCGGACTGCGAGCCCGTGGTCCTGGATGGCTCCGTGCTCGTCCTCGTCAAGGAGCGGCCCGCGGCGACGGGGTCGCGCCGCGAGCGGCGCGGCGCGACGCCGGGGGCTGCCGGCGGGTCCCTCGACCACAGCGCGAGCCCGTCGAAGGCGTCGACGGCGCACCGGTCGCTCGTGACGCGCTGCACCGTGAGCCGCGAGCGGTCCCTGACGCAGACGACGCTGCCCAACTCGCGCCTGCCCATGATGCCCACGAGCGGCACGGCCGTCGCGCCGCCGCCGCTCGGCGCGCCGCCGCCCGGCGGCGGCGCGTCCGCGGGCGGCTCCGGCGAGAGCCGCGGCGGCTACGGCGAGTCCCTGCCCGCGCCGCCGACGGCGGGGTCCGCGCGCCTCGGCTCGGCGCCCGGCGGCCGCGGCGGCCTCGGGGGCACGTCCGCGCCGCCGACGCCAGCGACGGCGAAGCCGGGCACCGCGGGCAGCGCGCTCGCGCCGCTCATGCAGGGCTTCGCGAACACGAACTTGGCCCGGGGGCCGTCGGCGACGTCCCTGCTGAGCACGGAGAACACGCTCCACAGCGCCGCGTCCGCGGCGCAGGGCGGCGCGGTCTGCTTCCTCCGGCTGAAGATCGTCGCGGAGGTCGTCGGCGAGGCGCAGCACCTCCAGCTCCACGACGGCCGCAGCGAGCTCGACAAGATCTACGTGCCGCGGCCCCTCGTCTTCGTGCCGCCGCCGGCCCTCGACGACGACCCGTTTTTGAGCCCGCGGAGCCTCGAGCCCGCGGACGACGGCGCGTCCGCCGCGGACCGGCCGGGCACGCCCGAGAGCGCGCTGGTCAAGGCGCGGGCGGCGCGGTCGGCCATGGGCTTCGTCTTCCAGGACCTGCTCAAGCTCTTCGAGATCAAGGCCATGTTCCGCATGCTCCCGAAAAAGCCCGTCGTGCCGCTCTACGTCGAGCTCAAGGACAAGCCGTCGCTCGTGGACCGCGTGCGCGAGGCCTGCGGCGACTGCCTCAAGGAGGGCGGGCGCATCGCCCTGGGCGACCTGCGCCAGAGCCTCGTGGACCTCGGCTGCAAGGCGACGATCTCCGAGACGAAGCAGTTCTTTCGCCACCTCCACGACGAGGAGGCCACGGTCGTGGATTTGGCGGACTACGTCGAGGAGCTGACGCCGGACGTCGCGCTGGCCATCATCACGGCGTTGGACGACACGGAGCACGCGCACCGGCTCGCCGTGCAGCTCGAGCGCCACGAGGCGCGGCTCCGCGAGATGGCCGGCGACCAGACCAACGCGGCCACGAAGCTCCAGAACATCACGCGGTCCCGCAAGGCGCGCCAGACCGTGGCCCACAAGCGCTACGAGCGGTCCAAGAAGGGCCAGGCCGAGCGCGAGGGCGCGACGGCGCTCCAGTCGACGTTCCGCGCGCGCCAGAGCCGCCTCGCGGCGAAGGCCGCGGCGAAGAAGCGCCTCGACACGACGGCGAAGCGCCTGCTCGGCGACCCGGCCTTCCAGGGCATGGTCCACTCCTGCATCGAGGGCACGCTCTTCAACCTCATCCAAGAAGCACTCCACAACGAGTTCGAGCTCACCGCCGCGCCCGTCCAGCGCCTCCTCCCGCGATGAGCGACGCGCCTCCCCTTCCCCACGTCGCGCGTCCGCTTAATTTGAGGGATCTTGGTTTTCGCGTTGAAGGCAAGTTGCTGAATTCACACAAAACAGCTGCGATCTCCTCGCTAAGGCGGGGTTTGCGCCGCCACTGGCGCCGGCACCCCTGCGTGCGCGGCGGGGTGGTACATCTTACTGCAGGGAAACGGCGTTCCCCAGCCGTCACACCCACGTCGCGCCCAAAACCAAGGGGCGTATCCAACGCCATCGATGGTGACGCGCTTCGCTGGCACGGACTTGTACGCCGCGGCCGCCCCGCGGAGACGAGGCCCGCGCGGTGGAATTTGGTCGACGCCAGAACCACCTCCGATGGGGGCACCGACGGTCAGGCTTACGCCTAGGGGTCATGGAAGGCCACTCCGACCACCAGAACGGGCTGCCGTGCGTCGGGAGCTTGGCCTCAGAGGTCGCCGTTCCTGGCCCGCGCGTACGTGTTTGGTGCTCTAGCCAGCGAAACGGCTAGCCGTTCGTCCCAATCCGAGCGCTTGTTTTTGTTACGTATAGCCACCGGGCGTCCTTGGCCGCACACCAATCCCCGGCAGTTTGGACGGGGGGCGCGTCGGCCATCGGACGCTGGCGCCGGAGCAAACCCCGCCTTCGAAGGCCTTCCTCGCTGCCACCATCGAAGCGCCAAGCGTGGTAAGAATCCGCCCGCCTGCAGCCACGATGCTCCGTCTCGTTGCGCTCGCGCTGCTCTCCGGCGCCGCCTCGGCGCTCACGCGCGTCGCGCCGCGCGCCAGCATCGCCGTCTTCGGCTCGACGGGCCTGACGGGCCGCGAGTGCACGCACCAGCTCCTCGAGCGCGGCGTCGCCGTGCGCGCGCTCTGCCGCACGCCGGCGAACGTGCTCACGCCCCTGGGCTCCGCGGGCAAGGAGGAGGCGGTGACGAGCGACCAGCTCTTCAAGTTCAAGGGCTCCGTCGACGTCGCCGCGGACGTCGAGAAGGTCTTCGAGTCCGGCGACATCGAGGGCGTCATCATCGCGCTCGGCGGCAAGACCAAGGACGTGGGCCCGACCATGCTCACGGACGGCTCGGCCATCATCATCGACGCCATGAAGAAGTACGGCGTGAAGCGCGTCGCCGTCGTCACGTCCATCGGCGCGGGCGACTCCAAGGACCAGGCGCCCTTCTTCTTCAAGATCCTCATGAACACGGTCATGTCGTCCATCTTCACGGACAAGAACAACCAGGAGGCCCTCTTCACGTCGGGCCCGGGCAAGGACCTCGAGTGGTGCATCGTCCGCCCGGGCGGCCTCACCGTCGACGCGCCGACCGGCGTCGTCAACGTCATCGACGGCGAGGCGGGCTCCATCCCCCGCGCCGACGTCGCCGACTTCTGCATCGGCGCGGTCCTGGAGCCCGACTTCCCCTACATCGGCAAGACGCCCTGCATCAGCTCCGTGGGCGGCACGTCCTGGGTCAAGGACCGCAGCGCGGCCGCGCGCGAGGGCATGTCCGCGTAGGTGCGGCAGCGAAGGAGCGTAAGACGAAGGAAACTCTGCGCAGTGGAACAATGTCATGGCTTTTTTGGAACACGGCAGCTATTCTATGTTAGGCGACGGACAAAAGAATCGACGCGTTTAACAAAAGATTCGACGCGTTTAACAAAAGATCTGCACGGCACCATCAATGTCCAATGCTCGTCCCAAGACACACTATCAGCAGGAGTGCGGAGGCAGCGTCTGAGCGCGGAAACGGTGTTTTGCATCGACGTCCTTGCATGTGACGCCCTTCCAGCGCTTCCAGTGCGTCGGCACGCTGTCGCATACCTTCCGCGTCCCATGCAACTCCGGGGCTGCCCCGCATTGGCGCACGCGACGGCGGCGTTTCTGTCGTCGTGCGCTGCCTCGCCGCCGCCATGGGTGCCACAGCCGACGACAGCGACCAACGTCGTCGTGTGCCTGCTACCGCCGTCGATGCGGTTCGGAGCGCTGCGTCGCCGCGCGGCCGCGGCGCGCGGCGCGGCCCGGCGCCGGCGCGAGGGCGCGGCCCGCGGCCGGTTCCTGGCGGCCCGCGGCCGCGCGGAGCTCGCCGCGCTCGCGGCCTGAGCGGCGGGCCTGCGCGCGGCGGTCCGCGGCCCTGGGCCGCTTTCTCGCGGCGGGCGCGGGTCCGCGGCGCTCCGCGCGCGGTCACGGCGCCGGCGGCTCGCCTGGGGCCTCGGCGCGTGGCGGCGGCGCTGGGAGGCGGCCGCGGGCGCCGCGGCGCTCCACCGCGGCGCGGCGCCGGCGCTCGGCCGCTGGTGGAAGGCGCGCGTCGCCGACGTCGAGGGCCCCGCGGCCGCGGCGGACGTCGCGGCCGCGCTCCGGTGCCTCCGCCACATCGCGCCGGCCTCACGCGGCGCGCTCCGCGCGTGGCGCGCGGCCGCGGCGGCGTCCGCGGCCGCCGCCGCGGACGGCGCGGCGCTCAGGAGCCGCGTCGCTGTCTGGCGGCGGCGGCGGCCGCGGCGGCGGCCGCAGCGGCGGCCGCTCGGAGCCGGCTCCGCCGGGGCCTCGCGGCTTGGGCCGCGGCCGCGCGCCGCACGCTCCGGCTGACGGTGGCGCGCCACGTGGTCCACGTCCAGCGGTCTCGCGCGCTCCGCGGCGCGCTCGCGGCAATCGCCGCGGCGGCCGCGGCCGCGGCGCTCGACGCGCGGCGCGGCGCGGTCGCCGCCTGGTGCGCGCGCGCCGCGCGCCGCAGAGCAGCGCCGCGCGGCCGCGCCGCGCGGTCCTCGCGTGCGCGGTCGCGCGCGTCGGCGCCGCCGTGGCCGAGCGGGCCGCGGCGCGGCGGCGCCGCGCGGACGGCGCGCGCGCGATCGCCCGTGCGGCGCTGCGCCGCCGCGTCGCCGCCGCCTGGATAATTCCGCGGGGTTTAAAGACGGGTCGGCGGGACGAGTCCGCGCGTCGCTCCGCCTGGCTTCAGCGCCTTCGGCGCCTTTGTCGCCTCCGGCGCCTTCGGCGCCTTCGGCGCCTCTTTTTTTTTTTTTTTTTTCTTTTTTTTTTCTCCTCGCCATGTGCCAAACATGAAAAAAGTGCCCTTTTTTGGTGCCGCGTGAGAATGTGCTCGTTGAAGGCAAACGTCGACCTAGAATTCCGAGTCTGCCGCGCAATGGCTGCTCGATTTGACGCTCGAGCGCTGCTGCTGGCGGCATGGCTCGTCAACACTCAAGCGCTGCTGCTGGCGGCATGGCTCGTCCATACCGCAGCAGCGCTCAAACCTATCACCATCCATGCGCGCGCGCTGGCCGCAACGGAGCATCGCGTGATCAGAGACACCTGCGAGCGCCTCGGCTACGCGGCCGACGTCGTGGCCGTCGCCGGCGAGGAGCGCGCCGCGATCCTCGTCGACTGCGACGCGGAGGACGACGAACCGCTGGTCTTCGGCGTCATGGAGTCGCTGGACGCGCTCGGCGGCGCGTCGGCGCTCGTCGCGCCTTGGCGAGGGAGCGCCGACGAGGACAGCTACGCGGGCGCGCTCCGAGACCACGTCGAGCGCTTCGAGCTGCGCAAGCGCGTCGCCGTCGACGCGACGTCGACATGGGACCCGAAGGTAGTATCGCCGGTCGCCCACGTCGAGATCGACGGAGCCGTGGACGACGACGGCGAGTTCGACGTTAGCCGGTTGGTCGTGCTCGACGGCTTAGTCGACGAGCCGCTGCGGCGCGACCTCCTGGGCTTGCTGGGCGATAGCGGCGACGGCCGCTGCGACCCCGATCCGTCGGTGTGGACCAAGGACCTCTACACGGAATTAGTGCTCGACGCGGCCGGGAACGAGGTTCCTCCGCCGCCCGGCGCGAAGGCGTGCTGGGGCCTCGACGGCGACCACCTGCTGGCTCTCTGCGACGAGGACACCGTCCCTCGCCCGATCCTCGAGCTCCAGACGCGGCTCACGAAATATTTGGATCCGAGCATCACTCTCTGCCGCGTCCCCCCTGCGTGCCTCGGCGACGACATTCTTCCCATCGCCGCGAACGCTCCGCAGCATCGGGACGGCTCGGACGCGTTCGACTGGCACATCGACGGCGACCCGGCGCAGCATCCGCCGTCTCCCTGGACCGACGCCTTCGGATTCCACGGGAACCGGCGACGGGGAAAGCCGCGATTCATCAGCTGCCTCGTCTACCTCCCGGCGATCTGGGAGACGGCGTGGGGCGCGCCGACGCGCTACGTCGATCCGCCGACGAACGAGATCTTCGAGGTGTCGCCGAGGCCGGGCCGCGTCGCGATCGACAGCGTTGAGCGACAGGAGTGTTTTTTCGCGTGAATTTCGCCTGAAGATGTGAAGAAATCCGACACCGTCGCACTTGGTAGGCGATCTACGATCAGGACATTACTCACTCGGTCACGTGCCCGAATGCGGCGGCGGGCGATCGACCGCGCTACTCGCTCGTCGTCAAATTCGCGCTCCACCCCTCACACTCGCGGCACGCGCCGGACTTTCGACCGGACATGCCGGCGACCCGCGTCGGGTCCGCGGCGCGGCGACCGCCGGAGGACCACGTGGAAGACCGCGCATCCGACGAGACACCCGCGGAGGACCTGGCCAACCGCACCGTGCCCCAGCTCAAGGCGCTCCTCCGCGCGCGGGGCCTCCGCGTCGGCGGCCGGAAGGCCGAGCTCATCGACCGATTGGTAAACGTGCGATAGTGTTCGGGCTGGCCGTGCGTGCTGCCCTTCCTCCCCCAGTTAATGAACGTGCGATAGTGTTAGGGCTGCGTGCTGTCCTTCCTCGGACGGCCGCGCGAGGCTGCGGCGCCGGCGCGCAGGCCCCGCTCGACGTCGTCGTCGTAGACGAGGGCGCCCGGCGTCCTCGGGCTCTCGAGGGCCGCCTTCCGCGCGGCGCGGCGCTCGTCGCGCATGAGGGGCGCGGCCGCGAGGGCGAAGACCGCCGTCGCCACCGCGGAGAAGGCCGCCGCGAGCAGGTACGTCGCGACGCCGCCGCGCGCCTCGAAGATCGCGGACCAGACCAGGTGGCCGACGGCGCCGCCCACGGTGAAGTAGGCCATGGTCAGCAGCGACTGCGACGACGCCCGCAGCTCCGGCGGCGCCAGCGCGTCCACGAGCTCCACGGCCGCCGAGAGCCAGGCGGCGAACATGGGCCCGTGCAGGCACTGGACGGGCAGCAGGAGCCAGGTGAAGTTGTCGGCCGTGACGCACGCGTGGAGCAGCAGGCGGATCGGCAGCAGGCACTGCGCCGCGAAGAGCACGCGCCAGTGGCCGTAGGCCCCCAGCAGCTCCGCCGAGTGCCAGAAGAAGGGGAAGGTCGAGGCCGTCGCCGCGGCCGTCGCGAGGCCGTTGACCGTGCGCGACACCCCCAGCTCCGACTCCAGTTGCATGTAGAGGATGGAATCGACGACGACGACCCCGGTCCCGAAGACGACGCCGTTCGCCAGCGCTAAACGCAAAGGCGGCGACCGCCGCAGCGCCACGAGGCCCCGGGAGCAGACGGCGCCGAGATTCCGCGGCGCGCGCTTCTTCGTCTCCGCCGCGGGCGCCGGCGCGTCGTCCGCGTCGCTCGCGGACTCGAAGGCGTCGCCCTCGCCGCAGCAGGCGCCCGCGTCGTCGGGGACGGGCTTCTTCCGCGGCCAGGCCGGCCGCAATCTCGCCAGGAGGACGAGGAGCAGCGCGAAGGACACGACGTACGACACGCCGAAGAGTCCGGCCTCCAGACCGACGCGGTCGATGAGCGCCCCGACGACGACGGACCCCAGACCCCAGGACGCGGAGCCCCAGAAGCGCTGGCGGCCCCAGGCCTCGCCGCCCTCGCGCGCCAGCGCCAGCACCATGGAGTCGGCGACGGGCGACGCCGCGGACGCCATCGACCGCAGCACCCGGAGCGACGCGACGGTCCGGAGCGCCTGGTGCGGCGCCGCCCGCGCCGCGCCGCCCGCCGCCGCCGCGAGGGCGTGGGCGTTGTAGCCGTCGCGCGTGCCCAGGCGCAAACCCTCGAGCGTGAGCACGGACGCCGCGACGGACGCGGCGAGGACCGCCGGCGGCGAGCCCGCGTCCGCGGTGCCCGCCCACACGGGCTGGGCGACGAACTTGCCCACGAGCGACAGCGACTTCATGAGGCCCACCTCGCGCGGCGAGAACCCGCTCTTCAGGAGCCACATGTTGCAGAAGCGGTTCCAGGACACCCCCGACGCCGAGTAGCTGAAGGACAGGAGCTTGGCGTCCAGCGTCGACAGCTTCGCCGCGCGCTTCTCTCTCTCGCTGGCCTTCTTCATGGCTCGGAGCTGGCGGGTCGCCTCTAGAGCTTCCCGGCACCGCCCGCTCCAGAATTTTTCATAGCCTCGGCATCGATGTCGACAAGCCACACCGGCCGGCCGCCACGTTTTTTTAATTTTTTGTTGCGATCGCCGAAGCGCCACTCGAGCGGACGCACGCGATGGCACATCGCGAGGGCCTCCGCACATACCGAGCCAGATGTTACGAACGAAGCGAAAGCGAGAAGCGAAGGACACAATCAGAACTTGGGCGCGGGCGTGTCGAGGAGCGCGACGACGGCCTCGAGCACGCCCTTCCCCGCGGCGGACAGCTCCAGGTCCGGGTTCTCGATTTTCTGCGTGAGGAGCGAGTCGAGCTGGACGCGGATGCCCGTGACGAGCTTCTCGACGCCGCCGGGGACGCGGAACTGGATCCAGTCGTCCACGGAGAGCACGCGGGCCCCGCCGGCGCCCTTGCCCCGGAGGCGGCCGCCGAAGAGCATCAGCGCGTAGGGCGACACGGGCGTCGTGTCCCGGAGGTAGACCTGGGCCGTCTTGAGCTTCTCGGCGAAGACGACGTAGGGCGACTCGAAGCGCGAGAGCCTCGCGTTGACGGACGACGGGTGCAGGGCGACGGCCATCTCGGCGCCGTCCTCGTCGCGGATCTTTAGCTTGGACCCGCCGCCGCCCTTGCCCTTGCCCTTGGACGACGACTCCTTCGTCTCGACGAGCGCCACCTGCGGGTAGAGCGCGGCGCAAAGCAGCGCCTTGAGGAGCGTGTCCGGCGCGCGCTCCGGCTCCTCGAGGGCCAAACCCTCCAAAGCCGCGTCGATCTCGTCGTCCCGGGGCCGCGCCTTCCGGTCGCTCTTGCGGTCGCGGCCGTCGCGGCCGCGGCGCCCGTCGTCGAGGGCGCCGCCCCTGAGCGCCGCCTTCACGCCGTCGGAGCCGCCGTCGCGCCGGCCGACGGCCTCGACCCGACGCGCGCGCAACCCGCGCGGCGCGAAGCCCGCGTCCGAGAGCAGCTCGAGGAACTGCCGCTTCAGCGCCGCGATCTGCTGGAGCGACTTGATGCCGAGGAAGTTTTGGCGCGCGAAGTCGTATTTCCCGTTGCCTTTGATGCCGTCGAACTCCGCGTACGCGCGGAGCGCGGCCAGATGGTCGCTCTGCGTCGCGCCGGCCATGGACCGCTTCGCGGCGTCGGCCTCGTCGCGCAGCGCGAAGGGCGCCACGAAGGGCGACCGCGACGTGAGCACGGACGCGATGGTCAGCGTCTCGTCGACCGCGCCGAAGATGGCGCCCAACAGTATGAACTTGCCGATGCGCGCGTCCGTCGGCAGCAAACTGAGATGCGCGCCGAGCGCTGTAAGGTCCTCGCGGCCCTCGGACGTCTCCAGCGCGCCGAGCGTCGCGAGCTCGTCGACGGCGCGGCGCACGGCGGCGGGCCGCGGCGGCTCGAGCAGCGCCGCGAGGACCGCGCCGGCCGTCTTCTCGTAGCCGAGGGCCTTGATCGTGAGCACGAGGCGCTCGAGGGGCACGCGCTTCACCTCGGGCGTCTGGTGGCCCGCGACGACGGAGTCGTGCGCGAAGGACGTCAGCAGGTGGAAGCAGCAGCCGGGCCGGCAGCGGCCCGCGCGGCCCCGGCGCTGCTTCGCGTTCGACCGGCACACGGAAACGTCCTCGAGGGACTCCATGCGCTTCTCCGCGTCGAAGCGCTTCTCCTTCATGCGCCCGCAGTCGACGACGAAGGACACGTCGTCGATGGTGATCGCCGTCTCGGCGATGTTCGTCGCGAGGACGACCTTGCGCACGCCCTTGGGCGGCCGGCTGAAGACGCGCTTCTGCTCCTCGGGCGGCAGCTGCGAGTGGAGCGGCAGCACCCAGGATTTCTGCGGTTCCCGGTCGAAGGGCCGCGTCGCGAGGAGCGCCTCGTGCAAGGTCTGGATCTCCTTGAAGCCCGGCAAAAACACGAGGATCGCGTCGCTCAGGCCCGCCTCGGGCCGCCCCTCCAACCCCGCGGCCGCCGCGGCCGGCTTCAGGAAGCCCTTGCGCGCGGCCCAGGCGACGACGGCGTCGGGCCCGTCGAAGTCGGCGATGAGCGCCGACACGAGCGACACGACGAGCTCGTAGTTGATCTCCTCGAAGTTCGTCGCCGCGAGGGCCGCGTGCGCCGTCCGGCCGCAGGTCCGGTAGCGCTTCGCGAAGTCCGCCTCCGCGAGCGCGTCCTCGCCCGGCGGCGCCGGCGCGCCCTTGCCCCTGCCGCCCTTGCCGGAGGACGGCGCGCCGCCCTTGCCGCCCTTGCCGCTCTTCCGGGCCCAGTCGGCGCCCGACCGCACGCGGTGCTGCGTGAGCTCGAGCGCCGCCTCGAGGTAGAGCGCCGCGACCGGGTACGCGCGGCCCGGGATCGACACCGTGGGCACGTCGCCGGGGAAGTAGTTCGCGAAGAGGTCCGCGTCGAGCGTCGCGGACATGAGGACGAGCTTCAGGTCCGCGCGCCGCGCGAGCACGTCGCGCAGGACCATTAGCAGAAAGTCGGACTCGATGGTCCGCTCGTGGACCTCGTCGACGAAGACGTGCGTGACGCCCTCCAAATCCGGGTTCTCCGACAGGCGCCGCATGAGGATGCCCGTCGTGCAGAAGAGGAGGCACGTGCTCGCGCAGGTCTTGGTCTCCAGGCGGATGGAGTAGCCCACGGCGCCGGACCCGACGGCCTCGCCGCGCTCCGCGGCGACGCGCTCCGCGACGCCCATGGCCGAGATGCGCCGCGGCTGCGCGACGACGACGGAGCAGGCCTCGCCGTGCTCCGCCGCGTCCTCGAGCACGAACTGGGGCACCTGCGTCGTCTTGCCGCAGCCCGTGTCGCCCTCGACGACGACGACGCGGCTCCCGTGGATCGCCGCGAGGATGCGCGTGCGGAACTCGAACGCCGGCAGCGACTCGCGCTGCGCCCGCAACGGGGACCCCTTCGCCGGCGGCGGCGGGCCCGCGGCCTTGGCGTCGTCGGCGCCCGCGCGCTTCGGCCGCTTCTTGGGCGCGCGCTCGCGGCACTCGGCCAGCGGCACGACCTGGTGGCCCTCGTCGTCGTCGAGGCCCTCGAAGTAGACGCCGACCTCGTCGTCGTAGGACACGTCCTTGACGATGGCGTCGTACCAGGCGCCCTCGCCGTCCTCCTCCCAGTAGCAGCTCACCCGCTGGCCCACGCGGTAGCGGCTCGCGACGAAGCGCTCGACGCCGCCGGCCGTCGCCTCGAGCGCGCCGCGCACCTTGTCCTCGTCCGCCGCCGACAGCGACACGGCGACGGTCTTGTCGTCCTTCTTCGGCGGCGCGGCGCCGCGGCCGCGGCCCGCGGACCCGCCGCGGCCGCCGGAGCTCGCGCCGCGGCCGCCGGCCGCGCCGCCGCGGCCGCCGCCGGACGCGCCGCCGCGGCCGCCGGAGCTTCCCTTGCCGCCGCCTTTGCTCTTGCCGCCGCCTTTGGACTTGCCTTTGCCGCCCTTGCCCTTGCCGCCGCCGCTGGTCACGAGCACGCCGTTGCGGTAGTTGCCAAAGTTCAGCGGCCGACCGAGCTTGTCGTACTTCTTGCCGCCGCCCTTGCCCTTGCCGTCCTTGTTTTTTTTTCCACCGCCGGAGTTGGGGCCCATGGCGTCACGCTGGGCACCCTGGCTGCTAGTTTTTGCACGTGAGCTTGGTCGGGCGTCACGCTGGGCCCCCTGGCAGCTAGGTTTTGCACGTGAGCTTGGTCGGGTGACACGCTGGGCACCCTCGCGCTACTAGTTTTGCACGTAAGCCCGGTCTGGTCTAACAAATCGCTGCGCGCATCAGCGTCGTCACCAGCTGCCACAAGGAGGTTTGCTCGATCAGCGATGATCATATGATGCCGTGGATGCTCCAGCCGACCACGCGGTGGGCAAACATGGTCGCAGCCGCGAGTAGACGACGAGTTCTCCTGCTCTTCTGCGCCGCCGGCGCTTTTGGCTTCCTCGCGCCAACGCGACACGCCGCACGCCCGTCGACGCGCGTCTTTTCGGAGAGCGAGTTCCCCGAGAAGCTGAGCGCGATCAAGGCGTCGGAGGCGCAGCTGCGCGCGCAGCTCGCGGCGATCCAGCGGGAGAAGGCGCAGGTGCTGGCGAAGCGGCGCCTGAAGATCGGCATCGTGGGCTTCGGGAAGTTCGGCCAGTTCCTCGCGCGCAAGTTCGCGAACTACGACCACGAGATCTACACGATCAGCAAGTCGGACCGGTCCGCCGAGGCCGAGGAGGTCGGCGCGCTCGGGTCGTACGTGCTGGACCAGCGCGAGGACGTGCTCGACTTCTTCGGCCGGGACCTGGACGTCGTCGTCCTGGCCGTGTCCATCGTGAGCTTCGACGAGACGCTGGCGGCGCTGCGGCCGGGGCTCGAGACGCACGAGGACGTGCTCATCGCCGACGTGCTGAGCGTCAAGGAGCACGCGGAGAACTCGCTGCTGGCGCGCGTGCCGTCGGGCACGTCCGTGCTCTGCACGCACCCCATGTTCGGCCCCGAGAGCGGCCGCCACGGCTGGGAGAATTTGGCGTTCGTCTACGACCGCGTGCGCGTGCGCGACGACCGCTCCGAGACCTGCGAGCGGTTCCTCAGCATCTTCGAGAGCGCGGGCTGCAAGATGGTCGAGATGACCTGCACGCAGCACGACGTCTACGCCGCGAATTCCCAGTTCCTCACGCACCTCGTCGGCCGCATGCTCGGGTCCATCGGCCGGCTCCACCCGACGCCCATCGACACCAAGGGCTTCGAATCCGTGCTCAAGATCGTCGAGACGACCTGCGACGACTCCTTCGACCTCTTCTACGGCCTCTACCGCTACAACCAGCACTCCAAGTCCACGCTGCTCTGCCTCCGCAAGGCCCTCGCGGACCTGGAGCTGCGCCTCATCTCCCTCGAGCTCGACAGCGTCAACGGCGGCGCCGCGAGCGACGACGGCGAGGCCCGCGGCACGCTCGACCACCTCGACCTCCGCGAGACCGCGGCGCGCGAGTGGGACGCGCAGAAGCTCGACTGGGTCGACGCGAAGTAAGGCCTAGGACCGCTTCTTACGCGGCGACGAGGAGCCGAGGCGCCGCATGGCCGCGTCGTAGTCGACCCGGAGCACGTCGGCCACGTGCGCGCAGTCGCGGACGAGGAGGTAGCGGCACACGGGCGAGTTCCTCACCCAGCCCCCGAGCCGCGGCCGGAGCAAGCGACCGTACGCCTCGATCCAGCCCGCGGCGAAGACGCTGCCGAAGCCCAGGCCCGCGCAGACCTGGTCCGCGCTGTGGTAGCCCAGGTAGACGCGGCTCCCGGCGACGGCGGCCGCGAGCGCGACGACCGCGGCGCCGAGCAGCTCGCGCCAGTAGGGCCGGCCGACGCGCGGCACGTATAAGATCAAAAAGAGCGCCGCGTAGGCGGCCCAGAAGCCCATGAACTGCGCGTGGTCCGACGGGAAGCCCGGGCCGGCTCGGTCCGCGCCCTCGGGCCGCGGCGCGTCGAAGTAGGCCTTGAGGAGCCCGTTGAGCGCGCCGTTCGCGAGCTGGCCCGCGAGGATATAGAACACGTGCAGCTCCCGCCGACTCACGAGCAGCGTCGCGTAGGCGACGATGATGAAGACGGGAGCCAGAGCCAGCAGAGCACAGACGAGGCCCACGCTGTCGCCCTCCTCGTAGGTCACGTAGGTGAGCGAAAACGGCTTGCGCGCCATCGCTGCGATGGATTTTGGAGGTTTTGAGGGCGCAGCAGCGTGCCCAGAACGCGTCGCGCGCGACGTTGAAGCCTTATTGCCGCGATGTTGCACAGCGGGCTCTCAGCAAACACAGCTCTTGGCAGTGCGCACCGCCGCCCGCCGCCAACGCGCCGCCCGTACTGCGCCATATCATGTCCGCGCAGGAGCGCATCTATGCCTCGGAAGGCCTCGCGCGCCTCGAGGCGCAGCTCGCCGCGCGCACGGGGCCCGACAAGACCTGGCGCGACTACCTGCCGGACAAGCACCGACACGCGGTGCCCATGGACGTGGACCCGACGCCGACCTTCCGCGAGTACGCGCAGAGGACGAGCCTGCCGCCCAAGGGCGTCGCGCCGCTCACGCCCGAGGAGATCGCGGCCATCGACAATTTGGTGCGCACGGCGCCGCCCGTCGCCAAGGTCGAAAAGACGGCCGAGGAGCTCTTCCCCGCCGCGCCGCCGCCGCGGAAGAAGGCGAAGAAGGAGACGAAGCGCAAGGCGCCGGCGCCGGCGCCTGCGGCGCCGGACCCCGTCAGCGCGCGCGCGCGGGCCGCGCTCGAGGCCTGCTGGGACATGCAGTTCGGCGATCCTCCCAGCAACCCGTACCGCACGCGGCTCACCAAGGAGGCCTGCGCCCAGCTCGGCATGCCCGACTACCACGACGTCGTGAGCGACGTCGTGGACCTGGCCCTCCTGCGGCAGCGCGCCAAGGGCCGCCACTACGCGGACGACGCCGCGCTGCGCGCGGACGTGCGCCGCGTCGCGACGAACTCCGCGGCGTACCACGGGCCCGACAGCGTCTACACGACGTGGGCGAACGACCTCGCGGCGCGCTACGACGCGGAGTACTCGGGCGTCGGGCTGCGACCCTAATTGTCCTCTCTATAAATCCCCACTGGCGCGGTCGTTCTACAGGTCTAATTATCCTCGTGCGTCTCGTCGATGGACAGGCGGAACGTCTGGTCCGACGCGTCCATGTCGTCGTCCTCGGAGGACATCGTGTCGTACTCCGTCGGGTTCGAGCTCAGGTCGCTGACGACGGTGTTCCGCCCCGGCGGCGGCGGGCCGTCGTAGTCCGGCGGGATGGCGCCGACGCCGTCCGCGTTCTTCCGGTTCTTCTTCACGCGGACCTGGCAGTTCGACACGCCGCGCGGTCGGCTCGGGAAGCTCTCGCCGAGCGCGCGCGCCACGGGCGTCATGTCCAGGTTCGCGTAGGACGACGCGCGCTTGCGCTTCTCGCAGAAGGCCTTGAGCGAGGAGCCGTAGTGCGGGCTGCTCAGCGACTCGCGGAGGAGGCAGCTCCGGCGGTTGATCCACGGGTGGCGGAGCGCGTCCTGGGCCGTGCACCGGTCGCCCGGCTGGCCCCGGAGCATGGACAGGAGCAGGTCGACGCCGTCCCGGGAGATGGACCCGAGCTCGCCGTCGACGTCGATCCGCGGGCTCGCGCCGAAGAGCGGCGGCCGCTCCCAGGGCGGGCTGCCCGTGAGGAGGATGTAGAGCACGACGCCCGCGGACCAGACGTCGACGGCGGGCCCGTAGCGCTCGCGGCTGCAGACCTCGGGCGCCATGTAGTAGGGCGACCCGCAGAGCGTGTGCGTCCGCGCGCGGCCGAACCGCTCGGCGATGGACCGCTCGTGCGCCCGCTCCTCGGACCGCTCCATGTGGTGGGGCAGGTTGAAGGACACGCCGCCCGAGCTGCCCGCCGGCGCCGCGGCGGCGCGCAGCTCCGGCGACGCGAGGCCCGCGGGCGCGGGCTCCGGGCGCGCGGGCGACGCCTCGGGCGTCACGCGGCGGCCCGGGTCCGCGCCGCCGCGGAGCTCGGAGAGCGACGGCGGGTCGTCGTCGGCCTCGAGGGTCTTCACGAGACCAAAGTCGGACAGCTTCAGCTCCCAGCCGTCGCGCGTCGTCAGGAGCAGGTTCTCGGGCTTGATGTCCCGGTGGATGACGCCGCGGCGGTGCATGTCCGTCAGCGCGCTCAGGAGCTGGTACATGACCGCGGCGGCCTCGGCCTCGCTGAAGTTGCCCTTCTCCACGATGCGGTCGAAGAGCTCGCCGCCGCGCGCGCGCTCCATGATGATGTAGAGCTCCGTCGGCGTCTCGAAGACCTCGCGCATCTCGACGATGTGCGGGTGGCGCAGCGTCGACAGGACGCGGACCTCGTCCCGCAGCCGCCGCGTCGCCCGCGCGCCCGTGCAGCACCGCGGCTTGTAGATGCGCTTGAGGGCGCACTCCTCGCCCGTCACGCGGCAGCGCCTACGATTTCGGGCGGGGGTTCCTTCAGGTCGGACGCGCGTCCCGGGGCGCCGGCGGACGCGCGCGGCGAAGACCTCGCTCGAGGCGCCCTTGCCGATGATGGACGAGATCTCGTACTTGCTCGACAGCGACTCGGGCCAGAACGACGAGCTCGGGCACTCCTCGCCCGCGACGCTCGACCCGGACTCGCTGTACTGCGCGTTGGGCAGCCCGATGGTGAGGCGCGCGCTCTCGGGGGAGTTGCCCCCGCTCCGCGGGGCCGGCGCGTTCGGCCGCGCCTCGAAGGTCGCCATCGCCCGGCGATCCGACGGGACTCCCGCCTGCAGCAAGGCGCACGCGGGACACAGAGGGTGGCGTTCGAGTAAGCACTCCCTGGGCTGCTTCGCGGGTGTTATATAAAACGACACTTCAAATCACAGTTCAAGTTTCGATGGGTTTTATAAAACTCCAGGAGCTAGGCGGCGTCGTTCGCGTCGACCTTCGCGTAGCCGCCGCCCGCCCGGCGCCAGACGGCCCCCGGCTCCGCGGGCCAGGACGGGAGGTTCGCGACGAGGCCCGCGTTCGCGAGCGCGACGAGCGAGATCGCCAGGAAGAAGAGGCGGCCCTGCGCGAGCGCCGGCGGCAGCCGCGCGGCCGGGTCCGACGACGCCGCGAAGAGCGACCCCCCGAAGACGGGCCCGAAGGCCAGGCCGAGCATGCCCAGCGACGACCCCGCGCCGATGGCCGCGCCGACGAGATTCGGCGGCGCGGATCGCTTCAGCATGAGGTTCAGCGACGTGAAGGACACCTCCGTCGCGAGCGACACCGCGCCGTTCGCCGCCGCCAGGGCGAGCCAGGGCGTGTCGCCGGCCGACGCGTAGGCGAGGAGCGGCGGCGCCGGGTAGGCCGCGGCCGCGCACGTCAGGAGCGCGCACGCGTACGCGCCCGGGACGCCGACGCGCCGCGCGAGCGGCGGGTAGACCGCGACGACGCCCGCGAGCGTCGCCGCGCCCGCCGCGGCCTGCAGGACGCCCACGGACGTCGAGTCGAGGCCCAGGCCGCCCTCGGCGACGGGCGCGCGGCCGAAGACCGGGAACACCTCCTGGAACGCCATGAAGCACAGGCCGAAGAGCACGAACGACGCGCAGACGGCCCGGAACGGCGACCCCGGGTCCCGCAGGAGCTCGCGCACGCCCGCGTCCGCCGCCGCGTCGGAGACGCCGTCCGCCGGCGCGTCCGGCGTCTCCGGCTTCGACTCTTCCAGCAGCACCGCCGCGGCCGCGAGGTCCAGCAACGTCACCGCCGCGACGACCGCGCAGGGCAGCAGATAGGGCCGCTCGGCCCAGAGCGCCATCAGCGGCAGCCCCGCGTACTTCGTCGCCGGCTCGCAGAGCGCGCCGCCGATCAGCGGCCCGAGCATGGCGCCCGCGCCGAACGTCGCGCCCACGTAGACGAACGCGTCCGCCTCGTTCGTCTCGTCCGTGAGGTCCGCCATCATCGACTTGGCCACGACGACGTTGCCGCTGCAGAGGCCGTGGGCGAAGCGCGCGACGAGCGCGAACCGCAGGTCCGGCGCCGCGCCGAAGGCGAGCAGGCACGCCGCGGAGAGGAAGAGGCACGCGAGCATGACGGGCCGCCGGCCGACGCGGTCGCTCAGCGCGCCCCAGAGCGGCGCCGTGCAGAGCTGGCCCGCGATGTAGGCGCCGGCGACGGCGCCGGCGTAGTAGCCCACGAGGTAGTCCTGGTCCGGCGGGAGGCCCAGGTAGGTCTTGACCATGAACGGCACGAAGGGCAGCACGACGCTCATGCAGAGCGAGTCGCCGAGGAAGACCATGACGAGCACGGCGATCTTCTGGTACGGGAGAGGCGTCATGGGCCGCTCGCTCAGCTCCGCCATCTAGTTCGAGGAGATCTGCAGGTCGTCGTCGGGCCGCAGCCTCTTGGAGTGGGCTGCCTCACGACGTTTGCATAAGCTCGTGGCCCGAGGTTTTTGCGCAACTTCACCATCGATTGAGTTGAACTTCTTACGAGGGCAGCGCGTCGAACGCGCCCCGAAGCGCGCCGAAGGCGTCGGGATCGACGACGCCGAAGACGAGCCGCGCCGGCCCGCGGAGCTCGCCCGCGGCGGCGACGGCCGCGTCCGCGGCGACGGCCGCGGCGTCCGCGACGGGCGCGCCGCGCGCGCCCGACCCCAGCAGGGGCGCCGCGACGTCGAACGAACCGCCACCCAGCGCGTCGGCGCAGCGCAGCGCGCTGAGGTACGTCGACCGCAGCTCGTCGGCCCAGTGATTCGCCGCCCAGAAGGGCCCGACCGCGTGGACGACGGCGTCGAAGCGTAGCGCGCCGGGCGCGTCCGTCGCCACGGCTCGGCCGACGCCGCAGCGCTCGCCGGACGCATTTAGCGGCAGCCGCGCGCACGCCTCGCGCAGCGCCTTGCCGCCGTAGACGCCGACGACGCCGTCGACGGCTTGCGCCGGGAACACGAAGCCCGGACCCGTCTCGAGCGCGCCCCAGGCGTCGGCGCGCCCGGCGAGCTCCCGCGGCAGCGGCGGCGGGCAGGGACCGCCGCGCGGGAAGTAGGGGAGCGCGGTGCCGACGAGCGTCTCGTTGGCCGGCGTGATCAGCGTGCGCGCGCTGGCGCAGCGCACGACGCACTCGGTTCGTTCCACCGTGACTTCCAGGCGACCGAGGGTGCGCGTGAAGGTTCTGTCCGTTGTCAGCGCTCTTCGTCGAGGTCGCGTGCGCTGAACCGGCCGCAACAGCGCGCGCATGGCGCTGCTTTTACATCAAATTGCCACAAGCATCATCACAAGAAAAAACGCAAAGCCAGCTCAGCCCATCACCAGCCGCGTCGTCACCTCCAGGCCCCTGTTTGCAAATACTAGCACCAATGGCCGTCGTCACTTACGACGACGTGCGCGTCGTCGAGCCCGTCGCCGTCGTCGACGCGCCGGACCTGAAAATCACGGAGTACATCGGCAATGTTGCTAGCGTGACGCCAGAGATCAGCGCCTGCGTCTGCGAGGTCAAGAAGGCGACGTCCGAGGCGCCGCAGACGCCGGCCTTCGACGAGTACGTGCTCGTGCTCGAGGGATCCGTGCGGCTCGAGCACGCCAAGGGCACGACGGTCGTGACCGCGGGCCAGGGCGCGGTCCTCAAAGCGGGCACGCGCGTCAAGTGGGTCTGGCCCGGGCCCTGCAAGTACGTGCCCATCTGCCTGCCCGGCTTCACGCCGACGAACTGCGGCCGCGAGGACGACGGCGGCCTCCACGCGAAGACGTCCGCGGCCATGGACTACCTGCACGAGCTCCACGCGAAGGCGAAGCACCCCTGGCTCTACCACTGCGCGCAGAAGGCGCTCTGGGACAAGGCGAAGGCGGACGGCGCCGTCTACTACCCGCCGACCTACGGCCAGGACGGCTTCACGCACGCGACGGCGGATCCCGCGAAGCTGCTCGGCGTGCTCAACTGGTTCTACAAACCGACGCAGGGCGACTGGGTCTGCCTGCGCATGAGCGCCAAGAGCCTGAGCGCCGCGGGCGTCGAGACGAAGTTCGAGGCCGTCGCGCCCGTCGGCGACATCCCCGCGCTCCCCGACGCGGCCTCCGGCGGCGAGCTCTTCCCGCACCTCCACGGCGGCATCCCGCCCGCCGCGGTCCTCGAGGAGTACGCCATCGTCCGCCGCGGCGACGGCTCCTTCGCGTCCTGCCCCGGCGTCACGGACGTCGCCTCGACGCCCTTCGCCGCGGCGAAGAAGGCCGCCGTCGCCGCCGCCGCCATCGCCGCGCTCCTGGTCCTCGCGCGCCGCCGCTGAGACGCACGAATGAGCGAATTACCTAGTCGGCCTTGTCTCGTCGTCGCTGCCACGCGTTCCGCAGCAACACGAAGGTCGAGTAGATCTGGAGCGCCGTCAAAGCGACGAAGAGCCACGCGACCTTTTTGGGGCAGACGCCGACGCGCGGCGTGGAGCTGAGGAATTTGGGGATGGGGTAGTAGTCGCCGTCGGGCGTGTAGGCGCTGTCCATCATGCCCCAGGCGAGGCACGGGAACCAGACGAGGCGCAGGAAGACCCACGAGCCCCAGAAGACGACCTCCAACGGAAACGGGTAGTCGAGGAGCCGCCGCAGCGTGAGCACGAGCGTGTTGAGCTCGACGAGCAGCGCCATGGACGCGTACTCCGCGTGCGCCGGCTCCACGAGGATCGGGTGCAGGTGGAGCGCGATGGTCACGAGGTGGTGCATGACGATGGGACCCGGCGACTTGAACATCGCGGGGACGGTCAGCGCGAGCGCCAGGTCGACGACGAGGTAGGCGAGGCTGGCGTAGGTCGTCGCGAGGTGGCCGGGCCACGCGCCCTGCAGCGACGCGAAGGCGCAGCCGAAGATGGCGCCGAAGACGACGACGTTCACGCGGTCGTGCAGCAGCTCGAGCCGCGCGTCGGGCTCGGCCTTGGTCGCCACGCGCGTGTCGCCGCTGAAGCTGTACGCATTGATCGGCGGTGTCTTTGCGTCTTTGCTAGCTGGCGGCATCGCGCTGCTGCCAGCGGCGAGCGGTGCCGGCCGCCGGTGCGATAAGACGATCGCGCAAGAGCGGCTCGAACGCCCAGGCTCGTGTGCAGCCCCAGCCGGGTCGAGCTGGAGCTCGATCTCGAGGCGCGCTGCGCGACAGCGGGGGCCTGCGCGATGGATTCGCCCGGGCTGCGACGCTCGTTCATGACACAAACGCAACGCTATCATGCGGCGGGCGGCGACCTTGATGCGCTTGTTAATATTGAAGAAGGCTATAGCGTGGGAGTTGGCATGGTCATGAGGTTCTATAGTAATCCAGATGGATCCACGCGCCTTTTTCATGCCACAAAGCTCGGTTGGTACCCTCATGTGCCCTGGCTCCTGGAGCAGGGCGCTGACGTGCACCGAGGCTGCCCCCGTCGAGGCTGGACGGCACTACACGCTGCTGTTTATTTCGACCGTCACGACGCAGCGGTCCTCCTGCTCGACGCCGGCGCTCGAGTCGATGATCGCACTCGAAACGGGCGGCGCACCGCCCTCCACATCGCTGCCTATCGAGGATTACTCAAGCTGAGCAAGCTCCTACTGAGTCGCGGCGCGTCGCTCGACCCGCGTGATTTCAGAGGTCGAGACCCCGAAGCCCGCGCGTGTCGCTGCAGGAAAACTTTGGCCCTTCTCCGCGGCGTCCGGGCGGCGGGCGGCTGGGCGGCCTACGTCGGCGTGCCGCGCCTCGAGCTCCTCGCGCTGCGCCGCGCGCTGCCCGCCCTCCGCGAGTCCGGCCGCGCGTCGCCGAGCAGCGTGCCCGCACACGAGCGCCTCTTCCTCCGCGCCGACGTCCCCGACGACGTCTTCTCGCACATTCTCACGTTCTGGCGCACCTCACGCGATTACAGCGCGGCGAGGGCACCCCCCGTGTCCCGGTATGCCAGCGAAGACGAAGATCATGATAGTCCATTGCACGTATTGGACTCGTCAGACGTTGACGAGGCGCCGTAGACAAGCTAATTACACACCTCGCGTCTCCCGCCACCGCCGCCTCCGCTTGTTCGCCCGCTAGACTAAAAGGGGTGTGTGTAATAACCACCATGGTGGTTATTACATCGCTCGTACTCGTATATGAGCTCGGGAGGTCCGCGAGGAGGCTGGGCCAGTGGTCGCGGGGATCTTCGCGCATCATCCTCGGGCGGAGGGCCTCGAGGCGCGCGGCGCGCGCGCGTGAATATCGCGATGGAGCTGCTTCCACGCGCCTGCCCACGCGTTGGCGCTCAGCTCGCGCTGTCCCGTCGTGATGGCCCAGCTTTCGTCGGCGAGGCTGCGCCACATCCGGTGGTAGGGCTCCGTCGGGGTGCCGTCGGTGGGCCGGGCGCGGGCGTGCGCGGGGAGCCACGGCTTGTCGCCTCCGACGAATTGGAAGACGGCGACGCCTTGGCGCTCGTAGTGGCGGAACGTTGGCTCGTGGGCGAAGCTCACGATCTGGAGGAGGTTGAAGCGCGGGGAGAGCCGATGCGTCGCGCTCCATGCGTACCACTCCGAGAAGACGCCGTTGAGGTAGCCCTGGTCGGCGCCGTCGTACGAGTCGCCGCCGTCGAGGCCGTCGAGGAGCGCGGCGAAGAGCTCGGCGCTCGGCTTCAGGACGAGGACCCCCGTGTTGAAGAGGGACGATGCCGGGGCGTCGGGCGCGGCGGCCAGCGGGCGCTCGCTCGTCAGTTGGCGGTCGAAGAGGGACGTCGCGGTTTCGTGCGTCACGACGGCGTCCGCGTCGAGGTAGAGGACGGTGCGGAACCGCGTGAGGTTAAAGACGTGCAGCTTGGTGCAGGCGGTCTCGAAGCGTTCGGGGACCTCGGCGGGGCCGCGCAGCGGGGCGCACGACAGGGTCTCGACGCGGAGCACCTCGTCGTAGCCGACCGCCGCGAGCCTGCGAGCCGCGCCGTCCATCTCGGGCTCGTTCGACACGAGCGCGACCAAGGCCCGCGTCTCCCCACGGCCGCCGAGCCCTTCCATCCGCTCGGCTTCCGCGGCTTGGATCGAGAGGCCGAGGACCTCCGCCCCGACCCCGTACAACGGGTCCGAGGTGACGAGCGTGACGTATGCGTCTCGCGCCTCTTCGAGGGCCGCGGCCGCGGCCGCCGGCGGCGGCGCGCTGGCCATCCTTTCGTCGAAGAAGAGCTCGAAGCTCCGCGCGAGGTCGTGGTGGCCCGACTGCGCGAGCAGCTCGAGCATCTCCGCCCTGCGGGCGATCGCGACCGCGGCCGGCTCCGGCGACGCCACGGCGGCCGCGCAGAGTTGGAGGGCCCACATGGCCCTTTCGAAGGTTGGGGATTGTCCCCGATCGGCCGCTGGGGGCTTCCCGAGGAGGGCCAGACCCCAGAGGAGCATCGCTCTCCAGTTGCCCTGGTGCGCGTCCACCGCGGAGTAGAGCGCTTCTTTTTCTTCGTCGCGCCGACCGGCCTCGGCGAGCTCCGAAGCCAGCCGCATTTTGTCCATCGACTCGTCGAGTCGGTAGTCCTGGAAGCGCGTCACGAAATGGATCCGGTCCGCGGCGTCGCGAACGGTGCAGCAGTCGCCGTAGCGGTCGCCGCGAGCGCAGCCGCCGTCTCCGACGTCGAAGCACCGCTCCGCGTGCAGGGTCACGTTCGTCCCGCTCAGCGAGCCTACGACGAGCGGCGCGGCCTGCGCGCGCAGGACGTCGTAGAACTGCTCCGTGAACGAGTGGTAGAGCGCCTTGTCCCACTCGCTCAGAGTCGCGCCCTGCCCCTCGAAGCGCGGCGTCGCCAGCGCGAGTTCGATGACTCGCGCGAAGATCCGGTTGCGGGGAGGGCTCGCGAGGATGCCTTGGTGGATGCGCCCGGCGTGCTTCGACAGGACGGTGTAGAGCCGCGCCTCGTCCGGGAACGCCTCGTCCAAGGGGCGCACGAGGACGGTCTTGACGTCGAGGTAGACGCCTCCCTCGACGAACATGACTCCGTAGCGGAAGAGGTCGGCTCGGTGCGCCGGCATGTCGAGCTCCAGGTACTTGGCCACGACGGCGGGCGGGAAGTGCGTCGCGAGGTAGGCTCGGCACGCCTCGTCGTCGTAGAATCGCACCTCGTGGTCGGGCGCGAAGCGACGGAACTGCGCGAAGACCTTGGGCGGGACGGCGGCGCGCGACTTGTCGGTGAGGTGGATGATCTTCGGGCGGCGCGCGGCCCCGCGCGGCGGCAGCGCATCGACAGGCGCCACGTCCGGGTCGTCCCCCACCCCTGCCTCCTCGAGCAGCTCCCACGCCCTCGCGACGTGCCCCTCCTGGCTCGCGACGCGCAACGGCGTCCACGCGTCGCGCTCGACGCTCGCGCCCGCCCGAAGCAGCGCCCGCACGACGTCCGCGCGGCCGTTGCTCGCCGCGGCGAAGAGCGGCGTGCGACCGTCCACCGTCGTCGAGTCCACGTCCACGTCCGGCGTCGCGAGCAGGGCCTCGACGCGCGCGAGACTACCTCCGAGCGCCGCGACGAAGAGCGGCGTCGCCCCGTCCGGCGGCGGCGGCGCGCTGCCGAACCGCTCGTCGAGGCGCGCCTCGAAGCGCAGCGCGAGCTCGTAATGCCCCGTCCGCGCGAGGCCCACGAGCAGCTCCGCCCTTTTGGGGTCGCTTCGCGACGCGACGGCCTCGAAGCACGTCTCGAGGCCCCGCGTGATCTCCTCGACGATGGGCTTCTGCGCGTCGGGCCCCATGCGCGGTCCGATCCTCCCGAACAGGGACAGACTCCGAAGCAGCGTCGCCTTCCAGTCCCTCGCGTCCGCACCCGAGGCTCCGAGGTCTGAGACGGTCGAGTCAAAAGCGACCTCCGCCGCCGCCGCCGCCGGCGACGCGACGCGCTGCCCGGCCTCGAGTATGGCTTGCATGAGCGCCTCCGTCGACCGCCGCCCCGCGTAGCGCTCGTACTTCTCGCCCGTCCAGACGACGACGTCCGGCTCCGCCGGCGACGACCCCTCGGGAAACGCGAGCTCGCAGACCGCCGACAGACGCGGCGTCGACCCAGGCGTCGACGCCGCGCCGGGGCACCTGCCCCGCGGGAGCACGCGCAGCAGGCCCGGGAATTTTTTCGCCGCCGCCTCCCAAAGGTCCATGAGCGCCGCGCACGGCCCCTCGCACGGCGTCTGGTACACGAGAAGGAAGGACGGCATCCCGGGGCGCCACACCTCCATATCGTCAAACTCCGGGACGACGCCGCCGAGGCCGCGACAGGCGAACGCCAACACCAAGACGAGCCTCATCATTCGTAGTCGCCGACTCGTAGATAATTTACGAGCGGACTCGGTTGCGAAGTCCCGGCTGAGCAACTTCTGAACTACAACTTGCACTTCAACTTGCCCTCAAAGAGCAGCCGCCCAATGATGTACTTCATGATGTTGTATAATTTAAAGATGCGCGCGCGTCCGCGCTTCGCCTACCTCGCGTCGATCCAGGGGCTGATGCAGTTGTGGTGGCTCGCCCAGGCGCCGTAGGCCTCGGACGTCTCCGCCTTCCAGATGGACGCGGCCTCCGTGGCCATGAGCTCCGTGAGCCGGGCTTTCAGCGCGTCGCGGACCTCGGGCTTCTCGCCGGAGAGGTCCATGGTCTCGGAGGGGTCGTTCTTCAGGTCGAAGAGGTAGGTGTGGGCCTCGGTGCCGACGGCCGTGCCGCAGTTGTCCATGGGCCCCTCGTCGTCCCCGAGGTCCGCGGACCCGTCCGCGAGGTCCAGCCCGAGCGCGTCCGCGCCCTCCGCGGGGACGCCGTACCAGGGCTCGGCGAACTCGTTGACGAGGAGCTTCCAGTCGCCGTAGCGGAGCGCCGCGCGCGTCGCGTTGCCCTGGCGCACCAGGATGTGCCACGGGTCCGCGCAGTCCGACACCGCTCCCAAAGAGTCCGCGTCCTGCAGCAGCGTGCCGTTGGGCCCCGTGCACGTGAAGGCGTAGGACTGGACGTTGATGGGCACCTCGACGCGCGGCGGGTCCGCGAGGCCCATGAGCGCCTCCCACTGGAAGAAGCCGTCCAAGTCGTCGACCTTCTCGAGCGCGGTCGTCGTCTCGTCGTCGTCGTCGTTCGTCGACGCGAGCACCGAGTTCGACGACGCGACGAGCTTCACGAGGGTCGGGTACCAGTCCGTCACGTGGAAGAGGCCCCGGTGCGCCCGGTTCCGGTACGACGACGGGATCAGCTCGCTGTAGACGAACGCGGGCACCTTCACGCCGCCCTCCCAGAGGAAGTGCTTGCCGCCCCGCAGCGGGTAGTTCGTGCCGCCCTGGGCCCAGCAGCCGCCGTTGTCCGAGGCGAACACAAACAACGTGTCGCGCCAGACGTCGGACCGCTTCATCTCCTCGACGACGCGGCCGACGGACTGGTCGAGCGCGAGCAGGAGCGACGCGAACTTGCGGCGCACCGTGCCCTTGATGTCGGCGCCGATGCGCGCCCACTCGGCGTCGGAGAACGCGGACCGCGGCGGCACGTCCAGGGGCCCGTGCGTCATCTGCGACGCGTAGTAGACGAAGAGCGGCTCGCGGCTCGCGTTCGCGCTCTTCACGATCTGCTGCACGCGCTGCGTGTAGAGCTCGGAGCTGTGCGTGCCGTTGAGGTCCGGCATGTACTGGAGGTCGTAGGGCCGCGACCGCTCCATGAAGACGTAGTCCGTGAAGGACGCCATGACCGTCGCGCCGTCCTCGACGGTCTCGAACGGCGCGGGGTACTCGTGGCTGTAGTAGTCGATCTCGTCGCTCAGGTAGCCGTACCACGTGTCGAAGCCCCGGTTCACGGGCAGGAACCCGTGCTGGGAGTGGCCCAGGCCCCACTTGCCCACGCCGTGCGTGTTGTAGCCCAGGTTCTTCAACGTCTCGGCCATCGTCGTCAATTCCCGGGGCATGCCCCAGGGCGAATCCGGCTTGATGTTCTCGAGCTGCATGCCGATGCGCATGGGGTAGTGGCCGCTCATGAGCGCGGCGCGCGCCGGCGTGCACATGTGCATGGAGTAGTACTCCTTCAGTCGCACGCCCTGCTCCGCGAGGCCGTCGATGAACGGCGTCACGCCGACCATGTCGTGCGACTGGTAGCCGACGTCGTTGGAGCCCATGTCGTCGACGAGGACGAAGAGCACGTGGGGCTTCGCCGAGTCCGTCGTCGCGAGCAGGCCCCCGCGCGACGCGAAGCCGTCGTCGCCGTCCGCGCGCGCCGCGGCGTCGTCCGTCTCCGTCTCGTCGGCGCCGCCGCCCGCGGGGGGCGCGTCGTCGGCGGCGGCGTAGCGCGCGTAGAGCGCCGGCAGCGCCCCGAGGCGCGCGTGCGCGACGACCCGCGCGCCGACGAGGCCCAGGCCCAGGAGCGCGACGCTCCGCGCGGGCCAGCGCCGCCGCGGCGCCTCGCTGGGCTGCGCGAGCATCTCCGCCGCCTCACTCATGTGGGAAAAGCGAGGGCGAGCGAGCCCGGCGCCTCGGGCTGGGAAGCACAGTGCGACGCGACCGAGGCCTACTGCGAACCCGCCATGCGATGCGACGCCACGGCCCGTCGAACTCGGCTGCCCCGTCGAATGCGTCCGTCGATTGTGATCGAGGTTTTGATATTGTACTACTTGTATCTGTAAGTTGCAGAGGGCTTGCACCCCTCCCAGTGGCAAAAAGCATGAGGCTGGCCCTGGCCGTGCTGGCCCTCGCAAGAGCCGTCTCCACCACGATGAAGAACGTCCTAGCCCTGCCCTTGCTGCTGGCCCTCGCAGGGGCCGCCGACACCGCGAAGCGCAACGTGCTCGTCGTCATCAGCGACGACCTGCGTCCGGAGCTGCCCTGCTACGGCTGCGACGACGTCGTCGCGCCGCACCTGAGCCGCCTCGCCGGCCAGTCCCTGCGCTTCACGCGGGCCTACGTCCAGGAGGCGCTCTGCGCGCCGTCGCGGAACTCGTTCCTCAGCGGCCGGCGGCCCGACGCGACGCGGGCCTGGCAGTTCGTCGACCACTTCCGCGAGGCCGGGCCGGACTGGACGACGCTGCCCGGCGCGTTCAAGCGCGCGGGCTTCCAGGCCGTCGGCTGCGGCAAGGTCTTCCACCCGCACCTCCCGCCGAACTGGGACATGCCGCGGTCCTGGGACGACCGCATGAACGCGACCTGGGCCGACTGGATGTACCCGTCGGAGCCGCGGTGCGCGAACCGGTCGACGTGGTGTTTAGGCGACGACGACGGCGACTACGAGGACGCGAAGACGACGGCGACGGCCCTCGCGCTGCTCGAGAACGTCACGGCCGAGGACGAAACGCCGTTCTTTTTGGCCGTGGGCTACCGGAAGCCGCACCTCCAGTGGCGCGTGCCGAAGCGCGTCGCCGCGCTCTACCCCGGCGGGCCGGACAACGTGTCCCTGCCCGCCGTCGACGTCGCGCCCGAGGGCGCGCCGGGCCTGGCCTTCCACATGCCCTTCGCGGAGCTCTCGGCCTTTGAGGACGTGGCCGAGTGCGGCGGGCCGGGCCTCATGGCGCCGACGGCGGCGTACCCGGAGAGCTGCCAGCGGAGCTTCCGCTACGGCTACCGGCTCGCGGTCAGCTACGTCGACGAGCAGCTCGGCGTGCTGTTGGACTGGCTCGACGACCACGGGCTCGACGAGGACACGGCCGTCGTCTTTTTTGGCGACCACGGCTGGCATCTCGGGGACCAGGGCGAGTGGGAGAAGTTCACGAACTACGAGAACGCCGCGCGGACGCCGCTGCTGATCAAGGCGCCCTGGCTGCCGGCGAGCTTCGGGAAGACGGTGTCCGCCCCCGTGGAGCTCGTCGACGTCTACCCGACGCTCTGCGGCCTGCTCGGCGTCGACGTGTCCTACGTCGCCGCCGAGTCGGCGCCGCTCGCGGGCCGCGACCTCTCGGGCCTCCTGCGCGGCGGCGCCGCGGACGACGGCCACGTGGCCCTGTCGACCTTCCCGCGCTGCGTCGGCGGCGAGAACTACAACAAGAACCACGCGCGGAACGCGACCTACGCGGACTGGTTCCTCAACGACTGCAACGACGTCCCGCGCGACCTCTTCACCCACATGGGCTACTCGACGCGGGACGAGCGCTGGCGCTTCACGGCCTGGTACGCCTGGGACGGCGCGGCGCTCCGCGCGACGGGCGCGCCCGTCGCGCTCGAGCTCTACGACCACGCGGGCGACGACGGCGCGTGCGGCGGCGACAGGAGCGCGTTCGACTACGAGACGGCGAACCTCGCCGGCGACCCCGTCTTCGCCGACGAGGTCGCCGCGCTCCTCGCCGTGCTCGTGGCCAAGTTCGATATTCCCCACGGCTAACTTTTGGTGTTACGGCAGCACGCGGATGTTGCTCAGCAATCCCGTCTTGAGGTGGTCGACGACGGCGCAGACGTCGTGGAGCGACGGGTAGCGGCCGTCGAGGTGGAGGAACAGCAACCGCTTGTCGTTCTTCTTGCCGACGACCCAGCCCTCGTCGCCCGGGAGCTGGACGATCTCCTCCTGCACCGGCGGCCCCGCGAAATCCCGCAAGAACGCGACGTGCATGTCCGAGATCGCGTCGACGGCCGCGCGCGGCATGCCGTCCTCGAAGGCCTTGAGGCTCAGGTTGCCGCGGTTGAAGTACACGAAGGTCACGCCGGGCACGGGGAAGGCGCGCGGCGCCGGCGCGCGCAGCGCGAGGTCCAAATCGAGGTCCTTGAGCGTGTCGTGCATGGCGACGTGCAGCGCGTCCCGCGTCTGCGCGAGTTTTTCGGCATGCGCCGCGCGCGCCTCGTCGATGAGCGCCCCCACCGTAAACCCGCCGCAGAGGTAGACGAGCAGCCGCTCGCCGCCGGGCCCGCGGTCCGGCCCCCGCAGCGAGCCGTCGTCGCGCGTCGCGCGCCACCACGCGCCCGCCGCCGCGTGCGGCGCGTCCGCGCGCGCCGCGGGGAACGCGAGCGGCGGGCACCAGAGCTGGCCGTCGACGTCGTCGTCGGAGCCGTCCTCGTCGGCGACGGCGACGGCGCCCCCGTCCGCGGGCCGCGCGACCCCGTGCCGCGGCGCCGCGAAGCCCATCGCGTCGGCGCCGACGCGGTCGCGCGCCGACAGCAGCACCCGGTAGAGCACGGCCATCTCGTCGACGCCGATGCCGTTCCAGACGACGTTCCGCCCGAGCAGGACGGACACGGCGCGCACGCCGTCGAGGTCCGTCGCGCGGCGCTGCAAGGCGTGCACCTCGAGGAACGTGCCGGGCCCGAGGCTTCGGTGCTCGAAGCCCGCGAGGTCGTCGCCCGCGCGCGCGCGCGACGCGTCGACGCGCGCCAGCGACCGCTCGAAGTGGCGGCCCAGGGAGCGCCGCGCCTTCCGGGACGGGTCGTGGTCCTCGGCGACGGCGAGCGCCGCGGCCGCGTCCGCGGCCGCGTCCTCGAGCGGATTTAAAACGTCCGCCGGGTCCTCGCGGTCGACGGCGTCCTCGACGCGCCGCCGCGCCTTGCGCGCCGCCCTGCGCAGGGCCGCGAGCTCCCGGAGCACGGCGAGGCCGTCGCCGTCGCCGCCCGCGGGGTCCGGCGGGCCCCGCAGCAGGTCCGAGACGGAACCGTAGCACAGCGCGAACTCGTCGTAGCTCTGCACGAGCAGCGACTGCGCCGCGAGCGGCTCGGGCCCGTCGCGGCCGGCGCACCGCACGGCCCAGCAGAGCCAGACGCCCGGCTCCGGCTCGTGGACGCACCACCGGCTCCGCTTCAGCGCGACGCCGTCGAGGTGGTCGCCGGGCGCGACGGCGCCCGCGAGCGCGATGAGGCCCTCGAGCAGGCTCAGGCGCTTGAGCCGCTCGCGCGCGCCGTCCGACGCCGGGTGGTACCAGAGCACGTGGTTCAGGCTCTCCGCCTCCGTCGCGTTCTCGTCCTCGCACTGGAGCGCGCGGTGCAGCACGCAGCCGAACTCGAGCCAGGCCGCGTCGGTCATGGTCGCACGTCGCGCGTCGACGGCGCCGCAGCGATGCGTCGCGTCGCGTCGACGGCGCGTCGCAGCGCGTGCGTCGCGCTCACGGCGGCGGAGCAACGCTCAGCGCGGCGCCGCTCGGCAGGACCATGCGGTCGTCGCCACAGGCGGTTTCTATTGGCTGGCGACCCCCAACGGCATGGACGCCCTGATCTGAGCTGATAGCCTGATGGACGCGCTCCCGCGCCGCGCCCGCGACCTGCCCACCCCCAAAAGAAACCACGCGAGGTCTAGATCAGGCTGTACTTGCCGTAGTTGGCCATGGCGTCGCGGCCGCGCTTGCCGCCGGACGTCGCGAGCTCGCGCGTCTCCTCGTCGAGGAGGCGCTTCAACTCGGCCTTGGCGTGCTTGATGGAGAGCTCGTCCTTGGCCTCGAGGGCGAGGTAGAGGCGCTTCTGGCCCGGCTCCGGCGCCTTGCCCGGCGCGATGTACTGGCCCCGGGCGATGATCGCGCAGCCCGTCTCCTCCTGGACGCGGAGGATGTTGTCGCGGTGCGTCGCGCGGTAGCGCGCCTCGCCCGGGTAGTCGTTGACGTCGAGCTCGTCGTAGCAGTGGCCGCCCGGCAGCGTCTGGACGCCGCCGAGCACGGGGATGGCCGCCGGCGCCGCGGGCTGGAGCACCGGCGGCGCGGCGCCGCCCATCTGCGCCGCGAGCGCCCGCGCGCGCGCGAGCGCGGCGTGCTGCGGCGACTGGAGCGAGTCCAGGGGCTGGGCGGCGCCCCCCGCGGGCCTCGCGGCGGCGGCGAGCGCCGCGAAGGCGCCGCCGCCGCCGGCCTGCTGGCCCCGGCCGAACTGCGCCGCCAAAAGCTTCGCGCGCTCGAGCGGCGACATGCCCTTCATCTCCTTGGCGCTCGACGCCTGCGCGAGGCCGGGCACGACGCCGGCCATGGCCATCTGGGCCTCGATGGGCGCCCGGGCGACGGCGTTGGGCACGACGCCCTCCCTCGGGAGCGCGCCGAGGAGCGGCGGCGCGGCCCTGGCGACCGCGCCCGGCGCGGGCGCGACGCCCGCGGCCGCGAGCATGACCGCGGCCGCGGCGCCGGGCGCCGGCGCCGTCGCGAGGGCCGTCGCGTCCGGCGCCGCGGCCTCGGCGGCGAGCGCCGCGCGCGCGGCCGCGTTCTTCGCCTCGGCCTCGGCGTCGCCGCCGTCGTCGTCGTCGTCGCGGAGGTCCGGGTCGTGGAGCCCCATCTCGGCCTCCATGGCCTTGCGCTGGTCCCGCGCCGCCGCCTTCTCGCCGTCGAGCTCGTCGTCGTCGAACTTGTAGCCCCGGCCCGCGTAGCCCGACGACGCCCACTGCTTCTCGCCCGCGGCGGCGGCCGTCGCGAACTTCTTCGAGAGCTCCGCGAGCTCCGGCGGGATGGCCATCTTCGCCTGCTTCAGCGCCTTGTGGAGGATGGGCGCGTAGGCGTCCTCGTTGACGGGGTCGAGGAACGTGTAGGCCGTGCCCGCGCGGCCCGCGCGGCCCGTGCGGCCGACGCGGTGCACGTAGTCCTCGAGGTGGTTCGGCGCGGAGTAGTTGACGACGCAGACGATGGACGGCACGTCCAGGCCGCGGCCCGCGACGGACGTCGCCACGAGCACCGTCGCGACGCCGCTCTTGAAGTCCGAGATGGTGCCGTCGCGGTCCGCCTGGTCCTTGCCGCCGTGGAGCGACAGCGCCGGGTAGCCCGCCTGGGCAGCACAAGGGTGATTCAACGTCGCTTCAACGTGAGTGTTCCGCGCGCGCGCGTTCCGGAAAAAGCATCCACGCTTCGAGACCGTTCCGAGAGATGATCGCTCGTCCAAAAATCAGCCGAAACGAGTGGAAAATGGCCGAGATCGGAGCCTTTGAAGTTGGGAATTTCGCTCTCTTTTGCTGCCCTGTAGCCCGCCTTCATGAGCTGCTCGTAGATGGAGTCGCACTTGAGCTGCGTGTCGACGAAGATCAACACGGACCCCCGCTCGAACCAGTGGCCCAGCAATTGGAGCAGGCGCATGAACTTGGTGCCCTCGGCGCGGAGCTCGACGTACTGGTCGACGGTGTCCGCGGCGACGGACCGCCCGCCGGCGACGATCTCCAGCGGATAGGAGAGCGCCTTGCGCGCGAGCTGCTCCACGGCCCGGGGGAACGTCGCCGAGAAGAGCGCCGTCTGCCGGTCGGGCCGCGCGTTCCGCAGGATCATCGCGATCTGCGGCTCGAAGCCCATGTCGAACATGCGGTCCGCCTCGTCGAGGACGACGTAGGACACGCGCCGCAACCCGATCAAGCGCCCCTGGGACATGGTGAGGATGTCGATGAGGCGGCCCGGCGTCGCGACGACGATCTCCGCGCCGCGCTTCAGGTCCGCGATCTGGTCCGCGACCTTGGCGCCGCCGTAGACCGCGATGGCCCGCAGGCCCAGCGGGTTCGCGAAGCGCTTCGCCTCGCGCCAGATCTGGAGCGCGAGCTCCCGCGCCGGCGCCAGGATCAGCGCCACGGGGCCGTCGCCGCCGTCGACGATCGGCGGCTGGTCCATGATGTGGCGCAGCAGCGGGAGCACGAAGGCCAGCGTCTTCCCGGAGCCCGTCTTCGCGATGCCGATGACGTCGCGGCCGCTCATGAGCGCGGGCAGGGCCTGCTTCTGGATGGGGAAGGGCTCCGTGTGGTCCCCGAAGGCCTTGACGAGCGCGCCGTGCGCCTTGTCCGGCAGGCCGCACTGGCCCCAGGTCTCGATGGGCGGCGGGCAGCCCTTGCCCCGGACCTTGATCTCGTCGGCGTCGCGCCGCAGCGCGACGTCCGCGGCGCTCAAAGCGCCCAAAGCGCGGGGCACGACGTAGAAGTTCTTCCGGATCTTCACGTAGTTCTCGCGCGCGTGGTCCACGGGTTTTAGTTCCTTCTTCTTGAGCTGCTCCGCGAAGACCTCGAGGGCGGACCGCTCGGCCCGGCGCCGCTCGCCCTCCTCCATGACGTCGCCGTCGTCGGCGAAGCAGCGGCCGAGCTCCTTCTTCTCGCGCTTTTCCGCCTCCGCGGCCTTGGCCGCGTCCTCCTTGGCCAGGCGCACGCGCTCGGACGTCGACATGACGTCCGGCGGCTCGTCGTCGCTGTCCTCGTCCTTGTGCAGCGCGGCGAAGGCGCGCCAGGAGCCCGTGCCCGATTTCTCCGACGCGGCCGCGCCCCCGGGCGCCGCGGGCCCCGCGGCCTCGGAGTCGCTCTCGGACTCGTAGTTGCTCTCCCAGCCGCCGTCGGGCGGCTTCGCGCCCTTGAGGATCTCCTCCATGGTGATCGTGTTCGTCGCGTGCGGGTTCACGTAGCCCCGGTCGCCGTCCTCGACCGCGTCCATGATCCGCGCGCCCTCGCTCCGGTCGCTGCGCGCGGGCGACGTCGCGCCGGAGCCGTCGAGCGACGTGAGGAACGTGTCGAGGGGGTCCGACGGCGCGCCGCTCGAGAAGGACGCGAGGAAGCCCTCGAGGGGGTCCGCCGCGGGCGCGGCCGCGGCCGCGGCCGCCGCGGGCGCGGGCGCGGGCGCGAGGAACGGCGCGGCCTTCTCCGCGGCCGCCGCCGTCGCGTCGCGCTTCTTCTCGAGGCGCTTCTTCCGCAGCTCCGCCGCCGCGGCGCCCTTGAGGGAGCTCACGGCGGCCGCGGGCGCGGGCGCGGCCGCGGCGGCCGCGTCGCCCGTGTCGAACTCCGCCAATAGCTCGTCGTCGTCGTCCGCCTCGCCCTCGTCCTCGAGGGTCCACGTCGGCCCGCCGGGCCCGCCGGCGGCGCCGGCGCCCGACGCCTTGCCCTGGGCCGCCTGCCACGCGGCGACGCGCTCGCGCCGCGCGTTCGCCTCGTCCTCGACGGCCTTGGCGTCGCGCTCGCGCTCGAGCTTCTTCTCGGCCTCGAGCTCCTCGGCGCTCTTGGGCGCGTTGGCCTTGAGCCGCGCGGAGATCATGGCCGCCATGGCCGCGGCCTGGGTCGCCGACTCGTCGCCGCCGCCGCCGCCGTTCCGGTCGCGCCGCGGCGGCGACGGGCTCCGCGGCCGCGGCGCCGGCGCCGGCGCCGCGCTCATCTCCTTGAGCCGCGCCTCGTGCTCCATGGACACCCAGCCCTCGCTCACGGGCACGCCGTACTCGTCGCGCCGCCGCTTGCGGTCGCGCGAGCTCGACCGGTCGCGCCGGTGCCGGTCGCGCTTGTGCTCCTTGCGCCGGCTCCGGTCGCGGCTGTCGTCGCTGTCGTCGTCGCGCCGCCGGCGCCGGCGGTCCTTGTCTCGATCGCGGCCCATGGCAAAGTTTTCTACGCGGGCAGCTCTTCTATAAACACGCGCTAGTGCCGCCGCACCATCGCGGCGAGCTCCAAAGATTTTTTGTCCGAGGCCTTGCCGCAGTCCGCGGCCGGCGACGCGTACAGGCTGCTGCTCGACAAGGCGTGCACCGACACGGCTGGACCTCAACCCTTGCCGACGAGACGCCGCTCGGCACCTTCCTGACGACCACCGACCATGGACTCGTCCCCGGCGCAGCACGTCGTGTCGCCGATCAACTTCGACACGGTGCAGCCGGCCCGCGAGCGGCGGCCGAGCTACCGCCAGTCCTACGAGGACTGGCGCAGCGGCGAGGGGTCGTCGAGCGTCAAGGGCGAGGTGCACGGCATCCGCGTGGCGACCTACATCTCCGGCGCGCTCGCGACGCCGCACGGGTCCGCCGCGCAGTTCCGGCGCGTGTCGTCCGTGAACCTTTTGGCCAAGTCGCTGGAGCACGCCAACGAGCTCTACGACGAGTTGGAGAGTTTGGAGTCCAAGCTCAAGGTGACGTCGCTGCTGGGCGGCTGCCTCTGCGTGGCGGCCTTCGCGTCGTTCCTCAACGGCTACCACACGTCGGTCACAGGGCAGGAAAAGGGTGATTCAACGTCGATTCAACGTGAGTGTTCCGCGCGCGCGCGTTTCGGAAACAGCACCCACGCTTCGAGAGCGCTCCGAGAGATGATCGCTCGTCCAAAAATCAGCCGAAACGAGCGGAAAACGACCGAGATAGGAGCCTTTGAAGTTGGGAATTTCGCACCCTTTTGCTGCCCAGGTCGGTCATGAACGCGGCCGAGGCGACGGCGCTGCCGGGCCACGGGTCCTTCGCGTGGTCCGTGGCCGTGTCGGCGCTGCCCGTGGGCGGGCCCTTCGGGTCCTGGGTCGGCGGCTGCGCGGCGGACGGGCGCCTGGGCCGCGACGGCGCGCTCTGGTCCATCGGCGCTTTATACGGCCTCGGGGGCATCGCGCTCTGCTGGGGCCTGGAGCTGCAGCGCATCGACGTCGTCATCGGGGCGCGCTTGCTCCTGGGCGTCGCCTGCGGCGCGACGACGGTCGTCGTGCCCGTGTACTTGGGCGAGCTCGCGCCGCCGCGGCTCCGGGGCGCGTTCGGGACGTTGACGCAGCTGGCGATGGTCGTGGGCATCCTCGCCGCGGACGTCGTGGCGTTGGGCGCCGGCGCGGGCGTGTTGTTCGCCGCGTCGGCGCTCGTGGCGCTGGCCATGCTCTTGCTGGCCGGGGCGCTGCCCCTCGCGGCGACGCCGAAGAGCGTCTTGGCCGTGGGCCGCGCGCCGCGGAACACGTACGGCGACGTCGACGACACGTCCGAGGACTGGGTCGAGGCCGTCGAGCTCTGCAAGCGCTTGTACGCGTTGGACGACGAGTCGGCGCGCGACGAGGCGCACTGCATCGCCGCCGCGGCCGCGGCGGTCGCGCGCGACGAGGACCCCGCGACGCCCGACGCGGACCGCGGGTCGCTGCGGCGCCGCGAGGAGGCGACGGGCGGCGACCGCGCGGCCGTCGCCGCGCGGGCGCGGCGCGTGCTCTTCGCGTCGACCTTCGTGCTCCACGCGACGCAGCAGCTCAGCGGCATCAACGCGGTCTTTTACTACTCGACGACGTTCCTCGACGGCGTCATCCCGAACCCGGCCCTGGGCACGGCGCTCGTCGGCCTCGTGAACGTCGTCGCGACCATGTTGGCTTCGTCCTTGATGGACGGCCAGCGCCGCGTGACCATGCTCGCGCTCTCGATCGGCGGCATGCTCGTGAGCGCGGCGGTGTTGACGCTCGCGCTCCAGGGCCTGTTGTCCAACGCCTGGGCCCTCGTCGGCGTCATCCTCTACGTCTTCTTCTTCGAGCTCGGGTTGGGGCCCATCCCCTGGATGATCGTGCCCGAGCTCTTCACGACGGCGCAGGTCGTCCCGGCGCAGGCGATGGCGTCGCAGTTGAACTGGTGCATGAACATCCTCGTGGGGCTGGGCTTCCCCGTGCTCAACGCGACGCTCGGCGCCTACGCGTTCCTCCCCTTCGCCGCCGTCCTCGTCGCCGCGCTCGTCTTCGTCCTCGCGGTGCTCCCGGAGACGTTCGGCCGCACGCCCGAGGACGTCTTCCGGGAGCTCACGCTCCCGGGCGGCCGCCAGGCCTACGGCGCCGTCTCCACGCTCGAGCTCGAGTACGAGCTCGCGCGCGGCGCGTCGCTGTCCCGCTCGCGCTCGCGGAGCTGAGAATCATTCGCCGCCTCTCTAAATAAGTGTTTCCGATCGATAACTTGCACGTCATCTTGCAGCGGTTGATTTTTCAAGATTTTCGTATTGGTCGTGGCAGCCCGAGGGAATCAGAAGGGAGCGATGGCGCCTCTCACCCTCGTGATCGCGTCCTTGACCGTCGCACCGGTTCTCTCGTGCACGAGCGTGCTCTTCGGCCCCGGCGCGACCGCCGACGGCAGCGTCTGGGTCGGCCAGTCCGACGACGGCGAGGGCGCCGGCGATGCGCGCCTCGTGTGGGTCCCGGCGATGGACTGGCCGGCGGGCTCCAAAAGGCCGGTCTTCGACTACGGCGACTTCCCGCGCATCGTCGACAGCGAGCGCAAGGTCCCGGCCAGCGTCCTGTGGCCGTGACGATTTTCGAGAGCTTGAGAAATCGTCACCGTCATGCTTGGTAGGTCCCGGCCTACTTCCCGACGGACAAGTTCAACGAGACGGCCGGCAAGATCGGCAGCATCCCGCAGGTCGCCCACACGTTCGGCTACTACGAGGCGGACTACGCGATCTCCAACGAGCACGGCCTCGCCTTCGGCGAATCCACGGTGTCGGCGAAGATCTTCACGACGCCCGTGAGCAAGGGCGGGCCCGCGCTCCTGAGCATGTACGAGCTCTCGCGTTTGGGAGCCGAGCGCTGCAAGACCGCGTCCTGCGCCGTCGACGTCATGGGCGCGCTCGCGGAGAAATACGGCTTCTGGGGCGACGACAGCGTCGACACCGGCGGCGAGTCGTTGCTGGTCGCGGACCTCGAGACGCAGTGGATCTTCCACGTGCTCTCCGCCGACGAGCATAAGGGCGGCGCGATCTGGTGCGCGCAGAAGATCCCGCGCGACCACGCCGCGGTCGTCTCGAACGCCTTCGTCATCGGCGACGTCGACGAGGGCAGCGACGACTTCCGCTACGCGAAGTCCATGCATGCCATCGCGAAGGCCAGGGGCTGGTGGGACGGCACCGGCAAGCTCCACTTCACCAAGACCTTCTCCGCGGGCGAGTACTCGAGCCACGGCTACTCGGGCCGGCGCATGTGGGCGTTCTGGTCCGCCGTCGCGCCGTCCCTGGGCGTGGAGCCCGAGTACGACGTCTACGTCGACGCCGTCGGCGGGAACTTCCCCGTGTCCGCCAAGACGGACGCGCCGGGCCTCACGCGCGGCGACCTCTTCGACAAGATCTACCGCAACTACTACAAGGGCACGAAGTACGACCTCTCCGCGGGCGCGGCGGCGGGGCCCTTCGGGACGCCGATCCGCGTCAAGCCGGGCGAGGGCGAGCGCACCGTCGCCGGCTCCTGCGGCAGCGACGCATCGCCCTGCGAGACGTGGGAGCGGTCCATCGCGTCGTTCCGGTCGACGAACATTCACCTGACGAACCTCGCCCCGAAGGCGTCGCCCGTGCTGTGGTTCCTGCCCTACGCGGCCGTCGCCGGCGTCTTCCTGCCCGTCGACGTCGTCTTCGGGCCGACGCCGAGCGCGCTCGAAGGCGTCGACAACCGCGCGCCGGACCGCTCCAAGGCGTTCTGGGCCTTCCGCGAGCTCGCGCAGTATGCTTACCCGCGCTGGTCCGTCGTCGAGCCCGAGATCCAGGCGCTCCAGAAGCGCCTCGAAGGCGACGTGACCGTCGCGGCGGACGCGGTCATCGCCGCCGTCCGCGAGTTGTACGACAGCCTCCTCGTCCGCGACTCCGACGGCTGGGACTACGACGCCGCCGCGCGCGTCGCGAACCGCGTCGGCTACCCGGCGGCGTGGCTCGACGACATCGGCTACACGAAGGGCACGACCTACGCGTGCAAGACGACGTGCCCCTAGGCGCTGTCTTCAAACAATCTAAGATGAAGTTCAACAACATGTTCAACAACTTCGTTTCCTGGCACTGCCAGGCGGCCCGATGGGCAAGCATATATTCAACGCAATGTGTGCGTTGCTCGTGGGCGTGCTGCGCGCGGATGAGACCTGCACGGTGACGGACGCGCCGACCGCCTGGCCAGCGACGGGCTGCGGCATCGAGGACCTCCAAGCGATCGTGGTCGACGACTCGGATGTGAAGTACTTGGTCAGGCAGGACTGCGCTCTCAGCGAGGATGTCTGCAGCACGCGCACCCTGTTCCGGACGCGCGACAGCTGCGGCCAGTGGACTGTGCACTGGTACGCCGCCAGCCAGAGCGCGACCTTTCCCGCGTCGCTCGGTCTCATTCCGAGCTGCCGCATGCCCGCGTCGACGACCGTGCGACGGACGGACGGCTCCGTCGCGACGGCCAGCTTCTACGCCGTGAACGACAAGAAGCGCCGCGGCTTCACACGATAGACCGAGACGTCGCGTCGCGATGATCCTCGCGCGACTCGTTTAAAAGTTTGCTCCCTGAAACGGGGTCGGCGCGTACGAGAGGAGGGCACCGAGGTAGGCGGATCGCCACCCCAAAAATGACCGAGGTCTCTTGTAGACACCCCCCTTACGAAGCGGGGCGGGCGTCGGGGGAGGCGCGTCGCGCGCGGCCGCGCGATCATGCGACGATGGTGCCGCTCTTCTGGATCGTCGAGTTCCACTGGCCGCTCGACGCCATCCGCTCGGCCCGGATGCGCTCGAGGTTCTGCTGGGCCTCGAGCTCGGATTTCACGTTCTGGTATCGCTGGAGGAGGCGCTCGAGGTCCATCTGGCGCTGCTTCTTCTGCTCCTCGCGGCCCGTCTGCACGCGCTTCTGCAGCGCGACGAGCTCCTGCTGCTTCTGGTGCTTGAACTTGGCCTCGCGCTGGAACATCTCCTGCTGCTTGCCGTTCTGCCACTTCTCGAGCTCCCAGGCCTCGAGCGCGTCGCACTTGAGCTTGATCTTGTGCGCCTCGGTGTAGTCCTTCTGGCGCGCGAGGTGCTCCTGGATCCGCCGCAGGTTCAGCAGCTCCCGCGAGAACTTTGGTCGCGCCTGGCGCTGGAGCAGCGCGCCCTGGAAGTCGCGGAGCTCCGCCGCGTGCCGCTCCTTCATCGCCTCGACGAGGTCCGCGGCGTGGTTCTCGTACTCGCTCATCTTCTTGTCCCAGATGATGTTGAACTGCTGGAACTCCAGCATGTGCGCCTCCTCGACGCCGAGGCGCTCCGCGATCTGCCGCGACCGCATGGCCTCCTTGCGCCGGTTCTCCTCGTGCATCTTCAGCTCCTCGAGGCGATTCTTCGCGATCTCGGCCTCGACGTACTTGCCCTGCCGCTCGCAGTTCTTCCGGTGCTCCTCGAGGATCTGGAGGAAGTCGGCGACGGCGGACTCCTGCGCGCGGGCCGGACGGGTCGCGCGCGCGACGCTCGAGGTCGCGCGGCGGCGCGCGGGCTGCCCCGCGGTCGCGCGCGCGGGCTGCCCCGGACGCCCGCTCTTCGAGGACGCCGCCGCGCGCCTCGGGCCCATCCTGGGTCGACATGGTCTCGGCGGCGCGCCGACGCGGTCACGGCGCGACGCCGCCCGCCCCCGCGAGTTCCTCGACGCTCGACGCGGACAGGGCGTCGATCAGCGCTACCGCTCTTGCTACCGTCTATTTTACCAAAGAAATAGTCTGCCGTGCAGGTCGCGGTGAAGACGTTGAATTAGCGCGCTATCAACGATGGCTGGGCAGCGTTCTCCCCGACCTCCGTGAGCGGCCGGGCCGGAACGCACGACTCCGTGAGACCATGGAGATGCTCAAGCAGGCGCTCGAGCAGGCCGTGGCGCTCGAGGCGCCGTCGCCGCCGGCGACGCCCGCCGAGCCCGCGATGACGCCGGCCGACGGCGCTCTGACGCCCATCGAGGCCGCGGCGGCCCCGGCGCCGGCGCTGCTCAGCGGCGGCCGCCTCGACAGCTACATCTCGGCCCTCGAGGACGACGAGGACTCGCACGCGACGCCGACGAGCGTGTCGCGCGGCGCGCCCGTCGAGCTCGAGAAAGCGTTCGCGAAACGCGTCGCGGGCGGCGCCTTCGACGGCGAGGACGACTTGGCCGACGGCGACGTGCCCCTGCGCGTCGACGCGCTGGAGCGGGGCTGCGTGCGCCTGCGGCGCGACGTGAAGACCGTGTGGTCGCTCGAGCGGGCCTTCGAGGCGCGCATGGCCGACGAGTGCCGGGGCTGGTCCGAGGACATCGCGAACATGCGCGACGGCGTCGTCGACGAGATCCGCGCGGGCCAGGCCGCCGCCGTCGAGGGCGCCCTCGAGCAGACGCAGGGCAAGCTCGACGACGCGACGCGGCGCCTCGCGGGCGTCGAGGGCGGCGTCGCGGACGAGGCGCGCCGCGCCGCGGAGCTCGAGCGGCGCGTCGGCGGCCTCGAGGCGCTCCGGTCGCGCGTGTGCGCCCTCGAGCGCCGCGCGTCCCGCGCCGAGGACCGCGCGGACCGCGCCGAGGCGCTCTGCGACCGCCAGTTCGGCCAGCTCGAGCGCCAGCGGCGGACGATGGACGCGTGGCTCCGCGAGCTCGCGAAGAAGGCGAACCACGACAGCCGGCGCATCGACGCCGCCGACGCGCGGGCCCAGCCCGTCCACAGCGCCCTGGCGAAGCTGTCGAACCGCATCGCCGCCGCGGTGATGATCGACGACGCGGCGAACCGGGCCGCGCGCGGCGACGCCGACGGCGCCAAGGAGCTGAGCTCGTCCTTCGCGACGGCGGAGACGACCATCGTCGACGAGGAGAGCGGCGAGCCCGACGCGGCGCCGACCGCGCCGACCGCGCGCGGCGGGTCGAGCCGCCGCGAGAGCCTGCTCCACCGCCTGAGCCGCGTCGGCTCCGGCGGCGGCGAGACGCTCGCCATGACCTACGGCCTGCGCCTCGACGCGGCGTCGGAGGAGTCGAAGCGCCGCGCGGACGCGCCCCGGCGCACGTCCCTGCGCCGCGAGTCCATGCGCGGCGGCCGCCGGTCGACGCTGCGGCGGAGCCGGGGCCCGCCGCCGGGCCTCGGCGTCGTCCGCGAGCGCCGCGCGGGCGCGTCGCCGGCGCCGGCCGCCGCGCCGCGCCGCGACGACCCCGCCGTTGCCGAGGCGCCGGCGTCGGCGACGCCCCCCGAGGACAAGGTCGTCGCGGCGCCGTCCGTGGCCGAGGCCGCGGCGCTCGCCGGGGGCGCGCGCGCCGCGGGCGCCGTGCCCGAGGCCGCGGTGCCCGGGCCCGCGGCGGCCGCCGCGCCGGCGCCCCCGCCGGCGCTGGTCCGCGCGGCGTCGATCCTCGAGGAGGTCGAGGACGACGACGACGTCGACGTCGAGGTCGAGCAGTTCCCCGAGACGATCATCGCCGACAGCATTTTGGCGATCCTCCGCCGCGTCGCGGCGCTCGAGCGGGGCAAGGCCGAGTCGAGCCAGCTCCGCGTGCTGGAGATGGGCATCTCCAACAACCGCTCGCGCACGGAGGCCGCGGAGCGCAAGCTCGAGACGCGGCTGGCGTCGCACGAGAAGAAGACGCTCGCGGACGTCGTCGAGCTCCGCGAGGCGGGCGACCACGGGAGCGCCGTCGCCGAGAGCCAGGGCGAGCGCATCCGCGACATGAGCCTCCAGCACGAGACGCTCAAGTCCGAGGTCGGCCGCATCAACAACGACGCGCTCCACGCGGTCCGCGACTATCTCGCGCCGACGCTCGAGGAGGTCCAGAACACGTCGACGGGCCTCACGGATTTGCGGCGCAAGACGAACGAGCAGTTCATGAAGATGGAGTTCCAGAAGGCGACGAACGCGGCCATGAACGAGAAGGCGGACATCGTCGACATGGACACGAAGGCGTCGCGCGTCCAGGTCGACACCGTCGCCGCGTCCGTGACGACCATGTCCCTGACCATCGGCTCCCTGAGCGACCGCGTCGTCACGGCGGAGAAGATGGCCAAGCGCGGCAACGCGACCGTGGAGAAGCTCGAGGCGCTGATCATCGAGCTCCGCAAGCGCATGGCGGCGCTGCCCACGGGTAGAATCGAGGTCGACGAGAACGAGCCCGTCGACGAGAACGAGCCCTGGCCGCCGAAGCCCCACCGGGGCCACAAGCCGCGCAACCTCACGCCCATCGACAAGGCGGGCCCGGCCCGCGGCGACGACTCGACGCGGTCGTCGCCGCCGGGGTCGCCGCAGTTCGGCTCGCGCGGCGCCGACGACAGCGTCCACTCCTTCCCCTCCTTCCCCGGGGGGCGCAAGTCCAACGCCATGACCGTGCGCGAGCGCGAGGTGCTCAACGAGCACCGCAAGTCCTGGATCAACCCGCAGGGCCCCGGCGCGGAGCACGACGAGAGCGCCAAGGCCGAGCGGCTCCTGAGCGCGGGGCCCGGCGGCCGGCGCCACAAGCCGTCCCTCGCGTCGGGCGTCCTCGAGCACCGGCCCAAGAGCGCGCCGTCGCCCTGGGCGAACCACAACAAGCTCCAGAAGGGCAAGTCCAGCGGCGGGCTCCGCCACGCGCCGAGCCACGGCCGGCTCTAAGCGTAATTACGGCGGCTTCCCGAGGAGGTGGAGGATCGCCGGGAGGACCGTCTTCCGGCTCGTCTGCTCGTTCAAAGAGCAGGCCCGCGCGCCGTCGCCGACGTCGCCGAACGTCGTCGCGCCGAGGCCGGCCGCGGATACGCCCTGCTCGACGAACATCTTCGACTCCAGCAGGTCCGGCGGCAGGCCCGCGGGGAGCGCCGCGAGGTCCGCCTCGAGGGTCGCCGCGCCTTTGGTGGCGTGGTAGACGAGCGACCGGCCGCCCGCGGCGTCGTCGTGCTTGGTCATCGCGAACAAGACGTCGACGCGCTCGTCGCGCGCGAAGGCCCGGAGCGCGTCGGACAGGGCGGCCTCGCCGCCCGCCCGGGCCGAAAACTCGGCGAACGTCAGGAAGATGTTCGCCGCGCCGACCCGCAACCCGTTCACTGAGGCGCGCTTGTAGTCGAGCGCGAGGAGCTGGCGCGCGTCGAGGCCGGCGACGTCGAAGCGCGCGGCCGACAGCGCGTCGCTCAGGTGCTTCATCGTCGCCGCGCCGCCCAGGCGGCACGCCTCCGGCAGGGCCCGCACGCGCAGGCCGTCGACGCTCCGCTCGCCGAAGGCGTCGCCGGAGAGCGCGTCTAAAAGAGCGTGCGCCGCCGCGACGTCGCGATCCGAGTACTTCGTGCCTTTGAACTTCTCGTCGAAGCCCCGGCAGTCCAGGGCGATGGCGAAGAGGAGCAGCGCGCCGAGGTCGCTGCGGCCCGCGCCGGCCGCGACGAGGCGCTCGGCGACGAGCGACGAGCAGCTGCCCGCGGCGCCGTCGACGTCGCGCTCCGCGGCCGCGTGCGCGCCCTCGTCGGCGTGGTGGTCGACGATACCCGCGACGGCGCCGGTCAGCGGGAAGCCGTGGTCGGCGCGGTTGTGGTCCGTGAGCCAGATGGCCACGTCCCGCCGCCGCGCGGCGACGGCCGGCGACACGTCGTCGGCGAAGACGAGCGCGTCGCCCGCGGAGACGAAGTCGAGCGCCGCCGACGCGTCGCGGCGCAACGCGAGATCCCGCCTCGCGAACTGCGCCAGGGCGACGCCGGACGTCAGGTGCGCGACGGCGAGCGCCGACGCGATGGAGTCGAGGTCGCCGGCGCGGTTGCCCACGGCGACGGTGCGCGCCGCGTCGTCGCCCGGGCCGAGGAACGCGGCCTTGCGCTGCGCGAGCCCCGCGAGCAGCGCGTCGGTCGTCGTCGCCAGGGCGCGGGCGGTCCGGGCGCAGGTGAGCGCTGCGAGGACCATTTTCACGCCCATGCTTTTTGGGCGCCAAGTTCAATTTTGGCCAATATATCTTCAACGTTAGGTAAAGAAACGCCCGACAGGATCAGCGCTGCCCCGCGGAGCGTCTCTCTGTTGTCGCGCCGCTTTGCGCCGCGTCCGCCGCCATGGGGATGCACTTCGACCTGCGGCCGATGACGCCGGAGGAGCGCGCGTCGGGCCTCGTCGCCGTGGAGTGGGAGAGCGAGGCCGACGACGGTAGCGTGGTGTCGGCCCTCGAGGACGTCGGGTCCGTGGCGAACCGGTCCTACGGGGCGACGCAGAATTTAGAGTGTTTGCGGGACGACGAGATGACGGTTTCGAGCGAGGTCGAGGGCCGCGTCGGCAAGTGCGAGCGGTCCTGCGAGCGCCTCGCGCGCGACATGAAGACGGTGTGGACGCTCGAGCGCGCGTTCGAGGGCCGCATGAGCGAGCACGTCAAGGGCTGGGGCGACGAGATCGCCCACATGCGCGACAGCGTCGTCGAGGAGATCCAGGACGGCCAGGCGGCCATCGTCGCCGAGGGCGTCGCGGGCCCGAAGGCCGAGCTCGTCGACGCGCGGCTGAGGCTCGACGCGGCCGAGGCCGCGCAGGCCGTCGGCGAGACGCGCGTCGGCGTCGTCGAGGAGCAGATTAGCGTGCTCGCGTCGATCAACGAGCGTCTGGTCGCGCTGGAGAAGCGGGCGGAGCGCGCGGAGCGGCGCGCGGCGCGCGCGGAGACGCTCTTCGACCGCCGCTGCGAGGACATCGAGACGTTCGCGTCGCAGCTCGACGAGTGGCTCACGGAGGTCGTCGCGCGCATCAAGCGCGACTCGCGGCGCATCGACGCCGCGGACCGGCGCGCGGCGCCCGTGCACCGCGCGCTCGCGAAGCTGTCGAACCGCATCGCGGCCGCGGTCATGATCGACGAGGCCGCGCGCCGGGCCGCCGAGGGCGACCGCGAGGGCGCCCGGGAGCTGCGGAGCTCCTTCGTGTCCGGCGACCACGACTTTCCCGACTTCGAAACGGCCTCGAAGGCGTCGCTGCTCCACCGCCTGAGCCGCGTGGGCTCGTGCGGCGGCGAGAGCCTCGCGGTGCAGCACGGCCTCCAGCTCGACGCGGCGTCCGAGGGCAGCTCGCGGGAGGAGGAGGTGCGGCGCAAGTCCGTCATCGCGACGCCCGGCGGCCTGCGGCGCGCGTCGTCCATCCCCGCGATCCCGCGCGCCGCGGACGACTTCTACGGCCCGCCGAAGGCCAAGTCCGTCGAGGCGCCGCCGCCGGAGCCGCCGAAGCCGACGGCGCCGGAGAAGACGGGCCTCGCCCGCGACGTCGCCAACGTGCTCGGGCACGTGCTCGAGGGCGGCCTCGACGGCGGCGGCGCCGCGGGCGCGCCCGCGCCGGCGGCCGCGGACGGCGACGCGGACCCGGACGAGCCCCGGGTGCTCATCAAGACGAACACGTGCCCGACGTCCATCTGGCACTCCACGGGGCTCTTCGACGACGACGGCGACGACGCCGACGACGAGCCCGTCGTCGTCGAGTCCTTCCCGGAGACGATCGTCGCCGACGCGGTGCTCGCGATCCTCCGCCGCGTGTCGGGCATCGAGGCGGGCAAGGCCGAGAAGTCGCAGCTCCGGGTCTACGAGACGGGCATCACGAACAACCGCAACCGCATCGAGTCGAGCGAGAAGCGGCTCGAGTACCGCGTCGCGAACGACGAGAGCCGCAACGAGAAGGCGTTCGCGGATCTGAACGAGGGCGCGGAGCACCTGAACGCGCGCCTCGAGAACGAGCAGGAGCGCATCACGTCCGTGTCCCAGCAGATCGAGAGCCTCCGGCGCATGTTCCAGCAGCTCAACATCGACAACATCGGCGCGGTCCGCGAGTTCCTCGCGCCGACGCTCGACAAGGTCGACGTCATCGCGGAGGACCTGCAGCGCGTCACGGAGGAGACGGGCTTCAAGCTCAGCGACCTCGAGCGCACGAAAGCGACGACGGAGGCCCTCATGAAGAAGGCGGACATGGACGTCGTCGAGGACAAGGCCACGACGTTCCACGTCGACAACGTCGCGTCGTCCGTGACCGCGCTGTCGCTCACCATCGGCTCCCTCGCCGAGCGCATCATCCACAGCGAGGGCATGGCCCAGCGCAGCGCGGAGACGGCCCAGAAGCTCGAGGTGCTCATCATCCAGCTCCGGAAGCACATCCTGGAGAACGAGGACCTCAACAAGCTCAAGGACGCGGGCGGCGCGTCGCCGAAGCAGCACAACCGGCGCCGCCTCTCCGCGGGCACGCCCGACCAGGCCTCGCCCAAGGCGACCTACCGCAAGCAGACGCCGTCGCGCCACCAGAGCTTCCACAACTCGCAGAAGCTCGCGCCGATCCCCCGCGACGGCGACGCGTCCGGCGGCGACGAGGGGCCCCACGCGATCCCCGCGTTCCCCGGCGCGAACCACCAGCCGCCCCTCGTCCCGCCGGGCGTCGCGCTCCACAAGCACCGCATGTCCTGGAAGAGCCCCGCGGCCGAGCACGAGCAGGCGCACGAGGCGCGGCACCGCGCCATCGCGACGGCCTCGGAGAACCGGCGCAAGAAGCCCGCGAAGACGGCGCTCACGGAGAGCCTCCGCTCGTCGCGGCCCGAGTCCGCGCCCCTGAGCCCCTGGACGCCCGACGCGAGCGACGCGTAAAAAAACGTTTTTCGAGCTTTTTTATGCATGTCCCGCGAGCGCGCGCCGCTTGCGCTCCGTGCAGACGAAGTCGACAAAGGCGGGATACGAGTCGATGGCGGCGATGAGATCGCGAAGCGTCCTGGCCATGGGATCGTCGGCGTGCCTTCTCAGCAAAACCATGAAATCCTCGTGCGACGTCGCGCGCTCGCGCACAAACTCGTCGAGCCTCCCTTCGACGACGCCGAGGAACTTCGAGTGGAGCGTCATCGCCTCGTGAGTTTGCTCGCGACGAAGGTCTCGGAATTCTCCACCGTGCTCCTCTATGAACGCGTCGATGTATGGGCAGATGTTACGCATATAATACTTCACGACATCGAGGAGCTCGGTGTCCGACGCCTTGAACTCCAATTCCGCCGCCTCTCTCCGCAGCGCGGCCCTGTCGATGTCCGGCTCCTCCTCGTCGCTGCTGCACGACCCTTGCACGTAGCTCTCACCGTCGCTGGAGCTGCCGGAGCTGCCGTCCATCGTGTTTGAAACAGCAACGATTGTTCAACATGAACACAAGGTGAACACAAACAGGTTTACGAAAGCGGCGCGGCCTAGGGCGTGACGTGCCGGAGGTCCACCGTCGGCGCGCGGCCGCCGCGGCGCCCGAGGCGCACGTTGAAGGTGCCCGCGGCCTCCTCGTCGTCCTCGGTGAGCGCGGGCGAGTCGAACTTGCCGGGCGCGGGCCGACTCGCGGGCCGCTCCGGCGTGAGCGGCGTGCCGTTCTCGAGGTGGCCGACGAGGGACCGGAAGACCTTGGGCGCCGGCGGCGAGTGCTTCTCGTCCTCGAAGTCGGAGTCGTCGGACGCGAAGCGGGCGAAGTCGCGGAGGTCGAGGGGCTCGTCGGACGACGGCCGCGGCAGGAGGATCTGGCCACCGTCGTCGTCCTCGTCGGAGCTCGCGAACTTGTCGAAGTCCAGGTCCTCCTCGACGGAGTCGCGCCGCTCGGGCCGCGCCGCGGCCGCGGCCGGCGGCCGCGCGGGCCGCGGCGGCGGCCGGAGCGTCGGCACCGCGCGGGGCCTGGCCCGCCGCGGGATCTTCGACGTCAGCGGGCTCGCCTGGCCCGTCGGCACGCCGAGCGGGTCGCGCCGCGGCGCCGGCGCGGCGGGCGCGGCGGCCGGCGGCACGGCCGCGGCCTTGGGCGCGGCCTTCTTCCTCGCGAGGCCGCGGACCTTGGGCCGCGGCGGCGGCGCGATGATGGTCTGCGGCGACGTCGGCACGGCCGACGTCGGCGCGCCCTCGCCCTCCTCGATCTCGACGTCGTCCTCCGGCAGCGCCTCGAGGACCGGCGGCGGCGTCGCCGCGCGCGGCGGCGGCGGCGGCGCGCCGAGGCCCCGGAGCCGCGCGGCGGCGCCCGACGGCGCGGCGGCCGCCGGCGGCGAGATGACGAGGCCCGGCGCCGCGGCGTAGAGCTCGACCTCGCCCCGCGGGTCGTAGTGGTCGAACTCCTCGCGCGACGGGTGCCGATCGACGCGGTCGGGCTGGCTCCCGCGGCTCCCGGGCGTCCCCGGCGTCGGCGGCGTCTCGCGGCCGGGCGTCGCGCCGCCGCCGGGCGACGGGGGGCGCAGGCGCGCCGGCGACCCGCCCGGCGGCGGCGAGCTCGCGGCCGACTCGCGCAGCTGCACGGCGGCCTCGCGCGAGCTCACGGTCTGCTCGCGCGCCTGGACGGCGATCTCGCGGGCCTGCACGGCCCGCTCCTTGGCGAGCAGCACGTCCTGCCACGCCTCGAGGTACCGCGCGCGATCGTCGAGGCTCGACATGGGCCTCACGAGCGCGCGGGGCAGCCTCGCAGCATCGCGTGGAGCTGAGTGTGGTTTACAGCCGTTAAGTGAAGTGTATTTGAAGTGTAATTGCACGGCACTCAGCGGTTGGGCGCTTAATCTGGGCGCTTATGGGCAGCTAAACAACTTGCCGACCATGCTCACGCCGTCGCACCAGCGGGCGCGCTATGGCCAGTTCACGGACCCGCCGAACGCGAACTACGAGAGCTACCACATGAGCCAGGCGGCGGCGTGGCAGGGCCTGGACCGCGGCCCGCGCACCGACCCGGCGACGCTGCTCATGGTCAACTTCGCGCGCCAGGCCGGCGAGCTCGGCAACGGCGCCCGGGGCGGCGGCGAGGGCGGCGCGCTCGCGCGGCGGCTCTACGCGTCCGTGCGGTCCCTGCTCGTCGACGCGGGGTCGGGCGCCGCGGTCAAGGCCGAGGCCGCGGCGTGCCTCGGGGGCTGGTGCGCGCGCTTCGAGGAGCTCGCGGCCGACGTCGCCGGCGACGCGCGCGCCCTCGGCGCCCTGGCGCTGGGCGTCGAGGCCCTGCGGTCGTCCGAGGACCGCGACGCGGACCGGCGGGCGCTCTGCGCGCGGTCCGTGGGCTGCCTCCGCGCGGCCGTCGACGGCGGCGGCGGCGGCGCCGCGGCGGCGGCGGCGGCCGCGGGGGAGCTGCCGCGGCTCGTCGTGGCGCTCGCGGGCATGGACCGCGCGCCGCTGGCCGCGCGCCGCGACGCCGCGGCGCTCGTCGGCGCGCTCGCGGAGCGCGGCGGCGCGGCGGCCGTCGCCGCGCTCGTCGACGCGGGCGCGGCGCGGTGCGCGGCGCGGGCCGCGTCCCTCGGCGACGCGCGGAGCGCGGGCGCCACGGACCTCGGCCTCGGCGCCGGCCGCGCGGCGGCCGCGGCGCTCCGGTGCCTCGCGCGCGACGCCGGGCCCTCGCGCGACGCCGTCGCGGCCGAGGCCCCGTCCCTCCTGGCGACGATCTCCGACTGCGGCGACGGCGCCGTCGTCGCCGACGCGCTCGAGGCCCTCGCGCGCTGCGCCATGGACGCGGCAACGCGGCCGCGGCTCGCGAGCGCGGGCTGCGTCAGGGTCGCCGTCGGCCGGCTCCTCCGGTCGCGGCCCGCGCGGGGCCCGGACCCGGCGGCCGTCGACGCCGCGGCCTGCGGCTGCCTCGCGAACCTGTGCCTCGAGCCCGCGGCGCGGGACGCGCTCGTCGCCTGCGACGGCGTCCGCGTCCTCGCGGCCGTCGCGCGCGACGCCGCGGGCGTCGCCGTCGACGGCGCGGGCAACGTCCTCGGCGCGCACCACGCGCCCCCGGACTGGGCGCCGAGCGGCGGGACGCTCGGGGCCGCGGCGCTCGCGCTGCGCAACGGCTGCCTCGACCACGCGGTCAACCGCGACCGCGCGGTCAAGACCGGCGCGGTCGTCGGCCTCGTCGCCGCGGGCGCGCGCGGCCGCGTCGACGCCGGCGAGCTCGCCGCGTGCGTCGCCGCGCTGCGCGTCTTGGTCGGCGACGCGCCGGCCTACGCGCGGGTCCTGCGCGAGGCCCGGGGCCACAAAGTCCTCGCGCACATCCGCGCGGGTTTGGACGCCGCGGGCGAGGCCGGCGCCGTCGACGACGTCGACGCGCTCCTCAAGGTCCACGACCGCGCCTTCGGGCCCGACCCGGCGCGGCCGCCGCCGCCGCCGAAGCCCGCGGGCCCCCGGCCGACGGGCGCGCACTGGGGCGACCCCAAAGAGGAGGCGGGCGAAAAGGCGTGGGACAGCTACCAGGCCGCGCACGGCCGCGCGTCGCGCTTCCCCCAGTACCACGCCGACGAGCCGCCGGCGCCGCCGCCGCCGGCCATGCCCCAGCCGCCGCTGCCCTTCCGGCCCCCGCGGAGCACGCCGGGGAGCACGCGGCCCTGGTAGGTTTTATGGCCGCATAACACATCCCGCCGGCGGGATATGTTACGCAAGACGCCCGTCGCCCGTGGGGGTCGTCGGCTTTCGTGGACCGGCGACCTCCTGCCCGATCCCCGCGCTGCACATCATGTCCATCTTCTTACGTCCGCGTCGGTCGCGCCTAGCCCCGTCCCCGGCCGCGGCCCTTGCCGCCGCCGCGGCCGAAGCCCTTGCCCTTGCCCTTGCCGCCCTTGGACCCGCCCTTGCCGCGGCCGCCCTTGCCCTTGCCGCCCTTGCCCTTGCCCTTGCCGCCGCCGCCGCCGCCGCCGCCGGGGCTCGTGAACCGGCTCAGCGGCAGGAGCTTCATGGGGTCGATGCAGAAGGTGTCGCCCTCCTTGAAGGACGCCGCCGTCGCGCCGGCCTCGGGCTTGACGGTGAACATGACCTCGTTGATGGGGCCGAAGATCTCGTCGACCTTGCCGACGCGCGTGTCCTTGTCGACGAAGATCGACGCGTTGAAGTAGGGCACCATGGTGTGCGTGAGCTTGCAGACGATGTCGCCCTCGCAGGAGTGCATGACGGACCCGACGGCCTCGACGCGCTCCGGCGGGCCCTCGGGCGCCCGGTTGCCGAAGCCGCGGCCGCCGCCGCCGCGCCCGGCGCCGCGGCCCTTGCCGCCGCCCTTGCCGCCCTTGCCGAAGCCTCGAGGCGGGCGCATAGCTGGGGGACGTACCGTGCGCGCCCCGGGGGCTCGTTCCTCGGGGTGTCCGCAGGCGCTCGGCAGCACCAGAAGTGCTTGCTTGGCTCGCCCAGACGGTCCGAGAGCCGCGTCAACATGCGCGTCTTGACGGCAGCGTTGGCCTGCCAAGGGCAGCCCCGCGGCCTCTCGTCTCGCACACGCGTCGTCGCGCCGCGCGCAGCCCGATGGACGGCACGGAGGAGACGAAGCTGCTCGGCGACGGCGAGGGCGACGAGCCCGCGTCGTCGGCGCCGGAGAAGGAGGCGCCGAGCCTCGTCGTCGGCTGCGCCAAGGTCAACGAGGAGGTCACGGACTCGTGCCTCTGCGGCCTCAAGGCCCTGTCCTTCGCGACCATGCTCGCCGGCGCGCTCGTCATGGCCGTCAACGTCTTCGAGATCGTCGACTTCCAGGAGAGCTACCAGGCCTACGCGCTCCGGGGCTACGCGACGCTCTTCGGACTCTTGATCGTCCTCGCGGAGCTCGAGCGGCCGCGGCTCCTCCTCGACTACTGCCGGTTCCTCGAGTTCTGGAGCCTCAAGGGCCTCTTCGTCGTCTTCGTCGGCGTCCTCACGCTCGACACGGAGGCCGACAACAACTCCGCGCTCCAGACGTCCGCGGCGATCGTCGTGTGCGCGCTCGGCGCGGTCTACTTCGTCTTCGGCCTCTTCTGCGTCAAGTCCTACCGCGACTACCGCAAGCAGGGCCTCCACGCCGGCGTCGAGAAGAAGCTCAAGGGCCCCGCGCCGCCCGCGAGGGCCGCGGAGCCCGACCCTCCGCGCGCGCCGCCGCGGCCGACGGCCGGCGCCGACGCGCCGAGCTGGCTCGACCCGCGCCAGGACATGGCCTAGGGCCGCGGCGTACTTGTGTGGTGTGTGTCGACGGCTGGCCGCGCGCCGAGCTCGGCGGCAACATCGCTGCAACATGGCGACGCGTGAAGCACTCCTCGGAGAGCGTCGATCGATTTAGTCGAGGTGGAGTGGTTTCGGCAGACGCGCCGCGGCACGCGACCTCGGCCGCGAGCGCTCAAAAGCGTCGCCCGCGCCGAGGCACGCGACCTCGGCCGCGAGCGCTCAAAAGCGTCGTCCATCGACGATGGCGACCCAGCGCCACCAGGAAGCGCATCGATTTTTAGACTTGTGCAAGCGCGAGTTCGCGACGCGCCCGACCATCTACACGGAGATGGTGAGGAATCTGAACGCCTTCCAGCGAGGCACGGCGGACCGGGAGGGCATCCGCCAGCGCGTCGAGGCGCTCCTCGCGGGCACGCCCGAGCTCCTGCGCGGCTTCCGGTCGTTCCTCCCGGAGGACGCGGCCCCCGCCGCGCCGATCGGCCGGGGCGGCGGCAAGACCTTCGAGGACGCCATCACCCTCGACAGCGACGAGGAGGCCGTCGTCCCGGAGGCGGCGGAGGACGAGGAGGTGCAGATCGTGGGCAACACGGGCTCGAACCCGCTCTCGGATTTCCCGCACCCGCGGCACGCGTGCGTCGTGCACCCGTTCCCCCCCGGCGGCGGCCGCGACGTCGACCGGCCCGCGGCGGAGGTCCACTGCCCTCGATGCTTCTGCTTCCTCTGCGACGGCCCCGCCGCGGAGTGCGCGTCGTGGCGCGAGCACGCGATGGCGCGGAACGACGCGAGCTGGATGGCCGTGCGGACGTGCCTCCGCGCGGCCCCCGTCGCCGCGCCGGCGGCGCGGCGCCCCGCGCAGCGCTTCGTCCGCCCCCCGGCGCCGAAGCGCGCGCGACGGAGCTACTAAAATCGACGGAGCTGCTAAAAAAAACCGCGTTACCCGTCGTCGAGCAAGAAGGGCCGGATCGTCGCGTCCATGGCCGCGTCGACGAGGGCGTCGATGGGCTTGATGATGAAGGGGATGCAGCCGAGGCCGCAGAGCGTCGGCACGAAGGGCCGCGCCGTCGCCCGGCCCGCGAGCGTTACGACGCGGTTCACGACGACGCCCGGCACCGCGACGGACGCGAGCGCCTGCCAGACGAGCGCGTCGACGCCGTGGCGCACGTCGCCGTCGGCGTCGAACTTGTGCTTCGCGTCCGCGGCGACGTAGGTGCAGGCCACGGCGTAGGACCCAAAGTAGAAGGCGCGCGGCACCATGGGCTTGAAGGACTCGCCGATCTCGTTGGCGTAGCCCAGAAAGCGCACGGGCGTGTCGCGATAGATGTCCACCTCCTTCGCGACCGGGTCGCGCGACGCGTCGACGGCCATGGCGCGACGACGAGGGCGGCGGCGGCGGCTGGAGTGATGATCCTGCGCTTGCTGTGATCTCCGCGCCTTACTAAAGTTTGCTTCAAGTTGCCGAAGGAGACCCTCCGCGCGCGGCGAGCGAGCAGTGCTCGCTGCGGTAAAAACCAAGAGCCGCTACTAGTCATTCAGCGGGTCGAGCGCGCGGAACCCGAGGAACCGTCGCGTGCGCGGCCATCGCGACCCGAGCGGCGGGCTCGCGGCCGCGGGCGCGCGCGGCGGCGCGAGGCCCTTGGCCTTTTGCAGGTCGGACCGCGACCAGATCGCCGGCGGCGCGGCCTCCTCGGCCTTGGGCGGCGGCACGCTCTGGCTCCGCCGCTTGCGGCCGAACTGGCGCAGCTTCAGCACGGCCGGGCTCACGTCCGCGTCGGACGCCGGCGACGCGCGCGAGACCGGCCCCGTGCAGACGATGGACGGGCTCGCCGCCCCGGCGCCGTCCGCGGGCAGCGCCTGGTCCGGCCGCAGCGGCGTCTGGAACGTGCACTCGAACTTCTTCGTCGGGGGCGTGCTCCGGCTCCGCGCCGCCGGCGTCGTCCGCCGCGCCGCCGCGGGCGCCGGGGTCGCGCGCGGCTCGGGCCCGTCGACGGCCGAGTCGGGGCGGAGGTTGCCGGTCATGAACGTCGTCTCGACGCGCGGCATTGCCTAGCTGGGATCCGCGCGGAGTCGGGACCTATGCCTTGTCATCATAAGAGGGCTGCTCCAGCCCGGGGGGCAGCATCCGTTCAACATGCAGCGCATTTACCTCGATCTCCGCGCGGCGCCGGAGTCGCGCCATCCACTAGCTCTAGCGGCGGCTCTAGCATCGAGCGTCTTCTTAATTTATCGATCGCAAACAAGTGCTACGCGCTTGCTTGTCCGGCGGATTATTCCGCCACCACCATGGACGCATCCGACGCAGCAGACGCAGCGCCGCCAGATGCGCCGCTGCGAGCACCAGTACCACCCGCGCCGCTGCAGGGCTCCGTCGTCAAGGAGCCGTCGCTCCTCCCCGCAATCACGGCGACGGCGACCATCGTCGCCGCGTCGCCGCTGCAGGCCGACGACGTCGAGTTCGTCGACGACGACGAGGACCTGCCGCTGCCGCCGCTGCCGCGGCCGCGCCGCGCCGCGCTCCGCGCCGAATCCTGCATCGGCATCAAGACGATCCTCGCGATCATCGGCGTCGTGTTGATCATCACGCACCTCGCGATCCTCCCCGGGTCGCTCTCGGCGGCGAGCAGAACCGCGTGCCTCGCGGTCACGTACGCCGAGGTCTCGATCGCGCTGCTCTGCCTCGAGCGCATCCTCCGCGGCGACCCGGGCACGATCAAGCGCACGCCGGCGACGACGCGGCCCGTGCCGCGGCGCGTCGCCGACGCGCTCCGCCGCTACCCGACGGCCGACGCGGTCGTCGGCTGCGGCAACAACGTCGTCGACCCGGTCCTCGGCTCCTACTGCGTCCGCTGCTGCGTCTGGCGGCCGCCGCGGAGCAAGGCGCACCACTGCTCCCAGTGCCAGCGCTGCGTCGTCGACTTCGACCACCACTGCGGCTTCTACGGCCGCTGCATCGCCGGCGGCAGGACGTCGGGCAACGTGCCCTTCTTCTTCGCGATCATCGCGACGGGCTACGCGGCGTTCTTCTCGACGCTCGTCTTCCTGGTGCTGGCGCTCTCGAGCTTCGACGATCCCGGGTAAACTTACCTAGTGCACCCCTCAGAGGAAGTTGTACACGGGAGCCGCGGGCGCGGCGGCGTTGGCCGCGAGGCTCGCCTCCGCCGCGGCCGCGCGCGCCTCCGCGGCCGCGAGTCGCTCGCGCAGGCGCGCGTTCTCGGACCGCAGCGCGGCCTCCGTCGCCGGCGGCAGCGACGGGTCGACGACGTCGTCTTCGGCCACGGTCTCCTCGTCCGTGTCCTCGTCTTCGGTCACGGTCTCCTCGTCCGTGTCCTCGTACGTGTCCTCGTCGTCGCTGCTCCAGGCGGGGACGCTGATGACTTTCTCCATGCTCCCGGGCGTTTCGGGAGCCCGCTCGGCGAAGGTGAGATCGGTGAGGACGTCGTCGGTCTCGCCCTGTTCGATCAAGTCCGCCAATACCATGAGCTGCGGGGGCATGGGCTCCGCCGGGTCCACGAGGGTCGTGATGAACGGTAGGAGCTTCTCGCCGTAGCTCCGCCCGACGAGGTCCTCGTCGTCGAAGTTGTGGTCGCCCTTGGCGCGATGGAGCACCGCGATCCGCTTCGCGGCGGCGGCGACGACGACGCCGATGGAAGCCGCGTCGAGGCGCCCGGCGGCCTCGGACGCCGCCGGTTCGGGCTGCTTCTTCTTCTTCTTCTTCTTGCCGCCGCGGCGCGTCTTCTTCTTGCCGCCGCTCGACGCGTCCGCGAAGGCCGCCTCGTAGAAGTCGCGGATGTCGTCGGCTTTTTCGTCCACGATCTGCTGCGCGGACTTTCCGTCAGGCCCCAACGGCTCCGTCGGCTCGTAGCTCTCGGCGTTGGCCGCGTGCTCGCGCTTGAGCTCCTCGATCGACGGCGGCGCGCGCTTGAACTGGTAGACGCTCACGCCCTCGAGCGTCGGCGGCGACGCGTTGTCGTCGACGTCCGGCGGCGCGAAGGGCGCCACCACGGGAGGCTCCTGCGCCGCGAGCTCGTGGCACGTCGGCGTGTTGACCCACGGCGAGAGCGTCGCGCGCCCGAGGCCCTGCGTGCCCATGCGCGGCACGGGCTGGTCCTTGGACGGCGTCCAGGCCATGCGCATGCCGCTGCGCGAAATCTTGTCGCCCTTGGCGTAGTCGCGCCGGTCGCCGATGACGATGTTTCCGGCTTCGACGTGCGCGTAGAAGTTGAGCTCCCGGGGGCCGAAGGCCTCGCGGATGAACATGCGCGTCTTGCTGTCCGAGAAGTCGTGGTCGTGGACCATCGCGGCGAAAGTCCGGCGGTACGCGACGGCGATGGAGTCCACGGGCGCGCCCGCGGCCCGGACGCGCCGCGCCTCGTTCTCGGCGGCCTTGGCGAACGCCTGGGCGAGCTCGGGCGGCACGCGCGCGCCCGCGGCCATGCAGATCATCGCGAGGACGACGTAGGTGTTCCCAACAAGATGATCCTCCCCATAATGGCTCTCCGCGAAGTAGGGGCCCATCTCGTAGGCGTTCGCGACGGCGACGAGCTCCGAGAGCTTCGCTTCGACGTCGACGGCGCGGAGCCGCGTCCACCACTTGAAGAGCTTATCATAATACTCAACCGCATGGCGCGCCGTCATCGCCGGCAGGACGCCCGACCCGGGACACGTGGCCTTATGCATAAACAGCCCGAAATTCATCGACGGCGTGTCGAAATCCTCGCGGTCGCCGTACATCACTTGGAGTAGTTTTTCGACGCATTCTATGGCCGTGTCGGTCCCAAGCAAATAATCGAGATGGAAGATGCCCATGTCGTCGTCGCGGCGGGCGAGTCGCGCGCCAAAATCTCCACTCGCGGGGCCACGGCCAATGATGAAGCGAATTTGAGTTTCTGGACACGATGAGCAGCATGGAGCTGCCAAATGCGCAGCGTGCATAGACGCGCCGCAGCAGCCCACGCGGCAGCGTACATAGACGCGCCGCAGCAGCCCACGAGCGATGGTCAAGTTCGCGGAGCGCCTCGAGGACGCGAAGCAGTCGGAGTGGGCGGCGTATTACGTCGACTACGACCGGCTCAAGCTGCTCCTGCGACTCATCGTGCGCGCCGCCGAGCGGCCGAATGCCAACGCGCCCTGCGGCGCCAGCAATTTCGACATCGACGGCGGTTTCGGCCTGCTCGAGCCGACGCCGGTCCTTGCGCCCCACCTCGGAAGCGAGGCGCGGCGCCGGCTCTTCGCGGTCCTCGACTGCGACGCCGCGCCTCGGCTCCCGCGGCCCGCGAGCGCGACGGCGCTCGGTTCGCTCGGCGTCCTCGCGGGCTCCGCGCCGTCGCTGGCGCTGCTGCTCGCGGCGGGCGAGGAGGAGGACGGCGGCGCGTGCCACTGGACGCGCTGGCTCTTCTCGCCCGCGCCGGGCGACGCCTACGACGTCCTGGCCGCCGGCTTCGACGTCGCGTGCGTCGCCGAGCTGCGCAAGGTGCAGCGGCACTACACGCGCGAGCTCGCGCTCCTCGAGGAGCGCTGGGCCCACCACCTCCGCGAGCACGTCGCCGCGCCGCGGCGCGGCTCCCGCGGGTCCTACGCGGCCGTCGCGGCCGACGAGCCGGGCGGGCCGCGGCGCCGCGCGTCGACGGCCGACGCCGAGCCCACGGACCGCGCGTCGCGCGAGTCGCTGAAGCGGGCCCTGGCCCAGCTCGACTTCGACGCGCGGAAGCTCGTCGCGGGCGGCGTCCCGCGATGTTTTGGGAAAAGGTGACCGGGACGCGCCGCCGCGCTTCCGCCGCCGCCGGGCCACGCGCGACCGCCTCGAACGCAGGTCGATTACACGGTCTGGAACTACAGCGCGTTCGTCAAAATCACGAAGAAGCGCGACAAGCTCCTGAAGCGCGAGCCGAAGATCCGCGAGCGCTTCTGCGAGGGCGTGCGCCACCGCGACTGCTGGTCCGCCGCCAAGGCCCGCGCGCTCGCGGACGACGTCAAGGCGTCCTACGCGGCCGCGTTCTACGACGGCGACGAGGCCATCGCCGAGCGCGGGCTCCGCGACGACCACGTCGTCCTCCACACGACGCACGGCGGCTACGACGCGGACGCGCTGCGCCTCGGCTACCGCTGCGGCGCCGCGGCCGTCTTGGCCGCCTGGCTGCTCTGGGACTGCTTCGAGGTCGTCGCGTCCGGCGCGGACGTCGACGGCTGGCGGCGGTCCGTCGCCGCGGCGCCGGCCTGGCCCGTGTTCCGCGGGCTCGGCTGCCTCCTCGCCTGGCACTGGCTCTGGGGGGCGTCGCTCCACGTCTGGGCGCGCTACCGCGTCAACGTCGAGTTCCTCTTCGACGCGGACCCGCGGGTCGCGGCGACGCACCTCGACGTCTACGCGGAGGCGTCCGTCGAGACCGTCGTGCTCCTCGCGCTGCTCCTGATCTACTACAAATCCACCTACGCGTACGGCGTCCCGGGCCGGCGCTCGGCGCCGCGGCTCGCGGCGGGCGTCCCGTTGGCGGCCGCGATCTTCGGCGCGTGGCGCCTGGTCTTCCCCTGGAAGCGGCGGCGCCAGCTCTGGGCCGCGCTCGGCCGCGTCGTCCTGGCGCCCTTCCGCGAGGTGCGCTTCGTCGACACCTTCGTGGCCGACGTGCTCACGAGCATGGTGAAGGTGCTCCTCGACGTGCTCTGGACGTTATGCTTCTTCCTCTCCGGCGACGTCGTCGCGGCGGCCGCGAGCGAGGACGACGCGGTCTTTTCGCCGACGTGGGCGCGGTCGCGGTTCGCGACGCGCGTGCTCACGCCCGCGGTCTGCCTCCTGCCCGTGCTCTGGCGCTTCCTCCAGTGCCTGCGCAAGTACAACGACAGCGGCGCGTCGCCGCGGCGCTGGCTCCAGCTCGCGAACGCGACCAAGTACGCGCTATCACTCTTCGTGAGCCTCTTCTCCGCGCTCAACGTCGGCGGCGGCGGCGGCGGCTCCGTCTTCGCGGCCCAGCCGTTCTGGTTCGCCGTCTTCGTCGGGTCGTCGCTCTATTCGTGGTGCTGGGACGTCTTCGTGGACTGGGGGCTCGCGCCCTACGCCGACGGCGAGGTCCTGTCGCGGCCGCGGCGCCTCTACCCGGCGGCCTGGTGGTACCGCTGCGCGGCCGCGGCGGACTCCGTGGGCCGCTTCGTCTGGCTCGCGCAGATCCTCCCGCCCTCGGACACGTCGCGGCGCATCGACGCCATCGTGCCGGACTTCTTCGTGCCCCTCCTATCGCTCGCGGAGCTCGCGCGGCGCAGCGCCTGGTCCTGCTTCCGCCTCGAGCACGAGCACGTCTCGAACGCCTTCGGCCACCGGAGCGAGCAGCAGTTCGTGCCTTCACACTTCCGGCGCCGCGCCGTCTCCCAGGCGCCCAAGCGCCTCCAGAGCGGCGTGGAAGCCCTGCTCATCGTCGGCCTCGTGTCGCTCCTCCTCGCGAAGATCGCCACGTCGTCGACGGCCGTGGGACACGCGCGCGCGTCCTTGCACCGGCCGTCGCCGGAGCCGACGCGCGCGCCGTTCTAGAGGCAGAAGTTAGGCGCGGGCCGCGGCACGAGCAGCACGCCCAGCGCCGTCGCGGCGCCCACGGCCGCGGTCCCGAGGACGTAGGTGAGCGCGAGCGCGAGCGCCCGGTGGAGCGTCGTCTTCTCGCGGAGCGGCACGCGCGGCTCCAGCCGCAGGACGAGCGCGTGGTAGCGCGGCACGAGCGCGTAGGCCGCGAGGGCCTTGAGCGGCAGGAGCGCCGCCTCGAAGAGCCGGAGCGTGTAGATCGTCCGGATGAATTCGGACCAGCGCGACGCCGCCGCCGCGGTCCGCGTCGCGTACGCCCAGGACGCGACGACCTTGAGCCCCGTCATCGCGTTCGACACGAGCGACCACGTGAGCACGAGGACGGATCCGTACGACGCGACGGCGACCATGAGCGCCTCGCGCTGCTTCGCGTTGAGGCCCGAGAACATGGCGCGCGACAGCTCCGCCGGCAGGTCGTTGAAGTACGAGGCTCGCAGCTCGTTCGCCGCGCGCTCCGTCTCCGAGAGGATCTTGCGCCCCACGTCGCCGAACTCGTAGTCCTCCTTCCCCGTGAAGCTCGTGACGGCGCTCTTCGCCCGGTCGCCGACCATCTGCAGCGCGAGCGCCGCGTCCTTCTCGTCGACGACGCCGTCGTCGTTGAGGTCGCCGAAGGTGCCGTCCTTGCCCGTCAAGCCGGCGACGGCGCGCTTGGTTATGTCGCCGAACTTGTAGGACCCGTCGCCCGTCACGGAGCGCACGGCGCCCTCGACGAGGCCCGCCGTCGCGTTGCCCACGGACGACAGCACGTCGTCGTCCTTGGCGGCGCGGCGCGGCGCCAGGAGCCGCGCGTGCGTCGCGCGGACGTGCGGCGCGCGGAGTCGCGGCTGCGTCGCGCGGACTTGCGACGCCGGGAGCCGCGCGTGCGTCGCGCGGACGTGCGGCGCGCGGAGCCGCGCGTGCGTCGCGCGGAGCTGCTGCGGCGCGAAGCCCGCGCACATCGGCGCGAGCAGCCAGAGCCACACAGTGTACATCTCGAGAAGGCTGAACCCCATGCTCATATGCTCTAGGCATCAACATCAAGGCAAACTGGTGTTTGATCTTTGCCGGGCAAATCACATGGCATGCGCAAGATTGGGCTGCATTCTAAATGTGCGCCCCATGACGACGGGCTGAAACCTCGGCGATGGCGGAGGTCGCCGTGCCCTTGTGGGAGATCGTCGAGCTCTTGAAGCGCGAGCTGAACCTCAAGGGCAACTCCGCCGACGTCGTCGCCGAGTCCTGCGCCCAGCTCAACGTCGCGGACGAGGGCTCGCTCGTGGACCGCGCCGAGCGCTGCCAGGGCGTGCTCTGCGGGGCCCGGGGCGGCGCGCGCGTCGTCCCCGCCGTCGAGGCCGACGTCGTCGCCGCGGGCGGCGACGCCGCGGTCGTCGCCGCGCCCGCNTGCGGCGCGGGCGTGGCCGCGGAGCTCATGGCGCGCGGCGGCGCGGCGACGAGCCGCTACGTCGCCGCCGAGGCCCACGCGGGCTGCTACCTCGGCACCTGCTGCCTCTGCTGCGGCTACAGCTACCTCAACGCCGGGGCAGCGACGC